TGTTGGCTGTGGCGATTAATTTCTGGGCTTGGTTAAAGGAGGTCTTTGGTATCTGATCACGGTTGTTGAGGCCTACATGAAGAATAATGGTAGTAAGTTTGGGATCATGGTCGTATGATTCCAGGATTGACTGTATGTGATGGATTTGGGCACCGGGGTAAGAATGCATTTCGGTGTCTGAACTGGTTTTGGTAATTCGATTCAGGTTAGATGATCCAATTATTAAGGTAGATTTCTTTAGAGCAGGTAGCTTCCATAATGATTTGTCCTTGGTTTGGTGATAATACGGTTTGGTAGCGGATATAATGGTCGTCGACGGTGTGATTGGTACTGGAATTTGGTAGTTTCATCTTCGGGCAAGTCAATTTCTATACGCTCAATTGGGATTAGGGTGAGATCGTCTATTGAATGGTCGTTGAGGTTAAAATGATTAGAAACAGGCTTGTCTTTCTTTAATTTGATGTCTGACCTATGAGCAATAAAGCGAGTTCGTAAATTATTCTTAGTTTCTCCTACATATTGTTTGGGGCATTTCTTGCATGAAATTAAATATATTACATTCGAATGTTCACATGTTAGATGTTCCTGGATCGGGTACCTTTTATTCGTAGAGTTGCTTACAAAATAATGAGTTTCTGATATAAAGGGACATGTTTTGCATCTACTGGACAAACATGGAGCACTTCTTAAACCTGGAGGTACCTCGGCATAAAGTCTATTGAACCAATGGGTTAGACTTATCCTTCAGTGGAATATGAACATTGTTAAATCTCATAAGAAATTTAAATGGATGTAACTTAGTTTATTTACAATAAAGTAAAAATTTTATAATTTGTCAGTCAGAAGAAAATAATTTAAAATTTGGCGGTATTCTTTTGGAGGAAATAAGTTATGTCGGTGGTAGAAAAGATTATGATATATGTTGCAAGAGTTTGGATTTACATGAAAAAGAAGTTCCCACAATGTGAAGCTTTTATTGGGGGGTTTGTAAGGAGGTTTTCTATATTTGTTATGTGTATCGGGGACACTGAAAGCATCAGTTTGCACCTTTCCAATTTCCTATCAGACATTAAAACAAAGTGCTTGATTTGATGATGTCAAACTCTGGGTTTGAGGGGAATTCAGCAAACACAGACACCTGATTGATGAAAATTAGAATTGATGCTATCAGTGCTCTGATTCACATACCAAATTTAGAAAACTTCTTTACAATCCCTTTTAGTATCTAATTTGTAAAAATATCTGTGTTTGTCTTTACCAATAGGCATGTCTGATTGTCTATTATCCAAAAAACAATACCCACGCAAAATTCATACAACTCCTGGAAGCTGCATAGTATGTGTATAAACAACTTGCTTTATGGCCCATTTACATGGTAAAGCAAGATGCATAAGCCTTTGCCAAGTACACAGTGCTATTACACTGTATTCTACAACTTCAAAGAGTTGTATATTTCACAGTTTGGGATAGAACATTCTGTACCACTGGTACTTGTGGACAGGATAAGGATAGCTTTTGGAAGTTCGATGATGCATTTGAGATTTTGCCAGTCTGCTGATATTTATAATAAAAACTAAAGGTGAGTCTCTCTTAGCTTGATTAGTTGTTTAATACAGACTGTTTATCATATTAAAACTTTTATCAATAAATGACCCTAACGTTCATGTCATCCACTTTTTTCCTTTCAATATAAGGATAACAATATAAATATTTATTGAATCACTCATTAAGTTCAGCTATTCATTGTTTTTCTCTCCTGATTCACATATTTTCTTGACATTTCAAAGCAGAAATGACTGAAGTGTCTCACTTGTCACGTGTGCACTTTCACCTAAATCGTGTGCTTCAGTTTCTTCCTTAATTTATAGTAAAAGAATTGTTAAAAGAAATGAACACAGCAGGCAGAAACAATGCTTTGTATAATTCCTGTACTATAAATTATGGAAGAATGTGAATCATGTGATCAATGAATAACTGAACTAACTGAGCCCTGATTTAATAAATATTTATTTCACTATAGAGTAAAATTATTATTGAAAAGAAATAAGTTGATGATATGAATGTTAGGACCATTTATTGATTGAAATTTTAAGATGATAACCAGTCGCTACCTCAACTGAACAAACTAGCAGTAACTTACATTTACTTTTAATTATAAATATCAGTCGACTGGCAAAATTGCAAATGCTTCACTGAAGGATATCCTGTCAGGATATTCTGAACAGCAAGTTCTAAGCAACTTTTTATCTCTGACCAATTGAGGGGAGCTTGAGGTTAAAAGGTCATTCTCCATTTTGGTAGGAATTTATGTGAACCAATTTGAGTGATTCATGAAACTTGATATACTTTGTAAACCGACAAGGTATACATTAACAAAAGCTGTATATGGCTTGCTGTACAACTTTTCCGTGTAAATGGGACTTAATGGGCCTTTCTATCCATTGAATCAGTTGTTCAATACATCAACAATGAATCTTCATAAATGAAATGTGAAATGGCAATCTGAAAAGTTGCCTTGTTTTTCTATTGTTGAAATTTTTGTTGTTGTTTTGTTTTCACTTTTTGCAAAAAATAGGAATTATTTAAATTTTCCTTTTGCATTTCTTACATTGTATCAATATCTTACCTTGCAAAAATTATTTGATATTTTTAGGTGCAGAAAAGAAAGGAAATGGGGAAGCTCCACAATTTATTGGAAAACCTCAAGTCAACCAAGATGCTAAAAAGTTAACATTTGAATGTGTTTGTAAAGCTACTCCTAAACCTGATGTAACATGGTTTAAAGGAACCAGTGCTCTAAAATTAGGAGGAAGACTGATATCTTCTGTAGTTGAAAAGAATGGAAATTATGTTATCAAATTAGAAATAATGGTATGCCAACTTAATTGTATTTAACATCAATTTAAATTTCCCCTTTTGTTTCTATAGTAACAATAAAAAGATAGGGCTCCTCATTAAAAAAACAGAAACCTCAACAAATGTGAAAAGTATTAATTGCAGGAAGAATAAAATCTTACATTAAAACAGAACACCTGATACATTAAGCTAGCATTACAAATTTAACCAAAAAAAAATTGTTAATAGGCAGGCAGTCGCTGAATGTTTTGAAAATATTTTTAATAAAACCGTTATTATATAGTAATATTCCATATATTATGATCTTTGGTTAAAAGGGAATATAAGACTGGTTGAACAGATTCCCAATACTTGCAGTCAGGTAAAAGGAAACGCTATTTCACAAAGACCATTTACACTGTGCACAATGTTGGCTAGAATAGTGAGTCATCAATTACATATCTGCTCTCGTGTCAGTGGAGGTAAAAAAAATCATTGGGCAAAGGATTTCAAGAAAGCTCCAATTATGTTTTTAGGTTCTATAGCACAGTCGGTTAGAGCGTTGGTTCCTTATTTGACATCATTTGCTTGGTTATGTCTCTATCTCACAATCATTATCAGCGTGTGAAAGTCTGACCCAGCAGTAAATGGGTATGGATTATCTTGGAAAGACCAATGCCAAGAGGTTTGGCTTTGGAATAGCTTGTAAATAGAATCCTTAACAGGGAATCTAAGTTGTTACCTTAGCAAAACATAGTTGTTTGTTTCTTACCTTCTTTCTTTCTTAGACATACAGAAATGAAAATTTTTCGTTTTCTTGCATATTGGCAGCACAAGCTTTTGTAATCAATGCTTTTTTGTCACCCCTTAAAGCGCCAAGACACATCATGTTGTACTGTATTTGGTCAGGATCAAGACGAACTCCGCCCACTTGGAAATAGCAGGTCTAACCCTTTTAAACTGCCACTTTTTCAGAGACTGCCCTTGGCTAAGGATAAATAACGGTCGACTGTATAAATCTTTTTAATTCTTCAAAATCTGTTTTAAACGCTAGTCTTTACATAAAATTTTGATGTAATTTTATGTGATCAAAAAGAATGTGGGGAAGTTTGATATCTGAAATGATTTACTGTTTTGAGAAATTGCCCTTGACCTTAGCATCAGAATCTGTTCTTGAAAGTAATAGAAGCTCTATTTATCTGTAATGTGGCATAATATCCAGCAATGATATCAAGGTTTTTAGGTTTTTAGGCAGTTGTTATTTTTTTCTCTAAAACGACCAACAAAATGTAAATTTATTGGATTCATAATCAATCACAAAACTTGACTGCTACAATTAGTCTCTATTCCTATTATACAGTAACAGATCAGGTACTATTCCAAGAATTTTGTGTTGAGATATGATTACATACCTGACAAACTGTTTGTCCTATATAGGACAATCATGTTTTAGCCATGAGGGGGCAACTTCTTTTTAGGAACAAACCATCTTTTTTGTGGTATTAAACTACACAATGTAGGTTCTATGCCTGATTTTCTGTCTTGCTGTATTCACAATTACAATCCAATCATTGATGTTACAAGAATTCACAATTTTGCAAGAGGTGTGCTGCATGGCCTGGATGTACACCAAGAAAAAAATGAAAAAATTTCTGACACCTTAAACAAATCATCCACAGTGGAATTATTATTACTCAAAAAGGGCTACTGACTTATACCTTTTTCATTTTGAGAAACACATGGAAGTGTAAATTTTATTCACAATTCTAGCATATCAAAATAGATGTTTCATAAATTTTGAATGTATCAGTTATATTTGAGTAAACTAATAACTATCAAGTTGCTATTGTTTTATTTGATTTTTTTCAGAATTTTACTCCAGATGATGGTGGTCAGTATAAAGTAACAGCTAAAAATAGTAATGGTGAAAGTAGTGCAAATATCACGTTAAATTTAGAAAAGTAAGACATTATTGCAATTTTGATTCCGAGATAAAAAATATAAAAATGTAGAAAATTCACTTAAAGAAATGTATGTTCTATAATATGCCTTATAAGAAGATATACGTCTCAACTATCTATTTTCTTTATGGTACAGACCTAAGGTAGATGCTCCCAAATTGGAAGGTAAGCCTAATATAAGATTAGAAGATGATGGTAAAGTTATTATGATTAGTCAAGCTATGAAGTCACCCACTAAACCTGATACCAAATGGATGTTTGGTAATACACCATTACCTAACACTGGACGCTTTCAGAGTAATTTAGTAGAAGAAGGTGGATTGTACTATGGTTCTCTTCAAATTAACAATGTAAGTAGTTGATATAAGTGTTTACTCAACATTGGGGCAAATCAAATCTAATTTTTATTTTATGTGACGTTAATGTTGTTGGTTGGGGTGTAGTGTATGTAGTGTATAAATGTGTATACAGAGGTCACATTTTCGAAGACAATTTTATGCTTTTGAATCAGATTCATTTACCTTAATCAATATGGTATTGCATAACCAATTAGAATTTCTCAGCAGGATAAATGGACTTTTTTGGGTATACATCCCGACTGAAATGTGTCATATTGAAAACTGACATGCTATGTATTGATGATACATCAACATTGTGCATTATAAAGGTGTCAGCCCATTTATCAATATTCCATAAATGGAGTAAACATTTTGGATTCTATCAGTTTACATCATCAACAATTCTCCAACACAAATTGATAATTGAGATAATGTGCTCAAACACTAAAACCTATACTCAATATTACATTACAGTTACATTGACACCATCAACTTTTTCCCAACATTTATCCAACATGATCTGCCTACTTTTCATCAACATGTTGGAAAAATATTGGAGAAAAATGACATTTGAGCAGTCTGACTTTCCTTCTTCCCTTGATCATTGACATGTTAAAAGACGGTGACTTAAAAACAGGGGCAACTGCTCCAAGCACTAATGAGTGAATCAGTGCCATTGACCGTAAGTTGCATCACATGACCAGTCTAATATTGGCAGAATGTTTGTGAAAAGAGGTCAATACATGTTCAATAAAACTATCAATATTATTGACTCAATACCTTGACAGAAAATGTCCACACACAACGTTCATTTTGCCATCAACACTTTGGTGAGTTTTCATTGAAATTCTGCATATATTGATGCAATTTATTGACAGATTCTCCACACAAGGTCAATAGTGTGTTTCAATAACTGATTATATATTATGTATGAATCTATTACTATATTGATGAATTGTCAATAAAAATCAAAATGATTTTGATCTGTCAATATATTGACTCAATGATGATTATTGACATTATTTGTCATCAATATAGACACAATATTGATGATTTTATTTAAGGTGTATGGACCTCTTTAGCCTTGATGCTTATATTTCAGTTTAATGATAAAGATTCGGGAACATACAAAATGGTTGCTAAGAATGAGGGAGGAGAGGCATCGATATCTGCTGCTGTCAATGTTGCAGGTATGTCATAATTAGCTATCTTGCTTTGTCTTGATGTCTTACTCATTTCTTTTCATCTCATTTCAGCATTATTGTGATGAGGGTTCAGAGTTTATTGTCACACAAATGCAATTTATATCATGATAGTATGAGTTCAAAATGATGTTGCTAATGTCACATGCTTGTTTTGGCCTCTTTGGACATGCCACATATTAATAAGATTAATTTTGAAACATTCCAGTCTTAGACTTAACTTTTATTCTGTTTTATTTTAAGCCCACCGCAAACTAAAGGAATTAGCCGAGCTGCCTGCCTTTCAAGCAACATTCTCATAACTTTTTCCACTGCAGACAAGAGCTATCGCCTGAAGCAGACAGCTCAACTAGTTCCTCTCGTCTGCTTAAGCCAAAAGACAAACCGCTCTTGTTTCACAATGTCAATAACCTTTGACCTAACCTGATGACCTCAATAAGTGTCAGTTGATCTGAAAAAAAAATAATGCTGTTAGTATCAGGAAATGTTGAATATAATATATACCGAATTTCTTTACTTTGGCATTACTCCTCCCGAGTCAGCAGATGAATGTTTTAGCCAAAACCCCCCCTGTTTTAGATGGAAATCTTATTTAGATTTGTGAAATATCAGATATTTTCATGTTGACTCATTCATTTTAGCCTTAAAACCAAAAGGAGATGCCCCTGTTTTTACACAGAAATTGACACCACAGGTAATGAACTATTTTTATACATCCAATAACTTCAATACAATAGCCTACATTTTCATCCCAGTTCATAGTAATTTATGGCCAAACAGCAATGTATACCAAGCAATTGGTCATGTAAAAAATGACATTCTCAATCAGAAACAGTTGACTTCTGTTCATCAAAACCAGACTAAAGAATTTATGTAACAGTGCCTCTATTCTACCTGCAGATAGCTATTTTGTCTTTCACTATATCTATCAGAGGTTGGAATAGGGGCAGATGTTTTGGACTAGTTAAGGGCAAGTGATTTAGGTGCTGTTAATCTTGCATCATAACCTGCTTCTGAAAATGGATGGATGAACAATAGTTTGTATATAGGCCATAAAATCTGCACCATAAGCATCAATACAAAGGATTTCTTAATTCCCCCCTACCACCATTAAACCCCACAAACGGCTGTAGGGTTTGCAAATCATGCCATATCGTACGATCTAAACAAACACATCCTTTGTTTTGAATGCGGAAGATAAAAAAACATGTATTATAAAACTGGGTTGTCTTGCTGTAGCTGACCTTTTTTTCATAGAATGAAACCTTAATATCATAAAAAGACAGATTGTGATAATTTGGTATTTTTACCCACTTCTTATCTTTATGATTTTAGACAGCAGCTGAAGGAGAAGGTGCAGAGTTTCTCGCTGTTATCAAGGGCTCTGAACCAGTTGAAGTAAAATGGTTAAAAAATAAGAAAGTTTTGTCTAAGTTAGACCCTTATAAAATAACATATGAGAAGGGAAATTGTCGTCTTAACATTCCAAAAGTTAGTAAAAGTGATATAGGTGAATACACAGTTGAAGTAAAGAATGCTTATGGAAGTGGTATGTCTATGGCAAGTCTACAAGTACAAGGTAATTATTAATTTACCAATGCAGATTATTTTTTTCTAGTAATGTATAAAATACAAAAATTTGTCGTATTCAAACTTATATCAATGAAAAACAGTCATTGATTTCTTTCTTGTGTATTACAAGTTACAAGTTGTTCAGAAAAAGCTTTATAATCCAACATATGGTCATCTCAATCACTTATCACCAATTGCCTTTCGCACAAAGGGCTTACTCATGTCAATCTGTACACCGTATAGATAATACTGTAGAGAATATAGATTGTTACTTTTGATTGGTCTTGAGTTCTATTTTGACCGGCCTTCTAAACAGACCCGTACTGAAGTGTCCCTGGATATAAAACAGAAAATTATAGCCATTGTTGATTATGAAAAAGTGGTGCGAACTACATGGAAAGATTAGTGGCATTTTAAAACGTATAGACAAATTTAAACAATTGTTTGTTGATAGTATCAATTCAACTGAAGAATATATTAAATCAGGTATTTCTGTTGATCGATCAGCATGTGGTCTTATGGAATCAGCAGGATAAATGGACTGAATTGTCTTTCTTTATATAATACTATAAATAGTAACATGTTAAAAAAATTCCGAAATTTGAGTAGCCTTGAATTACCTTTGAAGGTGAAGCGGAAAACTCCTTGATTTCAGAAATCCCCCATTTAACTCAAAATTTTGGTGTATATTCTCGAAAGAACTTCCAAGCAGACTTCAGTTTCAGAAAATCCTGACTAGATATTTTGTCGCTTACTTTTTGTATGAAATTTTAGTCAAAATTCTAACTTAATTGATTTTTATTCCATTTTTATATGCCCACATGGAAATGTGGACGTATATTGCCGACGCCCCTGTCCGTCGGTCCGTTGGACCGTCTACATTTCTTGTGAACACAATAGAGACTACAGTTTTCAACTGATTTTAATGAAATTTGGTGTGATCATTTATATCGATGAGATCTTGGTCAAGTTCCAATTTGACAATCTTTCGATGAACGGTTTTTGAGTTATTGTCCTTGACTTAGGAAAAAACGCGTCAAAATTTGTTTGTGAACGCAATAGAGACTACAGTTTTCAACTGATTTTAATGAAATTTGGTGTGATCATTTATTTTGATGAGATCTTGTTCAAGTTCGAATTTGACGATCTTTTGATGAACGGTTTTTGAGTTATTGCCCTTAAAATTAGGAAAAACGCGTCAAAATTTGTTTGTGAATACAATAGAGACTACAGTTTTTAACTGATTTTAATGAAATTTTGTGTGATCATTTATATATATGAGATCTTGGTCAAGTTCGAATTTGACGATCTTTCGATGAATGTTTTTTATAAGCCCACACATTAATGCGAGTGTTTGTAATCACCAAAGGATGAACCCTATTGAAAATCAGACGAATCAAAAAATATTTACTAAGTGTTATTGCCCTTGTTCTTGAATTGTTTGTGGACACGATAGAGAGCTGGTTTCTTGATGGATTTTGATGAAACTTGGTGTGAGTGTTTGTAATCACCCAAGGATGAACCCTATTGAAAATCAGACGATTTGAAAAATATTTACTATGAGTTATTGTCCTTGTTCTTGAATTGTTTGTGGACACAATAGAGAGCTGGTTTCTTGATGGATTTTGGACAGACGAAACTTGATGTGATCATGTATATTGATGCGATAATTTGATGTATGTGGGTTATTGATATTGATTTAAAAATTTGGTGGTATTTCTCAGTAGAAATAAATGGCATTAAATATATATATCATTGAATTCAAACTATTAAAATTTCTTTAACATGAGAAAATTCATACTGTAGTCACTAAAGACTGTTTAATCATTTCTGACAGCTGCCAGTGGGCGTATGTTACCTTGCCTGGCAAGCTATCTTTACAAAACTTGGTAGATGGGTATAGATTAAACAAAGCGATTTTTCGAAACATTTCGGGAAGATCGAAAAAGGGCGAAAATCATAAAAATCAGACTTTTTGGACTATGTATTGTTTTCATGATATATTCCAGTAACCTTCAGAACTAGTAGATGTATTTCTCTAAATTTGATTAAATCCCTACAATGGTTTTTCCAACACCAACCAAAAACCTCGGTCCGTCCGTTTCTTGTGAGCACTATAGAGACTACAGTTTTTGATAAAACTTGGTGTGATGCGTTAGATTGATAAGATCTCGGTCAAGTTCGAATTTGACGATCTTTCGATGAACGGTTTTTGAGATATTGCCCTTGACTTAGAACGCCTTGAAATTTGTTAAAAAATAGTTCGTGAGCAGGATTGAAGCTACAGTTTTCAACCGATTCTGATGAAACTTGGTGTGATTATTGGAATTGATAAGATCTCGGACAAGTTCTAATTTGACGCATTTTCTATGAACGGTTTTGAGTTATTGCCCTTGACTTTCTTAAAACGCGTCAAAATTTGTTAAAAATAGTTCGTGAGCAGGATTGAAGCTACAGTTTTCAACCAATTCTGATGAAACTTGGTGTAATCATTGGAATTGATAAGATTTCGGACAAGTTCTAACTTGACGCATTTTCGATGAACGGTTTTTGAGTTATTGCCCTTGACTTTTTTCAAATGCGTTGAAATTTGTTAAAAATAGTTTGTGAGCCGGATTGACGCTACAGTTTTCAACCGATTCTGAAACTTGTTGTGATCATTGGAATTGATAAGATCTCGGATAAGTTCTAATTTTATGCATTTTTGATGAACGGTTTTTGAGTTATTGCCCTTGACTTTGTAAAAACGCGTCAAAATTTGTTTGTTTTCAACTGATTCTGATGAAACTTGGTGTGATCATTGAAATTGATAAGATTTCGGACAAGTTCTAACTTGACGCATTTTCGATGAAATGTTTTTGAGTTAATGCCATTAACTTACGAAAAACGCGTCCAAATTTGTTTGTGAGCACAATAGAAGCTACAGTTTTCAACCGATTCTGATGAAACTTGGTGTGATCATTGGAATTGATAAGATCTCAGACTAGTTCTAACGAGATATTTTTGATGAACATTTTTTGAGTTATTGCCCTTGATTAGAGCTGTATGATTTAATTGTTTGTTGTATTTGGGTTATTGATATTGATTTTAAAAAATTTTGTGGAATTATTCAGCATAAATAATTTATTCAATATGAGAAAATTCGTACTTTAGTCACTAAAGACTGTTTTATTATTTCTGACAGCTGCCAGTGGGCGTATGTTACCTTGCAACGCAAGCTATCTTAGATTTAGGTGTAAGTAAATGCCTAAGTGGTTGGTGTTCTTCAAATTAACAGCAAGATATTTTTGGTCTAAACATTCATGGACAAGTTTTTCTAGATTTTGGTCAATAGTTTTTATTAGTTTGATCACATAAGTTTCCCATCCCACTAAAAAAAAAATCGGCCTGTCCTTTAAGTGCAGTTATTACTTATATGCAGATTCTAAGAAAAAGGCTGATGATGATGCCAAGAAAAAGGCTGAGGATGATGCCAAGAAAAAGGCTGATGATGATGCCAAGAAAAAGGCTGATGATGATGCCAAGAAAAAGGCTGAAGAAGCCAAGAAAAAAGATGAGGCCAAGAAAAAGGCTGAAGAAGAGATATTAAAAAAAGAAGAGGAAAAAAAGAAATCTGAAGCTAAAAAGAAAGAAGAGGAAGCTAAAAAGAAAAAAGCTATTGAAGATGAAAAAACTAAAAAAGCTGATGAAGAAAAGAAAAAAGTTGAAGAGGCCAAGAAAAAAAAGGTATGCATTTTGAGTATTTTTTTCAAACATTTAGAAAAGTAACAGCTTGCCAGACAAGGTAACTTATGCCGAAAGCAGCATTTGACATTTGATTAAAACGATTTATCTCACTTCTCCATATAACCATACAATGATTTTGGCAGGATTCAACTAAATGAAGGGCAAAAACTCATCTGAATGGAATAAAAACATTAAGCCAAATTAGACATTTTTCAAATCCAGTGAACCCTGACCTAAACTTTTTTGAAAATAAGTTCTTTTATTCATTGACAGCGTTGTTGACAAAATGAAGTTGAATATTAGTTGAATCAAAAAAGAATATCCTATTTAAAAATTTTGCTAAACTGGAAGTGACATATTGCATAATGTACAAAAATTTGGTTTGGAGTCTGTAGAGCTTATTTGTTTACCTCCGCTTTGCTTTTTTATGCCCTTTGTAACAATATGCATCGAATGCAATAGAAAACTTCTAAAATTTAGAAATTTTTTATAGAAAAATAAAACTGCATTGTCCTAAGACCCTTATTACAGGATATAGACAGAATACCAATACAAATAAACTGTATCATCAAAATTTTTAAAACACTTCCAGTTTGGCCATATAAAACACCGGGTTTTCTCAAAATCACCGTGGGTGACCCTTCTTCGGGTGTAATTCCCAATTGTAGACAAAAACGGTACAGATTAACTATAATAAATAATTCAAACCACTTCAGAAGAAAAGATTCAAATCGAAAGTGACGCATACACCATTACTTGAGAGTTTAATGAGTTATCCATTTATTATCCAATTTGTATGATTTTGCAGTCTATCAAAATCTTGTAACTTTATCTACAACATGTTGGGAACAGAATTTTGAATTTCAAATTTTTAAATTTTTTATGAATTTTTTGAAAATTTAAGTCTATATCTTGTGACCTTGACCTTCAATAACCTTGAATTTATCAGTGTGGATTGTCCTTGACCTCAGCTATCTCTAAATATCCTGATATATCGGATATAATCTAGCAAAATCAGACATTTTTGCAAATAAATAATTATACCATATTCTCTAATAAACACAGGGTCTTGATTATTTCAGATTATTAATGGCCTTAAAATTCTCTTTGTAATGATAAATTGAAATTTTTCAACTTAAGTCTAAATATCAAATGTATTTATCCCATATCAATATGGTTTACATTATTAGAATGCATTCAGAATTCTCTCTTTAACGATAAGTGACACAGTGGTTTGCTATAAAATCACTAAATTTGGATAGATTTAAAGAAATAAATAAAAGATTTATAGTTTAAATCTAAACGGGATTGACAAGGTGTTAAGTATGTTATACAACATTGATAACAATACTATGGATTTGAACTTTCACAACTTGGTGTCAATGAGCTAGAGAACAAATTAATCGGATTTATTTTTTTGCAAAATTTTTTTGAAAATTTGAAACATATCTCTATTTAAAGCTGTGAATTTGCAAGTTATTTAACCATGGAATTTTTGGATATCTTAATTAGAACTCAAAATACAAATGTCTACAAATACCCTACAGTTTTAATTTTTGTGCACCAATTGTAGGCTTATTGTAAGCACTACAGGTGAAAGCTAACAGACTAGAAGTATCAAAAGGTCCAAAATCCAAGGGTTGAGGTCTTGTTGCTCTGAGCTGTTCACTCTTATAGTTTAAGTCTGTTATGATATTTACATGAAACCAGTAAAACAACAGAAGTAACCTATTAAATATGATTATAACCATAACAATAATGTTGAAATTTGCATTTCAGGAAGCAGGTAAATATATATTTGCTGTATTGAAGTTTTCAATATATTTTCTCTCCAGATAATCATGCCTATTATCTGATATTCATTATTCGACTAGAAGTTATCTGACATTGTTTGGGATTATGAGTATTTTTCTTATATACTGGTATATCAAGTTACTACCAAATATTTTGTGATGGAATGGTTTTTTTTTTTTAACCCCATCAGCATTTGCAGCATAAAGAATACTTATGCAGTAGCACTTTTTTGAGGAAGTGTAGAGTGATGTTTTGAGCTTAGAATAGATTACCGGTAGATGGAATGTATTCTTGCTAGATCTCATTAAAGATGGATCCCCACATTGTTCAGGTCAAAATTAGTTATTTTAATAATGTATTCTTGAGCTTAAAGCAGGGCTGTGTCATTTTTTTCCCAACACTTGTCCAACATGATCTGTCTACTCTTGAGCAAATTCAAACAAAAAATTGGTAATTAGTTGAGGGGAAAATGGACAAATGTTTTAGGCTCTTTGTAGAAATTGCTTCTTCCCCTGAATTTATACCTGTTCCCCAAATTCATGGGTAATTTCCCAAGCACTAATGAGTAAATACATTTTTTCTTGATTTAAGTCTTACTCCCCATTTCCATGGCTGCCATTCTGTCAATCACATGACCACAGGTACGCATCATGTGACTATTGGCAGAATGTTGTTCAAATGTGGTTAACTTTGAATCCCTCTGGTATTTTTACAATAAAAATTGTCAGCAAATTCCAACAAAATAAATACCAAGGCAATTCTTTTTCCAACATTTATTCAAATTTCAGCAACATTCTTTCAACACGAAGAAAACACTGATTCACTTATTAGTGTGAAAGGAAAGCTGCCCCTGTCTTTTGGATGCAGCTTTTAAAATGTATCAGTTACTGGCTCTTGTCCCCAACAATTCCCAAAATTGCTGGAAAGGAACCCAAACTTGCTATTCTTCTCCCGTTCATTTTTCTCATGGTGGCAAAATTCTGGTATAAAGTTAGACAAGTGATCGGGAAAAAGATTATACTGACATCGCACTTTTAAGCCTGTTTTAATTTAAGATATGTATATATATATATATGGATAAATGAAAATGGAGGGACTCAACTAAATATGTATTTGCTTTTTAATGTTTGTATTTTCTTCAGTATAAATTCGCAAACAACTTAGCCAGAGATGCAATTTTATTAAAAGTATCGATATCAGAATTAATTTTCTGTTGCATTTGAATTGACAAACAAATGAAAAATAATTTGATTTAGATTATTATTACATTGTATCCTCAAATTCACAAATTCTCTCATCAAAATATATCGTGCTACTTTTAGATACCAGAGTATTCGGTTGTAAATATATTTCAGTTCATGCTTTAAGTGATATTTATAGTATTTGATTTATAATGCATATCATAAAGATAGCTTCTTTATGAAAACCTATTGGGGTATCTGGCTATTTTGATTTTCTTGACTTTTCCTCTTACACCAATCCTAAGAACAAGCAGCAAAGAAGGCAGAAGAGAAAAAATCTACACCAACAATTGTTGTTGATGATGAGGATAACAAAAAAGGTAAAAATCTTAAAAAACCTTCTGGTAAAGATCAAAGTAAAACTACAGAGGAAGATAAAAATAAAAGTAAAACAAAACCAAAATCTTATAAAAAGAAACCGACAACAATATTAGAGGGTAAGTATGGAACAATCTGTTGTAAATAATAAATGCCATACAAAGGCCAATGTACATGATCCTTCTAAGGTTCACTTTTAATGTGCTAAAAATTAAACTATTGAGTCCTTTTAAAACGTTACAATTACCAATAAAATTAAATTTGATGTTAAAAGTACCCAAATGAAACACTTTTCTACATCATAGCAAGCTAGGTTATCCACTTTAGGTTGATATTGTTTTGATGAGACATAAAGGTCATTCTCTTGATATTTCATATGACTTATTGTCCAAAATAGTTTAAATTTGTTTAAAAAATAGGACATTTATTCATTAACATCACCCTATAGATTATATTTTTGAAAGAATGCAGGATCATGTAGAGTGGCTTTAACAAAATAACACTAATAAACAATTGCTTTCATTTTAACACTTGTAATTGACAATAAATTGAAGAAGTACAAAGTAAAAGAGCCTACAGATAATATCATGAAATAATGAAAATAATATAAAATAATAATGAAAATCTAGGCATGAATAGAGTTAGCTATTAATATCACCAAGTTACCATGTATGATAATCAAAATAATTGTGATAAAGAAAAATTAAATTATATAAATGCTGTATGTATTTTATATATTTCTAAATGCTGTATGTATGATAGTAGAAAATAAATGCTAACACTACATTCTATGTTGAGACTGACTGATTAAAATACTGATAAATCTAATAGATCAATTAGATAATGGGTAATGTGTTAGTTCTAAGTCAAATTTGACATAATGTTATTTTAATATATTTTCATGACTACTTAAAGTACTTTTTAATTTATTTTATTTTTTTTAATTATTATTTTTATTTATATTTTGCGATCAAAGATGATACTCCAGTTAAAAGATACAAAAAATAACTTTTGCTGAAAATCAAAGTGGATGTAATACATATATATTTTAGGAAAAAAATTGTTATTTGATTATAAACCATAATTTTATAAATTTTTGTATTTCAATTATTAATTTGATTTATGCAAAGAGATGAATTACAAACTAGGTCCTGACCTGACAGTTGATAAGTAAATTATTTGGATTAAAGACAATGGTTTGCTATTTTCAGGGGTTGATTTGGGTCTTGAATACATGTCAAAATATATGGAGTCTCAAGAATTGACGATACATCATTTTCATTTTGAAACACCGGTAATTCTGGACACATATGGACAAGATAACTTAAATTCAAAAGGTGTAGGCTATTACAAAACTTCTATCATTCCACACAGGATTTCATTAGCTATTCAGGAGTATGATGTAAAACTATATAATAACTAAAGAATAATCACATGTTCAACTCTGGGTTGTCTTTTTTTTCCAATATCAAGTCATTCCTTTTCTTGAAAACAACCGAATCTGCAATTAACATATTTTATATGCCCACATTATTTTGTGGATTAGACACAGATTGACGACTGCCCTTGATATACTGAAAATTTATCATGGAAATGGGCATATTATGCACAGTAACCACTTTTTTACTATTACAACAAACATTAAAAATCTTTTCTAACTTAAAACTTTCAGCAGGAATTGCAAAAATGGTAGTTATAATCAATTATGATTTACACGAAAATCAACATTAACTCTAAAGGGATATAGTCTTCTAAGTTTTACACTTTAACATCTGGTTGAATCTCTTTCTCAATATCGTTGACAGTTTATTTTTCACTGCCAATTTTATCAGTTTCTACTTTAGTATTGTTCATTTTGCTCTTTTTCATCAATAATCAGATTTATTATTTTTGAGATAGTTAGAAGCATTATATTGATTGAGCTTATTAAGTGAATATTCGGAAGACTACATCCTTTCAATACAGCATTAAATTAATCCATTAACCATCTCAATATTTAAATTCAATTTTACCTGAAGTACAGATTTAGTTACATATATTTATTATCATAATTGAGAATTAAAGAATATGGAAATAAGTAAAGAAAGAAAGTAGGAAATAAAGAAAAAATGTAAAAAATTTATTGAATATTAGATAAAACCTGTTTAAATGTGTATAATATATATATATAATATAAATAATAAGATGAAGAAAATGATGAAGAAGAAGAGAATGGTTATGAGGCAGATGATGGTGGTGATCATGAAGGTATTATTTGTTTATTTTCTCATCTCACAATATTTTTTATTGACTAGTTATCAGGTTAAATAATTTGTAACCTTGGTAACATTATAAAAGCAACTGGAACTTATTTGTATAAAACTGGATGTAACCAAAATAATTTTTCACCAATATCAATTTTGTAAGCCCTATTCATGTAAATAAGAAAGGTTGGTTTTGTTTTTTTTGTTGGAGAAAATTTCGAAAGAATTAAACAAATATGTCAATTTGGAAATTTTGAAGTGTTTAAATAGTCCTGAAACCTACAGATATCCTGTAACAATGACCATATGATTAATGGATGATTCTTTTGATTCATGTATGTAACTAATGAATTAATAGTATCAATGAAATGCTCTAAGTACGCGTATGTACAAGTTTTGACTTCAAATAAGGTCCTTTTTTTGACATTGCTGCAGAGGTTAACTTTTCAGTTTTAAGTATATAAGCTTTTATAAAGATTAACAAGAATTTGATATGAAATAAATAATATCATTATTAAGTGAGACGATTAGCACCAAAAGATGTATAAAATAGTCCAAGGAACTTTTAAAATTCACTATTTTGTTGTGTTTTCACAATTATGGTGGAGGGCAGGGTATGCTTTCTCTTCTAGATACCTGATGCCACATTTTATCATGAAATACTTACTCATTTTATGATTGATATACTTCCTCATGTGAAAAGTTCATTAGCTGTTACCAATGTTTTGCCAGTATGTTGTTTAAATTGCTGGTTTCTTTTTACCAAAATAAAATGACCGAAATGGGTCTCAATGGGTAGAAACTACTATCGCTTGGCAAAAAAACTTAAGACAGCATATTTTTTAATTTCGATTTTGTTTTTCTATTGTTTTTAATTTAATTTTTTCAATAATTACCAAAACTTCCAAGGCTTCTTTCTATTGACCCATTTGTGTTGCAAGATGTTTATTACCATTATTTTAGCCATTTGCAAATTATGATATAACTTTGAAGAGCTCTCTCACATGATAATATTACGTGTCACAAATTTCTCTTGAATGTCATTATGCTTGATGATGTAATAACTCTGAATAATTACAGCGTTTGAGTTGAGCTTGAAGCTGCAATGTTTTTGATAATTTATTATTACTGCTTTCGAGTTGAGCTAAAAAAAACTTTGGGAAATGGTCGGAAATGACCAAGAAAAAAATCAAAGATCATAAAAATCAGAATTTTCAGACTTAATTTGCAAATTTGTAATTCAACAAAATTTGTACTGTCATGTCTTAATTTTGTACCTTTGCCAGGTTTGTTTTAACATGTTAGTAAGAAAAATACCTAGGTCCTCTAGAATCCCTTTTTCTACCAGGCCACATTTCAAGTAGTGATAACTTTTGATAATTTATATATTTTTCGTATCTTTGGAGGATTTTATCACAAGAACTTAAACTTTATCACCATTTAATTTGATGCTTTTGTAATGTAGTTGTCATAAGCTTTCTAACTATGTCTTCGTTTTAGTTATCAACCAAATTTTGGAAATATGCATTGATGAATATAGGTGATAATAATATTAATATTTATCTAGAGTTCTAATTAACTTCCAGAAAAATTCAAACACATTCATGCACGTTTTCATAGCTTTGAATCAGTATGATATGCATTATCAAAATTGTAGAGACTGCACTGCTCAATGCCTTTTTGCTTGCATCTCTTTTATGATTACTTTTATGTTAGTAGAATATATTTTATATAAAGCAAATAAAATTCTCTATTAACGTAAATTACGTCATAAACTGTGATGCATTACGGTTATTTATATTCCATGAATTTGGTAAAAAGGCTGTTCTTATCTGCAATCTCTGCTAAATTGAATTTTTGTGATATAAGATAGTTGCCAAGGTTTTCAGAGTTACTTTTTTAAATGTGAGGTTTATAAAATTAAGAAACAAATGAAAAATGAAATTGTGTTCAAGTTGGTTTTACGACTTGACTGATGAATTTCAAAAGTTCAAGGGTCGTCACTGATAAAAAAACAATTATTCACTTTCAAGGAAGGGACCTGATCACAAATGTAATATTATGACAAGAAAAAATGTAGCAAACACCGCATCCACAAGGTAGTGTTTCATAATGAAAAGTGGCATTAAGGAAGAGTTAGCACACCTTGTCTGGAACCACACTCCCACAATTACTGCTAAATCTACACATAAAATAGGGAGGCAAAACAAAACCTAGTGTTATGTAAAATTAAAGAATCATCTGGTATCTTTTATGTCATACTGAAATTTCTAATAGATTATCCTTAAATACTATTACTATAAAAAAGATTTTAAAGGTAAGTTGGAGTAATTTATAGCTTTATATAACTGTTTTAAACCAGTGATGTTATTTTCAAAAGGTAAGCTGCATACAAAGGTAAATAAGTTATAGAAAGGTATATTTAGATATATATGCTATGGTAAGTAGTAATAGTAGAAATCTTGCAGGTTAACAGTTACATTGAAATTTGTCCAGGAAATACTTCACAGAATATTATTTTGATGCTAGATGCCTTGTGGAGTTAAATCCACTTTTCTTAAATGAGAAGTTTTAGGTTACATGAATTTGGAGATATGGTTGGAGTTTAGCAAAATGTGATAGAGTCAACAATTTTTAGTTAGAAATGTCGTCTTCTTGTAAGCTATGATAACATATATTATTATGTTATTGTGGTTTGGTGGTAGCTGTTTTATGTAATTCTCTTGCGGGAGCTGCATCATTTCTAGTTAACTCTTTCTTGAATTGCAGGAACCCCAGGCATTGGATTGTCCCAAATAGAAGTCAAATTTGCCCCCAATACACGAAAAAAGTTTTCGAGAAAAAGGCTCCAAGACTAGTTAAATAGGACGATTAGAGTCTAATACTGGACAAATTTCTATGTACCTTTTTTTAACATACAAGGAAAATTTTAGTTTGAATGAACATATTTTAACTTAGAGATCTTTTAGATAAATTACATTGAATGATTTTTTGCTTTTGCACATGTTTTATAATTTAATTGCCATGAAAGAAAATAAAAATGTAAAATAATACATTTTAAGAATTCAATAAAAAATCTGTAACATTTTTTCAATTGATAATTTATATAATAATATATCTAATTTTAATTTCAGGCAAAGATGCAACAGTATGTATTTTCTTTTTTTGTGCAAATATACATATTTATAGATAAGTTCAACAAAAAGGTTGATTATATTTCCCAGTGTTTACACAAAACAAATTTTATGAGTCTGCTCTGGTTTTCAAAACGCTTTGAAAAAAAAAAAAGGTTTTCCTTTCAGACAGTTTGGCCAGTTAAAGAATGTGCTGGATTACCAACATAGCTGTCTTCCCATTCTGCTGCAATAAAAATACTTAAAAAACTTTCAATGGATCATTAGAATTGTAGATGTAAATTCCCTCATATTTAGTTCATTACTTTAGGTGTGAATGTGAGAGAATATTCGTATTGAAAAAAAATTATTTCATCCATTTTTAACCCTCAGTATCTAGTTCAGGCTTTATATTTACCACAAAAATCCATTGACATCAAACTGTTTGATTTTAGTTGTATGATACCTTTACATAAGTTTAATGCGAAATATGAACATTGTGTGCATTGAATGACTTTGTTTCAACATGTACGATTGCATGTATAAGAGTAAAAAGTTTTATTGAGTGCAAAAATATTTCAGGATGATGATAGATCAAGCAAACCAAAGCCTGGAAGTGGACCTATTTTCACATCAAAACCTGAAAATATAGTTGTAGTGGAAGGTAAGGTCAATTTGTTTATAATTGTATTAGAATGTTGGTTCAAATTATTTAGTTCTTATACACCCACATTATAATGTATAAATTCCAAATAAAAATGAGAGTTAAACAAAACCAATCATGAAGATGAGAAGATATGATGCTTTAAGTAATAAAATTTCTGTTAAAATAAACAATTTATTCCTCCAACGTTACGTGTTTCTAAAAAACACTCTTCCTCAGGGAGTCCAAAACCAACACAATTAAAAAGCAAATGACTGAATTTTTGTGCTGACACGGAATCCCTTAGTTGTTCACTGGAAAATATTATAGCAGACGACACTTGAAATTACGATTACAGCTCAGGATTATAAAGGCAATTCGGCCTTTGGTATTTGGTAAAAACTGAATTCTGCCATTTTGTATATTTTGGAAATAAATAATGAATTTGACGTGGCTTTAAAACGACAAGAAAAATTCTGCAGGTTGAATTGTAGAGATAACCCATGTTTATCAAAACAAGCGAATAAGGAGGTCACGTGAGGTCATACATGTGAATTATTAATCATTTCTCGAGATGCACGAAGAATAAGTCAGCACAAAATTAGGTTACTTGATTGTATTAAATTCAGATTGCAACAAATAATTTGATTGCCTGCATTTGATTTTAGGTCAGCCTATAAGAGTATCAGTTGGAATAGACTGTCAAGGGCGCCCTATGCCATTAGTGAAATTTCAGAGAGCAGGTCGTGAAATTCGTGACGATAGCAGAACAGCTATCAATGCCTCTAAAAGTGGTGCTGGTTTAGAGATCAAGAAAAGTAGACAGACTGATGAAGCAAAATATTCTATTATACTAGAAGATGATGGTCATACAACTGATACTGTTACATTTAGTGTGTTTATCAAAGGTAATGATTCTATAGTATTCTGGTTGTGATTATCTTTATGAATTACACATACTGGTTTTTATTTATCAATTAGATTTTAGGTAGTCTGTTTTGTACAATTTATTTTATGGTAATAGTTTTCATTTTGAGAAAACTAAGTCAAATTGGCCTGAATAAAAGTAAGAAACAACTATAATGATAACAACTTTTTAGATTTTTTAGGCTTTTGGCGTTGATCTGTCTAAGTATAATGTTATCTGCTTTCTAATGCTGGTACTAAAAATAATCTTGTATGTATGTAGGCCTATGTATGTTTATACCATATGTATTGATTCATAATTGATTCAATCATTTAATCCAGGCAAGAACATAAATTGTTTGTGTAGCAACAGATCAAGGACTGTGGATAGCCAGTCCCTCAAATTTCTTTTTTATACGCCCCCTGGAAACAAACATACCATATTTAGTATGAGTTATTGCCCTTGTTCTTGAAATGCTCGTAAGCAATGTAGAAGGCACATTTTTTGACAGATTTTAACAAAACTTGGTTCGAGTGTTAATCACCCAAGAACCCTATTGAAAAACGGAAAAAATTATTTATTGCACTTGATTTTGAAAATACATTCAATTTGAGCTTGTAAACACTCTAGAAGGCACAATTCTTGACGGATTTTGATGAAAATTAGTATGAGTGTTAAGTATCACTCAAGGATGAATCCTATTAACAGTGGAAATTTTTTTTTAAAAATTCAATGAGTTATTGTCCTTGTTCTTGGAAACACGTTCAATTTATATATGTAATCATGTCAGAAGGCACAATTCTCAACCGAATTTGATGAAATTTGATGAAACTTGGTGAAATTGTTTTTTATCACCAAACGATGAACCCTATCGAAAATCAAAAATATTAAAAAATATTTAAAAATAGTTACAAAAATTTGATTTATTGTCCTTGTTCATGAAAATACGTTTTAGCTCGTGAACACTCTAGAAGACACAATTCTTTGATTTTTATGAAACTTAGTGTGAGTGTCCAAGGATGAACTCTATTGAAAATCAGAAAAATATTAAGTATGAGTTATGGCCCTTGTTCTTGAAAACACTTTCATTTTCCAGCTTGTAAATAAGTTAGAAGGCACAATTCTCGACTGATTTTGACAAACATTGCACACAAAATTGAGTTATTGACCTCAAAATTTGAAAAAGCATTAAAGGCTTGATTCTTGACAGATTTTGATAAAAAACTACACTACAGTTTTCATCTGACTTTAATGAAATTCGGTGTGATCATTTATATTGATGAAATCTTGGAATGATTAAAATTTTATGATTTTTCAATGAAGGGTTTTTGAGTTATTGCCCTTGACTTGAAAAAAACATCTCAAAATTGTGAAATTTGTGAACAAAATAGAGACTACAGTTTTTACGATTATTTGATTTACAGTTTTTATGTTATATGTTGTGAAAAACTCGGCATAAAAACTGACAGTAAATACATATATGTATGAATAATTTCAATCTACAAATGCATGATGAAGATCTTTAAAATGAGAAAATTAATTTTAGTTACTAAAGAATCGATTATCATTTCTGACAGCTGCCAGTGGGTGTATATTACCTTGCCTGGCAAGCTATCTTTATTGATTTTATTAAGAATAGTCTGTCTTAGTGGTTCTCCTGCATATACTTTAAATATATATTGATTTGCTTTTTCAGATCAGAAAGATTCTAGTTTGGATTTTAGAAATTTGTTGAAACATCGGTTAGTGGTTTAATAATTGTATTCTATATTTGGTGGACCATATATACCTAGTATATACAGTGGCGCCTCGTTTATCCGAAAGCCAGTTAGAAGAACTCACATCCAACCGCTGATGATGAATACTAATTACTATAGAATTTGATAATTGGTTCCCAATCACTGCCGTGCAGAATCGGTAACCGAATCAGCGGATTACTTTTACATAGTAAATATTTCGTTCCCAGTAAAAATCGTGCAGATATCAGGGTTTCTGGATTATCGGCAACCTAATAAACTTGACTCCACTGTATATACTATATTCACTCACATGGTAATTGTATCCATATTACGCAATTATGGAATCGTCTTTTGACTCTATTTAGTTGCTATCTTGCTTATCATATTTATTATTATTATATTTCAAACTTCAGGGCTTCAAATAATTAAAATGACAATGAATTTCCATTAAACCATTTTTATACGCCAACATGAATATGTGGTCGTATACTGTCGTCGGTCTGTCGATTCTGATGAAACTTTGTGTGATCTCGATGAATGGTGTTGAGTTATTACCCTTGACTTTGTAAAAACGCGTCAAAATGTGTTCGTGAGCACAATAGAAGCTACAGTTTTCAACCGATTCTGATCAAACTTGGTATGATCAATGAAATTAATAAGATCTCGGACCAGTTGTAACTTGACGAACGGATTTTGAGTTATTGCCCTTGACTTAAGAAAAACGTGTCAAAATTTGTTTGTGAACACAATAGAGTTTACAGTTTTCATTCGATTTGAATGAAATTTGGTGTGATCATTTATATTGATGAGATCTTGGACAAGTTTGAATTTGATCTTTTGATGAACGTTTTTGACTTGATCATTAAGACCTTCCATGTCTTCTCTAGGTGCTAGTAATCTGGATGATCTAGACTATGTTATTGTCGTTCGGAACTTTTAAGCTTTCTGAGGCGAGAAATATCAATTTGTTACGCGAAAAAGAACATTTTTCAAGAACACACAACTTTGACGTCTATTGGAAATATTAACAGTCTGAATCGCGTAATTCACGATCTTTTCAACAAGAAAAACAATATTTTTTCATAGATTGGTACCGGACAAACATGTCCGGCTCAAACGAGATTGTACCGGACATTTGCCAAAATTGTACCGGACAATGTCGGTGTCCAGACGCTTATTTCAAGCCTTGAATCTGTTTATATTTAGAAAACGGCACAAAACAGAAAGTGTTATGGAATTGTTAATATTATTCTATTCATAGCTCTATGAACTTTGACACATAGCATGCTGCCTGGTGTAAGATGTCGGCATAACTAGAACTTTATTTGCCAACAACCCCTAAATTCGAACAAATTCTCAATTGAAGCTGAAATCGGTCTCTATCAGCTTTTGCCCCTCATGCAAATGCGGCCGACCCCTTGGCGCATTGGGCTGGTTACGGGCCTGGAATGAAGTTTGGTATGCTAATATGGATTGCAGAATCAGCTTTGCACTTTGGATCATACTAAAAGATGTACCAAAGTTCAACGGAAGTTATTGAGCAATATTGGTAAAAAACAATAGGTTGCTAAAAATTAATATAATATTTTATATCTCTTATTAGTGAAAAAGGAAAGAAAGATCAGGATGATGAAGATGTTGATTGGGGCAGTTTAAAACCAGGTTAGTATTCAATTATTAGCAATTAAGAATAAAAATGTTAAATACTGGTGTTAAGTATTTCATCAGAGCTTCCTTTTGATTCATGAAGTATAATGATTCAATAGTCAAATTAAAATTTTTATAAAAAAGGGAAGTTTTTACTTAAGCCATGTTAAAACTTGATGATGAAATGCTAATAGAAGAGATGAATATATAATATTATGTTTTATGTAATTTTGATATACATCCCAATATATTTCTTTTTCTTTGTTCATATTGTCTCATTTTTTTGTTTGTTTTTGTCTTTTGACAGAGGAAGGTAACATACATATTTGTTTCTGATGTCTTTATTATTAGGATCTTCTCTTTAGTCTATAATTAATATTATGTTGATACATCAAAATGTATTTTTTACTTAACATGCTTTCATAGGCTTATAGTATACTCTAATATCACAAATTAATACATTTAAGTTATAAGAGCAAGTGAAAAGTAAGTTAAGGTGAGAAGGTTTCATTTAACATCTAGGAATAGTTTAGTTTAGTCTAGATAAAGGCATGTAAATCCGTACATAAATATGTAGATACAGTAATATTTTATTTTTTATGTTTGGCACTGTTGGAAATTTACATTACATATCAAAAATAAGGCACGGCCAATTTTTTTCTTGTTTTATGGACTTGAATTTGTCAGAAATGATAATTAAAAGCTAGTGTTTCAATGCCCCAAAAAACAGATAGTATGAAAGGGACTATGGTGACCGCTAATCAAAATTGTTCCTGGGACCAAGAAATGCTGAGCAAAAAATTGTAAAGATCAAACTCATCAAGAACTCGCCATTATACAGCATGATGAGAATCGTCAAAATTAATCAAAACTGTTGTCTATATCACATTCACAAGCTAATTTGAATGTAATTTTGCAAAGTAAAGGGAAATAACTTATTTGTATACATCATACCATATTTATTAAAAATCTGAAAAAAATCTGTAACCTCTGCCACATTCACTTTTTTTTTAAATCTCTCGAAATTTCATCATTATAATAAGCCTGCCAAGTTCATAAGTTTAATTGGTTAAATCAAGTGCAATACATCTAAAAGAAAATTTTTGGCAAATTGAGATATGTTCACTTATCTGCAATTTTATCAACATATTCAAAATCTGACAAGCAGCTTTTCCACGTCAGCCCCCCTGACTAGCATCACAGACAACAGGAAACCAGGTGGTAAAATCCAAGGTACCTTCTTAACTTATGCCGCGTTTATTAACCTTAACTACATGTAACAGAGGGCAAAATGAGGGTAATATAGAGCAAACATATTCAACTGCCCACATCAGCATGGTGAAATGAGAAACTTTCTCACTTGATCTTCTTAAACATACCAAGTTTTACCAAGATTAAAGTGGTAAAATGGGGTAAAAAAGATTAATTGTTGCAAACCGTACACTTTTATATTTCGATCATATACTAAGTTTTTTGAAAATCAATGGAAAACTGGAAGCATATCATTTTCAATAATGGTTGATCATGAAAATAAATATCATTTGTAAGATGACAAAATTTTAACTGTTTTCAATTTAGGTTTATGTTTACACATAAAAATTTGATCTAAATCTGTTCAATACTTTAGAGAACACTATTATTGGCTCTGGGAAACTTAATTTATGTTTTATGAGCATGTCTTGAAAAAGATATGAAACTAAATAAATTCCCGAACAGCACATATATTCAAATTGATTTTTTCTTAGAAGGCTACACAACTTTTGTTCTTTTTTTAGCTTTTGCAAGGAAAAATGTGTAAAGCAAGCAAAAATATTGATCAGGCCTATTGTCATGAATGTAAAGAGTATTTTGCTACTGTTTATATATTTACATCAGGCAACATTTTACAACATATCTTTCAAAATATCCAAATTCTAAAATGCATTTAGTCTTTGTCAATTAATTGTCATGCTGTTTCATACTGATCCAATTTAAAAAACACAAAATTTGTTTGGCTCAATGTATTTCTCAGTACTAAAGAGTAGATCCTAACGTGATATGTTATTGTGTGATTGTAAATGTCTGTGTTGTGACTAGAATAATGTTTTGTTTCTAGCTGCTAATGTGAATTGGTGTATTTCTCTACTTACTTTAATCATTTATCATCTTCTATAAACAGTGTTACTTACATTCTCTTTCCTATATTATTATAAGTGTTAAGTAAAGTGTGCAGGTTTTTTAACCTTTAAAAAGCTAGCCGCACTTGGCGTGTACATTATGGACAGTGACTTTTTTTTACCAGAGTGATTTCTCTGTCAATGTTGACAATTCCCGATATTGTTGCTTAAATGGAGAACCATACACGACGTGAAAAAGTCCCTTCTATGTCATAAAATGAGTGTTTTGTATATTCCTATAATTTTGATAATATGTATATTGTAGTGTTGAAACAGTTAGTGAATTTTACGAACCCTGTAATCGTTGGCAATAACCGTTTTTTACCCGGTTAATTACTAAAGATTGTAAAAAGAGTCAAAAACCACATTTGCGGCGGTACTCACCGTTAACTAAACTAGAGTACGTGTAAATGAGTACTCAGGATGATTTTGGCTAGTTCCCAGCGAATTGTTGGTACAAATCGACAGAAGTGGCGCGTGCCGAACGTCTGATAATGATTACAGTGCTTATTTGTTTAACCTAATTAACATAACGGTGCACACGGCGACTGTTGACAACTTAAGACCATCATGACGCGATTATCCAGAACGTGTAATTAGTTGAACTTAAATAAAAAAAGAGGCTTGATAATCTTGACCACAATTCGTGCATTCTTTTGATAATTGATACCCTATCTTGATTTATGCATCTCAATTATTCAATCAATAAAGATGTTTATTTACTGAGGAAACAGCTTTAAGACTCATACAGCGACGAATCTTCTGTCAAAATTGCTCTCCTTTTACTTCTTATAAAATCGATTATCTCAAATTAGACCCAGTTATCTGTGAAATACTACCCGAAATTGGTTAACTGATTAACCGTTTCAACACTAGTATATTGTAGTGTGTTATTTCTTGAAAATTGGACAGCAATACGTATCAATATATGAAAACACAGGGAAAAAAAGTAGCAATTATCATGTGCATAGTGCCATGATTATAGGTTTTTAAATGTTTCTTTATCAACGGTTGACGAACATTCATCACATCTAACCAATTCTTGCTCAACAAACTTTCCTCTATGTCTAATGACCTACCTTTGCAGATCATATGTTATTATTCAATCAGCAATCTCGTAAATATTTAGTGAGGGATAGCAATTTAAAAAGGCAGCATCCATAGAATCAGCGATTTCACTAAATAAAGATAAATTTACCTTGAATGTTTCTGTAACCATTAAAAAAAACACAGTCATTTTTAGCTAATAAAGATGTTTTTAATGACAATAATATTGAGTTGATATCGGTTAGATATGAAAAGAATTGATTACCAATGCAAAATGAATATGAGGTTCTTGTTATGATCTCAATTGACCCACAGTGTGTTGGTCCTATGATAATTGATGAAAGATAAACTGTCTCTTGGTATGCTGATGTACATTGCTGAGAACTTAAACAGCCAATGGCATAAGCAAATAACATCAAATTTGGATTTTGATAAAACTTTGAAAGGTTTGAAATGTTTGATTTTCTTAATTTGGCATTTGTTGTACATGATTTGATGAAGGTATTATCGATAGAATAGATTTAAATCATTTTAAGTACCCCATGAATTTGCCTTTGGTGTAGTTAATTTAATATCTCAACCATTATCCTTATGATGTGAAGTTTATTTCTTGAAAAAGGAATCTGAAAATTATTGCACCAGAAACATTGCTCATACATCTTAATAAATCATATGACACCATGAAGTCAATTCAATAGATCTGCAAATGTGATAATACACATCCAATGTTTGAAGAATTCATAAGATCTGATAAAGAGGAAACTCAGGAGGATCTTATGAATGAATTGTTACTTGTGAACTGCAAAGAGAAATATTGATGCTTTTGATTTATTTATTGGCTAATAGATTGACATTATTATTTCTGCAAAGAAAATTAAAGCTGTGGTTTTTTTTTTTCAATTTTGAAAAGCAAATGTGAATTAATCAGTCTTTTCTTTCACAAACCAAATATAAATATATACTTCATATGGAATATACCTTATTTACATTGTGCTCCATTTGTAATACTTGTTAGGTACCATTTCTATTACAAATATCCTCCTGCATACAATAGATATGATATGGAGTTGATATTGTAAGCAGATGAAATTAATTTTACAATCTAACATCATTTTTTATATACTCACCGTTTTTGTTGTTATGATAGAAGAAACTAACATTTCAATTAAGACAAGAATTCTCTTCATACACTTATATTTTTCTCCATTCATGTCCTTAGATTTGTATTATGTGTGCAATAATTGTTTTACGTTACAAACAATATTCTGATTTTATATATGTTTTACAATAAAAAAAAAGGTATAAATTGACAATATCTTATAAATTCTAAAACCTAATAAGCTAGACTTTAAAGCTCCATCTACATAAATATACATTTGCTTAAAATATTGTCCTAGATCCTTTTATGAGAGCTTAAGCTGCGTTTACCGAACACGCGGCATGCGTATTGCGGGACGCGGCAACGGAATGCGGTATGCGAAATGCAGTAAATATACCGCACTTCTATTTATCGGAAGGCGTTAATGTGGCGGTATCACTTCAAGTTTCATAAGCATGTCGCCCATCTGGTCCGTTCCTTCTCAAACACGATGCAACCGAATCCAGCTGGATGTAATCATCGCCGTTGGGGCCTATGTGATAGCAAGGAAGAGACGTTCTAGACGAATTGTTTGTTTGATTGGTGTTTATAACCAGTACATCACAATGGTGAAAGGCAAGAGATTTCCAGCGAATGTATCACTGCTTTGTTGCAGATGTAGACCTACAATCACTGAGCCACCGAGGCCCATTAACAGTGTGAGCGATAGAATCATTACAATTCTCTGACTGAGGCTTGATTTGAGCCCGAGCCTTGTATGTCGGAACAGCTGAAGACGTGCGCTACGCGGCCACGACCGGCTCCAAACTTAAAAATGAAGCTCACCATCTAGTCCTTCCACTTTCATTGTTTTTGCTATGCTCTCCCAGGCATTACTCATCTTCTGTGCATTCATATGACTGTCGTCCTTGGCATCGTAGATGAAAGGACGTTCCCTGATGAGTCTGACCAAGCGTTCGATTACATCGTCCGGAAGTTGTTTTCCTCTAGGCATTTTGACTTATGGGCGCAACTTCACACGCAGGAATGCATGGAAACTATTAAACAAAGCTCGGATAATTGCTACACGGGGACTTAAACTGCCACGGTATATTATACCGCGCCTAAAGATCGCTACTCTGACCGATTGGTGCCGCGACCGACTCCCATAACGCATACTGCATAACGCGGTCCGGTAAACGGATTAAGGGAAATGGCTTGGAGCGAAAAAATCTCTATACCGCATTCCGTTGCCGCGTCCCGCTATACGCATACCGCATGTTCGGTAAACTCACCTTTACAGTTCTTTACAAGTGTAAAGTAAAATATTGTTTAATTCATGTTATGTTTGTGTACATTGTATATGTATCTGTATATAAAATATCCTGAGAATACAGGTTTTCAACTTCATTTGAAATATATATAATATGATGTTGGCAAGTGTTGTTGGGCAAAAGAGCTGTTGCTCTAGTACAGGGTTTCTCAAAAATTGAGTGATAATTCCTGTAATTGTTAATTAAAACCTTTAATTTCGACGTAGGTGATAATTCAACGAATCTTGTAAAGAACGGCGAAAAAACGTTTTTAATTCAAAATTCTTGAATTTTCATCTTGGTGAGGGATTTTTAATTTAAAACTTTATAAATGATAATTCCTGTTATTTTTGATTAAAAACTTTAATTTCCACCTAGGTGATAATTCAACGAATCTTGTAAAGAACGGCGAAAAAATGTTTTTCGAAATTCTTGAATTTGCACCTTGGTGACAATCATTTTCACCTAGGTGAAAATTAAAGTTTTTAATTAAAAATTACACGAATTATCACATAATTTTCACCTGTGTGAAAATAATTATCACCTAGGTGAAAATTAAAGATGGGTTTCTTTTAAGTGTTAAAGTAAAAAAACTAATTGTTTAATTGGTGTTTCTAATGAATTATCATGTATTCTTAATCATACCATTATGTTCTTATTGCATATAATTTAGAGTTTTATCCATTCATAAAAGTACATGTATGTACAGTCTGGATAAATAAAAAAAGACTTTTTGACCATTCTTGATCGGTCACTCATTGGATTTATTCTAGTAATTTTCTTCTAATTTAGCTAATTATGAATTCATTATGAACATGTGAGACAAACTGGTATTTTTCCAAGTAATTAGAACACCTCTACTTTCTATTCTATTCTATTCAAGTATTAGAATTTTCATTTTCATTTTCATAAATGAAAATAAGGGAACCCATCTTTAAAGTTTTTAATTAAAAATTATAGAAATTATCAGCTAATTTTCACCTAGGTGAAAATAATTATCACCTAACTGAAAATTTAAGTTTTTAATTCAAAATTACAGGAATTATCACCTAATTTTCACAGGTGAAAATTAAAGTTTTTATTCCAAATAAAAAGTGGAAAATGTCGTATGTGAGCCACCGTAGTCTGGTATTTTCATATTTTGTACAGAGAGCTGAGAAAATATTCTGAATCAGACGGAATTCATAATTCTGAAAAGTACTTTTTCAAATTCAACATTGTACGAGTACGATTAATAACAAAAATGTGTTTTTTACTGCTATAAGCTCAACAAGAGCGGTTTCACCAATTAATAAACCTCAAAGCCTACAGCATCGGCAGGCTTTCACCTTCGCCAACCTATGAGTACCCTTAAGTAGTGCAGACCCTTTGACCCAACCTTGCTGGTGCTTTGGCAATTCTAAATATAACATGTGGCACTATAGCTAATTAATTTGAAAAACCTTAGTAGTAATAGTGCTTACAGATTTACAGCGCTATTCCGCATGGCTCTGTAGTACTATAAATCTGTAAGCACTATTACTACTAAACTTGTTCTATTTGTTCATAGTTATACAAATTGTTTGTATTATTGTAATAAGCATGCTGAAAACCTGGTGTAAAAACCGTAAATTTTGGAGCTCCAATTATTGGCAACTCAAACAAGAGAGAAAATTTACTCATTGTATAATTTTTGTTATTTAGTTGATAAAAAAGGTCGTAGATTATCTCAAATAGAAATGATGAAGAAGAATCTAAAGAAAGTTCCAGAAGGAAGTGACAGTGAAGAAGAAAAGGTAATATGATATAAGATGATATTCCTTTTCTGATTATAAACACATTTAAAAAGAATGATTCAATAAGGAGCTCTAGTGTGTTATATAATATATATATATAATTATAGTTATATAATACATATAACTATGAATGCCTATTAATATAGAATCATGATATATGTGCAGATCTTGGTGCCATTCCCAAGGCTTTGTTTACATAATAATGTCAAACCTTGACTACCAGGGAGAACAATCCTTGAATGTTAAACATTACCTTAGATTTATTATATATCTCAAACCGTTCAGACGGGCAATTGTTGTATGACATTGACTTTGAGCCTTAAAAGTACATGTATGGCCTGTTCTTCGTGACCTATGAGAACTAAAGTTTTGGTTGACTAGACTGAAAATGAACTCACAAACAAAAGTTCACATATACTTTCAGTTTAGGTTACAACTGTGAGACGTTATCGGCCCTTAAAATATTATATCTTTTTCAAAAACTGTTTGATATTTAATGCATATGATTATTTCTATCTATTGAGATTTAAATTATATAATTGAATTGTTTAACTATTCTAAGTCTTCACGCCATAAAGTTGAACGTTCAGAGTATAAACGTGGATCTCAAGATCGGAGTAAAGCAGAAATAGAAGAATCAAATACTCTAATGAAGGCATGTTGATAATATAGCTATAGCTATGATAGGTTTTATTTATTGTAAAATTGAATTATATCTGATAAAATTATCTTTGATTGAAATTGATGTTGTACATTAAACCACTGAAATGAACCATGCCAATTGGATTCAGGAGAAATTCACTGAAATTTATTGATAATTATAAGATAAAATTCAATTTTAATTAGTGAGGTGTGTGACAAAAGATTTTGAAACATTAGTAGAATTTGTAGTTGTGTGATTTATAATCATTCTATTTAATAATTTTGTATTATGTATACATTTATCTGAAGATAACAATTGATAGGAAAGTAGAAATTACAAAAGAAAATCTGTTTTAAAAGAAATGGTCATGAGATGATAAGATAAGATAATTAAAACAGAAAACTATAATAAGAAACAGGCTTAGTAGTTTAAACCGATGAATTTATGTATTTTTATGAAATAATGTAGCAGTTGAAGAAAGAAAAGCTGTTAAAAAGTAAAAAAACAATAAATTTAACCAAATATCAAATTTTATATTGAATATGTATTGATATGTTAAGGAAAAGAAGAATATAGAACGTAGAGCATCTATAGAACCCACTGATGTTAAAGTTCCCACACCTGAACAATTAGATGCATTAGAGGCACAACAAAGACGATCATCTATGCAGCAACGCAGAACATCTCTAGCTGATTGCATACCTGATTGGCCTACTTTACAAAAAGCTAAAAAGAAGACAGAGGTACATTCTTCCAATAAACAATTTGTATTTGAATAACAGTGAATAAATATGATAGAATGTTGTATACGTGAACTAAAACTAATAATACAAAGCTATGTTTATATTGTTTTCCTATTCTAACTCAAGTTAACAAATTAATCTTTAGAGAATTATGAATAAAATATACGAAAATGTGAAGCTGTTGGTGACAACAGCCAAGAATTACCGGAGAACATTCTGGTAATTATCTTTTCCCTAAAACTAATAGAGAGTCCAAGGATGATTTACCTATATAAAGGGTGTTGACAGGTTTAGCATTCAAGAACAACTCGGGTCACAAATCATGTGAGTGTTTTTGAAAATATTTCTTCTGGCACTATAGTTATTAGGGATTTAGTAAAAGTAATTTATAGAAATAAGACATTTTCGGTTTATTTGTCTTTGCATGGGAAATCGTGCTTCTTTTCATAACAATTTTAAACAAAAGAATTGACCTCAAACATCACAACTGGAAATATGCAAACTTTCAGTTTGTGCCAAGTTAGACCTTTATGTAGATTTACAAAAGTTATCATAATTATTATGTCAACTAAAAGTCAAGCATAAAAAGTTCATAAATATTAATTCTTATTTTAATTATTTTCTTAATGTTTTTTTGCATGTTGCATGTTTTGTGTTTGGCCATGTTAGATTCTATGGTAATAAAACTTAAACCAATTTGTTTTAATGCAACTATACAGGTAAGGTTGATACTAAAAATTTTTTCTCTGTGTGCAACATCTCAATGTAACAGCTATTATGGAAATAATAACATAACATACAGGATTTCCTACAGAACAATACACAATTTTTTTCATCTTATGCTTCAGTATTCTCAAGAGTATGCATTCAGGTCAATGTTAAGATCCAGACTGAATTTGAATTTCATTTTTGAAATATCTATTAAATTTAGTTCCATCATTATACTCTTCATCAGTTTATGATTAAAACCAAGGATTTGTGAATCAAATTTGGATATGAAATGTTTGACTGATAAACTTTTTTTTGCTGTTAAATCTAATTTTACAGTGTGTCTTTTCATATTGTATATGTATTTTGTATCTAAAATCAGCATGCCCTCCTAGAAATCTTGACTCACAGCAGCTGAGTATTTTGATAAGATGTCAGATTCGTCTGTATTGAATAAGAATGTCTTGTCTGCCAAATGGCAGTTTGATTTTTTATCAAGACATTTGATAGGACACATCACAGGCATCAGTCTGTTTCTATCAATAGTCGACCATCTCTATAATAGTATATATATGAGAAGGTGGCTAACGCCCATCACAACCATCTCCGCTTCAGACGATTTTCTACCATTTACCGTAATGAAACATTATCCCAACCTTATATGAATCGTTTCATAGAATATTTTCCCTTCACACAAGACCTATTTTATATCTCCCTCAGTGTTCCTCCTCATACTAATCTAACTTTTGTTCAATAAAAATACTAAAAATATTTACACCCATCGTTTCACTATATCTACTTCCGGTTGATTTGGCAGTAAATATATATCGGTCAATACGATTGGTCAGCTATAATTACCTGTTGAGTAAAAACCAAAGTGAAAGTAAAAGCATGGTTATTGACTTATCTATTTATTTTATTATTCAGAAAAAAGTAGTTATATAGGTGATTTCCATTTTTTTTAAATATAAAAGTAATGAAAATAGCAACACAGTAATTTTAGATGAAATTTTCTTTACAAAATAGATAACATTCTGCCCTGATACCCGCCAACCGGAAGTAGATATAGTGAAACGATGGGTGTAAATATTTTTAGTATTTTTATTGAACAAAAGTTAGATTAGTATGAAGAGGAACACTGAGGGAGATATAAAATAGGTCTTGTGAGAAGGGAAAATATTCTATGAAACAATTCATATAAGGTTGGGATAATGTTTCATTACGGTAAATGGTAGAAAATCGTCTGAAGCGGAGATGGTCGTGACGAGCGTTAGCCACCTTCTCATATATATACTATTATAGAGATGGTCGACTATTGATAGAAACAGATGCCTGTGGGACACATACTGAAATGTAAAGTTATTCATTTCTTCTAGAACTGTAGCTTTGGACTGTGGGCATTGTATAAATTAGATCAATGAGAGCAATTTGGACAAGTAAAAACTTTGTGGAATGGTTTGCAACTTATGTATTTAATTAACCAAACTAAGATTATGTTATTATTTCTACAGGCTTCAATTTATTTTTTGACTTTGTTTGTGACCAAGGCAAGCCTGATGCTAATTTTTTTTTTTTTATCTGACTATTTGTCCGCTGACTTTCAACATGAAAATGGTAAAGTAATAGTAATGACTGTTCATTGTGAAAATGACAGGAACAATATTTTGCCCACTTTACAGACATCAATTTATCTTTTTATTGTTTAAATATTTGGTTTTGATGTGTTCATTATAAGAGAAATTGGTTTTAAAATGCAGAAGTTAAAATGTGTCATTATGTGCATTCACTTCAAACTACGATGTCTTGTTAAATTTGGAATTGTAATGCTCATATTGAATGATTTTTAAAAAAAAATTTGCAATTTCATCCCAAGGAAACAGTGATTTCAAATTAAAATTTCACACACTTTTTTCAAAGACCACCAAAAACAAAATGGATTCTGCTGTAATTGATGAATGTCAACGAAATTATGCTGATCTTTAGAAATCGTTATTCTGCAACCGATATAATAAAAAATCCATTCCAGTAGTGATACATTGGCTGTCATTTTTATTTTCCTGAATTTTGTTCAATTTAATTCAGACATTATGGCCCAGCCGTTTTAGATGATTTTGAAGTCCAATAAAAGAACATTGAAAAATTACTTATTATTTACGTTTTGGGCGGGGGGATAACTTGCATAAAATACATTTTGTTCAAAAAGAAACTTTGCACACAATTCTTCATCCATTTGGCCAGTTTGTCTGAAAAATTCAGTTGTTTCAGATTTATAGTTCAAGAAGGAACCAGTTTTTGACCTTGAAGTTTTTTTTATCTCGACCTTGGCTATCTATTTATACTTTCATATCATATGTCCGACTTTAACTTCTTCTGGTTTATGCTGATTGGTGACTGATATCTCAAGACCTTGACCTTTGTTGAACTTCCTTTTACACAATCAAGGTTACTGACTTTGACAATCTGCTGATACTTTCATATTAAATTTTGATGTCTGACAACTACTTCTGGTTTCACAACCTTTCAAAAAGACAATTTTTCGTAACTGTTGATTGCTTTAACTCATGATTAAATTAGACTATAAGGCTGATTTTTCAGATTCCCTAGCAAATTGACACATATAAAAGTCCCATTCAGAACCACACGTTCAGGCTTTTTTATGTTTTGAACAGATTCTCGTTGAATATAGTAAACATTTGGTTGTTTTATCAAACCCATGCTGAATTAGGTCCTATTGTTCATGGTCCTCTACCACGTTAACGGACAGGTTATTTTCATTTTTGACATTTATTGTGGGCATATGTCTCTTTCATGGCAAACTATCTTTTCTAGTGGGGAAAAAACAAAAGAATAATTAAATCGTCAGTGTATGATAGTAAAGCATTTTGTTCTGTAGATTAACTAGACGTCAGATTTTCATTGTGAATTATTTTAAAATTACCTGATAGAAATTAATTGATGATGTTCTTTATTTTTTGTTTCTTGATTCATATGTTTTTCAATGATAGAAATTTAAGAGATACTTGAAATAAATTGTAAATAAATCAGTTAAAATTAAATATTTATCAGCTTAAATTAGTTTAAATTAGTCCATTCAAATGTTACAATTAATAGTATTTATTGAAGCTGATATTATTATCATTTGCTTTATTATATGATAGATATAATTTGTAATTTATCTTTATTTCTATAATATTTTTAGGAAAAAGAAACATTTATAGAAGATTTAGATGATCATAAAACACTAGAGGGAACAAAAATGATTCGCATGAGTTGTGTATTTTGTAAGCCAAATGCAAAACTGAAGTGGTTTAAAAGCAAAATGGAAATATTCCATAGTCATAAACATCATTTTGAAGTAGAAGATAATAAATATACATTGATAATTAATAATGTAAAATTAGAAGATGGTGGAAAGTATACTTGTCAGTGTAATAAAGAAACTACATCAGCATGGTTATATGTGGAAGGTTTGTTTTATTTTTTTATTGCATTTAATGTAACGAAATTCTGCACTGGGCTTTGAAAGAAGTAGTGAACTTATTAAAACATGAACCTTTAAGAAACGACCAGGAAACAACTAATAAAAACATGAAATGACCAGGAACTGAGCAGGAAAACAACAGAAAACTACTTCAAACTATTTTGTGATAAATTCTAAGCATGCTAGTTGGGCCAAACAAGTAATTTTTTTAAAAATATGCATTGTGAGAGGTGCACTTTATAATGACCCTCAAAATCATGAAAAATTAAAGTGACCCCTTTCTTGATATTATTAATTACCCTCATATCAATTATCATTTTCCTGTTTCTTCTTCTTTTTAACATACATGTAAGCTCTTTTTTCTAAGAAATTTAGGGGAATAAGGCTACCATTCATACTAGTATTATGTCTGTAAGATGAAATTTAGCATATTTGTTGACTATTTACAATATGAATGTATCATAGAGTATCTTAAACTTCACAACAGCACTATTGTTACAATGTATTAACAATGTATTAACAATGTTATATATCAAACTGAATTAGGTTAGGGTTCTGTGCATTATATCACAGACAAAATGCACTCAATTGGGAAATACGAAAGACGTCTCAATAGGTCAATGCACCGTAATACACATTTTCTTAAAATGAAATACACGTTTGGCCTGATAAGCATGCTTAGAATTCATTGCAAAAATGTTTTTCGTTTCCTGGTCGTTTCTGGGTGGTTCATGTCGATTCATGTTTTAGTAAGTATGGCACTGAACATTGATATAAGAATAAACTAGTTCCATTTGTTAACTGGTTCAAACACAGTGAGAATCAATCTTCATACAAAAAAATATGCATGAAGGCAAGAATGATGTACACAAATTTCTGATAGAATTGGTAATTTTTCAACAATTAATTTGTGAAATATACAGGTATTTCCTACTCAATTAATTATTGAAGAGGATTTTCATGAGGATCTGTTTTATTTGATACAAGCCTAAAAACTCTCAAATAGACTAGAAGCATCTCGTGCTAATTTTTCGGACAATTCTTTGATGGATTCTTGTTTTTTGCTCCATCATTATGTAAGGGAAATGCTTATCTATCTTTCAATCAGATAATTTGTTCTGATATACAATTTTGAACAGTGTTGGACAGTTTGATTGTTCGGAATTGCTATTTCTTACATTTCAAGAAATGTTTCAATATTTATGCAGGATAATAATACAGTCAATGCTGAGTCAGTATCAAACAGAAATGATAATTTTCAGAGTGCTAATAAAATATTACTTCCAAATATTGACAATTGGTTCAAAATTCTGCCAATGAATGATTAGAGAAAGCATGTACTGATCAAAAAAGGCACTCGCCATTTCAGGCAAAATGATTTAAGATGGAAGTAAGCATTAGAATTGTTTGAAATTTGTTGTGCATATTAAGGACAAATACCTTTCTGTCAACTTTCACATTGATTGATCACAAAAGGGGGCTGGGCAAAATTGCAACAGTGCCACTTATCCAAGTATTAGGAGATCGTTTATTAGAAAAAATGAATACAGATATATGCAGGGAGGTTATAGTCATTGATGAGGAGAATATTGGTTTGTGAAACAGTAAGATGTACACTGTTGTTTTCCTGTCTCTTTCAAGGTTTTTTTTTAAAACAGGCACATAACCTGCGTATGCATCAGGTTTAATGTTACAAGAATTGTAAAAACATTTCTTACTTTGGTATACAAATCAACTATTTTCAACATTGTAAATTAGTTTTGAATGTGTTTTTGAATTATTGCCCTTGATTTAGTAAAAACGCGTCCAAATTTGTTTGTGAGTGCAATAGAGACTACAGTTATCATTCGATTTGAATGAAATTGGGTGTGATGATTTATATTCATGAAATCTTGGTCAAGTTTGAATATGAAGAATTTTCAATGAAGGGTTTTTGAGTTATTGCCCTTGACTAAGTAAAAACGCGTAAAAAGTTGTTTGTGTGCCCAGTAGAGACTACATTTTTCTTCTGATTTGAATGAAATTTGGAGTGATGATTTATTTTCATGAGATCTCAGTCAAGTTCAAATAAGATGAGTCTTTGATTAAAAATTTTTGAGTTGTTGCCCTTTGTTTGTGAACATAATAGAGACTACAGTTTTCAATTGATTTTAATGAATCTTGGTATTATCCCATATAATGATAAGATGTTGGACTGATTCAAATTTGAAGATTATTCGATGAATGTTTTTTGAGTTATTGCCCTATTGTCTTCATCCGATTATGATGAAATTTGGTTTGATCATTTGAATTATGAGAAGTTAGTGAAGTTCTAATACCTTGATTTTTCAATGAAGGGCTTTTGGGTTATTGCTATTAATTTTAAAAAAAGTTTGTACGAGATAAAGATTGGCTTGTGCGACCAGTTATCCCTTCTGTTATCAGTGACTAGTTTCGTTCAAGGTTGAAGTTACCGGGGTTGGCGGGGTAAGCTTGTAACGGGGTAAGCAGGGTTTCTTTTACCGGGGTTAACGGGGTTTATTTTCACCGGGGTTAACAGGGTCTATTTTCATCGGGGTTGACAGGGTTGGTCTAAACCGGGGTTCCTGTATATGAGAGTGAAAGGGGTTTCTTTATCCCGGGGCCGCGGACACGGTTATGCCGGGGCTGTTGAAGCCGAGGGGCGACAAGGTGGGTACGTGCCAAGGGAGGGGTCGTGGTGGTGGGGGTTGTCCCAGTCTGGCTCTGTTGGGGTTGAAGAGGGTCCACCCAGAATGGTGGGGTGTGATCTGTTATTGGGGTCCGGACTGACCTCTTATTGAGGTGGAAAGAGGTGTCAATCATTTACGGTTTCGCTTGAGTAGCTGGCGGCTGGCACATCCTTTCCAGTTCCAAAGACTGCAATTCGGCATTTCCACTACCCTGCCTCACAGCTTACAGACGAAACCCCGCTCTCAAGGATCTACTCACTTCAGCCACTATTCCAAACCCCACACCAAAACCACACATCAGTGGGAAAGTCTACAAGTTTCTGGACACTGACTGCAATATCCACAACTGCACGCATTGCAATACGCTTAAAACCCTAAACACCTGGTCCAAAACCTGGACATGCACCAGTAGAAATATTATCTACCTCCTAACTTGCAATTTATGCCATAAATAATATGTTGGCGAGACCAAAAGAATGTTCCGCATCAGGCTAAAAGAACACTTTGCTGATATTCATCATAAGAGAGACACCCCAGTTGCCTCCCACTTCCACCTACCGAGACACTCTAGCCGAAATCTCGACTATCAGATTATTAAACAACTCAATACAAATCCGGATGCTACACAATCCACAGCCAATCGGCGCTCAGTGGAACTACACTGGATTATTAGATTAAAGAGTTTCCAACCACATGGAATCAACGACAAAATCTAAACTTGGACACAATATAGTAAATATAATGTATTATGAAGATCTTTAAAATGATAAAATTCATATTTAAATCACTAAACACTGTTGTTATGTCTGACAGCTTGTAGTGGGCGTATGTTACCTTGCCTGCCAAGCTATCTTTATTTTCTATTTTAATTATTCTTTTACATAAGGACCAAAGTTATATTTATATAAATTGTACTGTTTCAGCCAAGGAGCCAGAATATTACTTTACTCAAAAATTACCCCCTCAACATGATTGTATTAAAAATAAAGTTTGTATGCTGGAATGTTTCGTTTCTGATACCAGAGCTAGAGTCAAGTGGTATAAAGGGGATGAATTGCTTGAGGTAATGTTGAAATTTAATTATTGACCAAAAAGGTTTGTAGTGAGTAGACGAACCACCATGATATACATATACAATCAATTGCTGCATACTTTAAGCATTGTTTTTGTAAGATGATTACTAGATAACCATAGATATAGACAAAAAGAATCTAACCTGAGCGAAAAAAAATTTTCAGTACTTAAATAATTGAAAAAGTTCAAACAAAAATTGCAGCTTTTTGAATGCCCAGTTTTTTTATCCTGAAAAGGGTACATTATACACAGTGACTAAAAATTTTGTATTGTTCTCCAAAGGTTCTACTGCTTGTAAACACTCTATTATTTGTGGATTTTGACAAAAATTGTTGAAATTGATTACTATCTCCAAAGGATGATCCCTATGGAAAATCAAAACAATCGAAAAATATTTAATATTAATTATTGCTCTTGTTCTTCAAAATGCGTTTAATTTTAAGCTCATAAACATGAACATGGCACAATTATGGACTGATTTTGACAAAACTTGATGAAATTGTTAATTATCATCCAGGAATTAACCCTATTGAAAAGTAAAAAAAAAAAAAAATTTATTTGAGCTATTGCCCTTGTTATTAAAAACAAGTTAAAATTTGAGCTCGTAAACACTATATAAGGCATAATTCTTGATTGATCTTGATCCAACTTTCATAAACCCAATCGAAAATCAAAAATATTGAAAAATATTTAATTTTTGTTACTGTCCTTGTTCAACAAAAGGTTGAATATTTCATAGTGTCCATTCTGTCAAATGTTTTTATATAAAAAAAAGCTGCCAGTTGGCATATATTACCATGGCTTGCAAACTATATTTTAATACTTTACTGATTACTCTTCACATGACACAAGCTCAAAGGACTAGTCAAGAAGCTTTGTCTACACTTTGGAGATGCATTTTCTAGCTAAGGGATGTTATAGTGTGTAATATTATAACCTTCACAAGCAATACGAACAGCTGGAAAATGTATTAATAAATATGTTGTGAAATCACAGATTCCCAAATTCAACATACATTTTCTTAGCACTGAACAAAATTGTCACAGTGCTTTGCATCCTTTTCTTAACTGAGAATAAACTGCCCTGAAAAATCAAATTCTTTTTTTCTGTAGTATACACCTGGTAAATATGAAATTCAACGGCGTGAAAATCGTTGTCTTTTACGCATAATAGATTGTGAACCTTCTGATCAAGCAACATATTCTTGTAAGTGTGGATCAACAGAAACAACATCAGATGTCGTTGTTAAAGGTATGTTTGCCTTCAAAAGCTATTTTTTGAATCAAATCAACAACAATAAGTGGCATTTTAGAAGTTGAAGAAAAAATTTTAAAAAAGGTTTGCCGACAATAGTAATTTCAATAATGTTCCTAATCAACCAAAGATGAACCTATTGAGAATCGGAAAATTCGAAATGTTTTGTATGAGTTCATGCCCTTGTTCTTGAATTGCTAGTAAACACACTAGAAGACACAGTTCTTGGCGGAATTTGACAAAATGTATTTGTATATTGTCCTTGACGCTTTGTAGTAATTTACGTCTTGTTGATCTGGCTGATTTGTAAGTAATTAATTTTCAAGAGAATTGGCTGAGTGAAATTGAAAAAAATAAAAAGCAATTTTAGCAAAATGGATGCAGATATAGAATTTTGGTGAAAATTTTTTTGTCTCTTAAATTTGTGTAAAATTGATATTTTCTTGAAAAAATGGAGACTTCCGTTTCGAAATTTGGAAATCTATCTATGCGAGTAATTTAGAATGTGGGAATTGATGTGAGTAATTTGGTATATGGGGTTGTTGAAGAACAAGAAGAACTTGCAATAAAACCTTGTTTGTAAGGACTTTTGTGAAGTTTAAGTATTAAATAATTACAATGCCTTTTCCTATATTGTCTTTAAATCCTCCATCATACTTCCTTGAGACGGTGGTAATACAAGCCGGAAAGATATTGTCCAATCAAAATTGGCCTTGGTAGCAAAATTTCAGCCAATCAAAACAGATCACTAGTTATGGCGCGTGGTTTGCGAAAGTAAACAAAATGAAAAAAGATAGCAGCGTGCCATTACATATTTTGATAAATATCTACGGTAAGAATTGTGTAAGAATTTTGGTAAAGAATTAGAGCAGACAGAAAGTCAAACCTTACTTGGAACATTTACCTGGAAATTATATGTTGTTATCCCTTTAACGGATTGTGGCAAAGCGATGTTGCGTTTTTTTAACATGACCTTATTTCCATTCTACCGATTTGATTTGTCAGATTTTAATAGCACCTCATTTCCACGCTCCCAAAGTGAAGTGTAGTGGGCTTAGTTTAGTACGGGTTAATAAGACCATGTCGAAATCCGTATTTGTGATACAATGGTTTATAGCCTGTTTGAAAACATTTCAGCATAAGCAATAAAAGAGTTAATCCCTTGAAAAAAAAAGGTTTGGTCACAAATGTGGCTCTTAGTATATGTCATGATTATGTTTTCTTGATTAAGATCCTGAATGGGAATTCATGAAGAAATTAGAAGATGTTGAAGCTGTAGAAAGAGAAAAGGCTATATTTGAATGTGATGTTAGTGATCCTGAAGCTGAAGTATCATGGTTTAGAGATGAAAAGGTATTCTTTGGGTTTTGATTTATATTTTAATTATTTCCAATTGTAGACTACGATGCAGAGATATTTTCCTTAAACTTACCATTTCCATATTGTCAAAATGCTAGGAGCTTTGCTGAAGTTTTTTCCTTTGTCCAAGAATATTTTGATCTATATGATTTCAATGTTTACAGGCAGATGGAAGTGGTTCTGAGGTAAATTTATTCTTGCGTAGAATAACATTTGAAGTTTTGGTTTGGATTCAATTGTTTGAATTGATTGAAGCAATAGTTGAATCTTGCTCTTTTTTTTCATCTCTGCTAAATAAAAGTTCAAAATGCAAACAAACAATTCGTTAGTAATGACATCAAAACTCTGTACAATGGAATCTCGTTTGTCCGATCATTTCTGCTTCTGATAAAATCATGCTGTATAATGAATTTTCAGATAAATAGAGTTATGACCCTTCCTGTTTGGACACCAGTCATGAGTAACATAAGCAGCATGTGATAGACATGAGTGTACTTTATATAGCCAGTACATGTGAAGAATTCCAATTGTTTATAATTTCATTTCAATAACATAACATGATAATAACAATAACAGTACAACAAATTACTTGTGAAAATAGTCATTGATAGTAGTTTGATTCCTTAGAATTAGGATACTCTAATTTATCAACACAAATGTCTGTGCGGTTACCTTGTAGTGCTAACATGTGATACGTAGCCATATGGAATTAAGGTATTTTAGGTGGTTTGCATGTGAACCTCACTATGACGATTTTTTAAATAGCAATCAGGCGACATCATAAGTACTGTTAATCCAGAAGCCAGTTTAAAGAACCAACAGTGATGATGAATACTAATTAGTACATGATTTGATATTGGTTGCCAATCACAGCCATGCAGTTCCCATTAAAAAGCTTTATATTAGGGTTTCTGAATTATCCACAAATGGTTAAACGAGGCTCCACTGTACATTGTAAATCAGTATTTTTTTTTGTTTATATTGCCTTTATTCTGTATGAATTGTTTATAAAACACTACTTATCAATTAACAAATACTATTTAAACAAATTTATTTTTCAACTGAAAGATATTTACAGGGGAATCTTTGAGAGAGTAAAAGAACAGTATTTAAAATATAACTGTACAATAAACTATATAAAGAAAAACAACCTAACAAAATTTTGATTTAGTTTTTTTAGTTCTACCACGAAACTTTCTTAAAATGTACATGGTTAATATTATTTATTTTTTTCACATCTCACATATTTGTAGGCAAAAATAGTTGATGCCCACTTGTAAAACAAGAAACTTTTATTGAGCTACTGGTAAATCAATGAAGATGTAAGAGTTACTTACCAGACTCATATTTGATTTTGTACCTATACCTACCAAATTTGGTAAAAATCAATTCAAAATTGAAGGAGCAATATTTTTTTCCAATAATTGAGGTCACCCAATTTCAAAATTGTAACAAACGGGCAAAATTCTCACATGATATTCTTATTTAACTTTTGAATTTTTCATAGGTCGAAAAAATTGTTTTAAATTTATGAAAACAATATAACAAAATCTATAGAATTGTGTCCCTGATCTTATCTAAATAAACTAAATAAATCATGCCATTAATTTTTTAACCCCAAAATTATTGAAAAGGTTTAAGTAGAATTACAGAAACCATGGGTTTCATAACCTTCTGAATCTCAAGAAGTTTTCAATTTTCTATGTAAATACTAAACAATTACTTATTTTTTGAGAAAACCTCTTTACAATCTCCTTAAACTAAAACATTCCCATTAATTGCTTAAATATAACTTTGCTTCTTTTGGTATGACTCATGTCCGTACACCTAAAAACAAGATGACAGCAAAGATCTCTCTTTCGATCAAAACATAACAATACAAATAGCTTCCCTCTTACAATGTAACAAAACTAACCTTGTTGAGAATGAGCAAAAAATATGTCAACATTTGCTTGTGAATGGTAACAAAAAAAAATGTTTTGGAAATGAAAGGTCTTTGAATAAACTTCTAATGTACTTTTTATTGAAATGATTTCTGATTATCAAGCAGATATTCACCTTGGGAAGCACATGTATATGATTAAAGTGTTTCTTACTTCTAAAGTTTTTTTTACTCATATAGGAGGCATTTTTGATAATGCTGCTTGTGAGCAATGTGTTACTCTTAAGGTTAATCTTATAAACATCTTTTAAACATTGACAAGCAAAGCTTACTAATTCCGATTAACCTAATCATCCTAAATCTGAAACAAAAATTCGAATGTTTTGATAAATCTTTAGCAATTTGCTTCTTTTACAATTTTGCTTGAAGTGGTTTCATAACGCATGCCCCTGATGTAGTGGATATCAAGATCAACAAATTAAAGGGATGGTGGTGGAGAATAATGAGAAGATTTATCTCTAACTAGGTTAAATGAAAGCATGTATGTAAATAAGATTTATATAACTTGAAGAATTAACTTTACCTCTTTTTATTCAATATTGATTGAAACAATGCATGATAAATATATATAATTAACATTTATTTTATGATTATCAGGTTTAGCATGTTTTCCAAATTCAATGTCGTCAAATTACAAAACTAACAATGCAGAATTTTGCTTAGAAATCTGAATCTACTATTGAGATCTACATAAATTAGCTGATGTAATAATATCTGAATTTATGTTATTAGGAATTAAAATCAGGTGGAAAATATGAATTTATAAAAGATAATTTAAAACGACGTCTAGTTATAAAGAATTGCAATATAAAAGATGATGGTAAATATAGCTGTAAAATGTTGGGACAGGAGACCTCTGCTAATTTGTTTGTTGGACGTAAGTATAAAAATCTCATTCATTAACATTTTACATGACTTTGTTTTTTCTATAGCAGATTGTGTGCTATGTGTTGTGCTATAGAGTATCCACATCATTTGGATCAAAATGGACAAGTAAAAATCTTTGTGAAATGGTTTGTGTGTGTTCCACATAATGTTCCAATAATATTGTCATGGCCCCTGTTGGTCCGTCTTTCGATCTGTTGGTCCGTACTTCCACAATTGGCTTGTGAGCACAATAGAGACTACTGTTTTTAGATGCCCACATGAACACAAATAGAGACTACAATTTTCATCTGATTTAAATGAAGTTTGGTATGATCATTTATATTGATGAGATCTTGATTGAGTTGGACAATATTTCAATGAACTGAATTTGAGTTATTGCTCTTGGCTTAGGCAAAATGCACCAAAATTTGTCTGATTTAAATGAAATTTGGTGATCGTGGGCAAGTTTGGAGTTTTTGATTTCGGGGAAGGGAGGGTTTGATTCTCCCAAATGTACAGGCCTAGGGTGGAGCATAGGATGAACTGAATTTGAGTTATTGCCTTTGACTTAGTAAAAACGCTTCTAAATTTGTTGACTTGTGAACGTGATAGAGGTGACAGTTTATGTCAGAATTTTATTAAATAATGTGTGTTTGATTAAATCAACAATATCTTTGACAAATTAGAATTTTGATATGATTTGACACAGATTGGTGACCGCCTTTGATATACTGAGAATTTATCAAAAAGTGGGTGTATGTTGCTAGGCAACCACTTGTTGAAATGTGGACATGAAGCATTTCAGAAGACAACTCATGTTTTTTTCTCAAATAATATCTTGATTTATTTGATTTACAGCTGATGTCAGATTTATGAAGAAATTAAGTGACATAAAAGTGAAAGAAAATACAAATTTTGTATTGGAATGTAAAGCTATCAATACTCATAAAAGTCCACATGAATGGTTTAAAGATGGTAAACCATTTGAACCTGGAAACCGGTATATATTAAAATTCATATTGACTTATTGACAACAAGGAAATGATATCTTAGGTTTAATTGTTTAATAACTCAAGCTACATTTAGCTCAAAGTTTAGTTCATTTGAATATGAAGCCATCGACACAATTTAGAATTGAACAAAAGTATTAAATTTTAAAGGTAACATCCTGTTCTCACTCTTTATTTGACTGATTGATTTCATTTTTGAATTGTATGTTTATTATAAGCCAAAGATGATGCCTATCCATTTTCATTGTCAAGTTGTCGTGGATGTACAGAGTGAACTTATAAGGCAGGGATGATGCCAATTGACTTTCATGATGATCAGAATTTTTTTTCAGCTTCACATTAGAAAGTACTACCTGTCAGAGGGACAAGCTGAAATAGATGCATTTTACATAATTTAATGTAAATGGTGTTGTAATGTAATAAATATATAATTATTATTTAGACATGAAATAAGTCATAAAGGAGAATCATACAAGTTAACTGTAAAGAATGCTACATTTGAAGATCAGGGTGAATACATGTTGAGAATTGGAGAAAGACCAACTCGTAGTAAAGTCACAGTAGAAGAATGTAAGTCATTTAAGAATAATTTCAACAGATATATATTTCTAATGAATTGAATGTTTTTATCAATAAGCAGTTACAATTTGTGGCTGTTCGTAAGAAGGCAAGAACCTTTGCAACTCACAATGATTGGACAATTTATATCATAAGATTTGGCTCCAAAAGTACCATTTGGAGCTCACTATTTATGGTTTAATTGTTTGGTTTATTAGTTCATCGATTTTCCTAATGATCAGATTATTTTTCAATGATTTATAAGTCTGTGCTGACTGTCCGAAAGTGCCAGATGCCATCTGTCATTCAGTGTATAAGCAATACAATTATTTATTAAAAATGAAAATATGTGTAGCCACCAGTGGTGGTGCCAGCTTCCTGAGACTGGGGGTACATATAGGGGGCAGACTGACTCAATGGGGGGTTATCTGTCGCGGCTGAATTCAAAATGTCGCAACTCTGTGGAGGAGTCATAGTTACAAGCCTCTCTTGTAGCATCTAAGAGGGTTTGGTTTATTCAGACACATATTTTGGTGCAAAAACATATATAAAATCATATTGTTAAATTTGTTAAAATTAAAGTGGAGGTACAATTGGGTGGGAAAACCATCTTTCGAGGGGGGCAAATGCTCCCCACCCCCTTGTACCTCTACTGGCTCCGCTGGAGCCGCGGTGGCTCAGTGAGTTAAACACTTGCTCGCTAACCTGAAGGTCCAGGGTTCAATCCCGGCATAGGTCGAGATAATACCTTCGGATTTTTCAACCCGGTTTCCCCCTGTCAGTGATGCAGGTATGAGGGGCTGACATGGAAAAAGCATCTAGTCGTTCGGATGGGACAATAAACCGAGGCCCCGTGTGCACGTTAAAGATCCCTCGACAGTTGGAAATCGAAAGAAGAGCAGGCTAATGCCGCTGTCTTGGCAAAATTTCCCTCATTGCACCCTGCATGGCGTTGCCCGTCTTCATTAGCCCACATGGTGCAGAAAAGTAGGACGTAAAACTCCATTCATTTCATTTTCATTTCTACTGGCTCCGCCACTGGTATTCACCATTTTGTATCTGCTCTTTTCAATTTTTGTTGTGTTACTTACTTGTCAGATTACCCATTTAGCTGAGATTATTTCATATTCTTTAAGTACCTAGACCACCTAAAGTACAAATTGATAAAGTACCTAAGGAAATTCGGGTAAAGAAAGGAGAAACTATAGATTTAGATATTCCATTTATTGGTAAGTAATCTTTTAATTATAGCATTTATTGCATTTAATTTCAGATAAGTTTGTAATTTTATTATCTGTTCTAGCTATGTTTATAAATATGACATATTTTGTCTTTGGGCATGAAGGAACCTAAGCTGTTAAACTCAAGAGAAAAATGAATATAAATGTATCACTCTACTGGCATCCTATTTTATCTCACTGAACCTCAGCATATATATGTAACAATTGTAACAATATAATTTCATATAAATACATATTTCAGAAGTCTATGTATAATTTGATGAAACAATAATCCTTATCACATAATAAGCTTAAAGGGACGAGAATGCCATTTTGGGGGGTTGATTTTAGTCTTGAATATATGTACATATAGAAATGTACGAAAATCACATAATTCCTATAACAAGTGGTTGGCTAGCAAGATACGCCCACTTTCCTGATACATTTTCAGTATATCAAGAGCAGTCACCTATCTGTGTCAAATCATACCAGAAATTTAAAAACACACACATTATTTAATAAAATTCTGACATGAACTGTCTCCTCTATCGTCAACAAATTTTGATGAGTTTTTACTAAGTCAAGGGCAATAACTCAAATTCTGTTGATCGAAAAATTGTCAAATTCAATCTTAACTATTGACTCTCTATTGTATTCACAAACAAATTTTGACGTTTTTTTCATAAATCAAGGGCAGTAACTCAAAAACCATTCATCGAAAGATAGCCAAATTCAAACTTGTCCAAGATCTCATGAATATAAATGATCATACCAAATTTCATTCAAATCAGATAAAAACTGTTGTCTCTATTGCGTTCACAAGCCAATTGTGGACAGATGGACCGACAGGGGCGACAACAATATAATACTTCATAAAAATACTTCAAACTAGGAATATTCACTTCTTCTATTAAATCTTTTCTATATATCACAGACTATATTAAATTGACGAGACATCATTTTAACATTCAAATTCAGATAATTCTGAACACACAGGAATTTGAAGGCTCCAATTAAAAAAAATTGACTACCTGTCCCTTTAAGCTCTGAAATAACCAAAATATGTTTACTCTTTAGCTACAGTGAAACCCCTCTAAACCGCATCCTATAATCCAGATTCCTCTATAAACCTGTACATTTGAAAAGTCTTGGCCGAATCACTATATAATATATAGGAGATAAACCCCTCTAAACCGGCATCTCTCTAAACCGCATCCTAATATCTAGATTCCTCTGTAAACCGGTACATTTGAAAAGTTCCAGCCGAATCACTTTATAATATATAGGAGATAAACCCCTCTAAACCGGGATCTCTCTAAACCGCATCCTAATATCTAGATTCCTCTGTAAACCGGTACATTTGAAAAGTTCCAACCGAATCACTTTATAATATATAGGAGATAAACCCCTCTAAACCGGCATCTCTATAAACCGCATCCAATAATCTAGATTCCTCTGTAAACCTGTACATTTGAAAAGTCCAAGCCGAATTAACTTTATAAAATATAGGAGATAAACCGCGGTAAACTGGAACCCCTATAAACCGCAATCCCGCATCGAAATCAAGTCCCAAAGTAGTTAATCTATAGTTTATAAGTGTCCCTAAACCGGCACCTTAATTAGTTCACGTATTAATTGACGTTAATCCTTTGACGACATTAAAAATAAATATCACACATCCCGTGACTAATTATCAAAGGAAATGATTAATCAGTAATCCAATTTGAATATCGATTTGATTTGATTTGATATTGTTTCACTGATTGATTATTACTCTACTCATATTCAATTAGGCTTTTAAGTTTACCGGCATTTGAACACATTTCAAGCTCAAATTTGTGTTAAATTATCTGATTTTCTCAAAAGTTTAAATCATAATCATGGAACACCCTAGCAAACGTCAACCTGATGAACTGAATCTAACCCATAAGATCAATCTCATCAAAGATTCTGTGAAATTGCCCAAGGTGATTTAGCGAAGAAATATAAGCTCACTAGGTCTACTGTTGTGACATAATGAACTGGCTTTTCATAATGGTCCGATGGCCTGTCTGTTTAGAGTGGTTTCACTGTATTAATAATAATGATAGATGAAGAAGTTTAAAGACCAGTAATGTGCAAGATAATGATAATAGTAATCATCTTTATTACTTTTTTACTCCCTTTCTCATTATTTTGTATTGAATAGGTGCTCCACAACCAGAAGCTTCTTGGAAAAAAGATGGCAATCCAATTAGTCCAGCTAATGTTGACATGCAGACAACTCAACGTAATTCTAAATTGACAATCCCTGCAGCTGAAATCGAAGATACTGGTGTTTATGAATTAACATTAAAGAATGAAGCTGGTACTGAAACAGTTCCTGTAAAAGTCATTGTTGTTGGTATGATTTTTAATCTTTTTTATACAACTATATGTAAATCCATAGTTTATGATTTGATCACATCACTATATTATCATTTCCAGACACAAGCTGCAATTTTGGTGAAGTTTTGTAAGATTTGTTGGGACTCAATACCATCTTTATTTGGAATACACATCCTACACTAAAGCAAAACTTTTAAAAAGATTTTGATTTGTATTCAATATGTTGCAGGCTGCTGGATCTATTACAATTTTTTCATAGTTTTTAGTTTGATCACTAAACTTTTTAAGACTTGCATTGATATAACTTAATTCATATACATTTTAGCTAAGATATAGTTTAAGGGCATGTGAAATAAATTCAGCACTCGTGAATTATATTCAAGCCATTTGGGCTTGGAATGTCATAATGGAGGACAAATCATCCAAAATGCCTACTTTAATTATTAGAGACATAGTGTAAGTCAGAATGAAGAAGTTGTTAGACCCTGACTGGAGTGGTTGATTAAAAATACAAGCTAATGAAAATACGGATCAGATGTTTGGTTGATTTCTGTTTTAGATATACAGTCAAACTTATACTATGGGTCACTTGTATTCAACATCACACTCCAATGAACAGCCACCCAAATATCTCCCTCGCTTTCCTCCCCCATGCCATTTTCAATCAAATTTACCTCAATCTGTACTGCAACTCTTCACACAGCCAGCATCAATATTTTCTTGACTGTGAACACACGTTACCCTCTTATAAGCAGCCAATTGACAATAATACTTGTTAAACCAATAAATTATTACATTTATAAAACTAGAACCACTCGTGGTACTGAGTGGGACTTTGCACATGTGCCAATTTGCTAGAGAATCTGAAAAAAACAACGTTCTTAGCCAATTAGGTCACATGCTAAAGCAGTCCAAAGTTTTGAAGGTTGTGAAGTAGAAGTTAGACATCAAATATGAAAGTATCAGTAGATTGCCAAGGTCGATGACCTTTGACCTTGTTAAAGGGAAGGTCATTTAAGGTCAAGGCCACTAGATATCAGTCATTAAACTTTGAAAATACAAACAGTAAAAAACCATCAAATATGAAGGTATTAAGATGTGAGTAACACATCTGTAATAGATACATCTGTAATAGATAAAAGGTACTCTCAGCTAATTGTTCAGAAAACTGCTGCAAATGTATAAGTAAAGTTAAATGTATCCCTATCCCAAAATTTATCCCATACATTAAGATTTGTTGTCATCACTGTAGTGGCTACAAATTTCAATAAGTTTAATGAGATTCATTTTGATCATTGAATATTTGAAATCTTGTATGAGTTCTAATTTGATGATTTTTGAGTAATTTATTTTTGAGTAATTACCCTTTGATTATGCAAATTCTAATGCAAATACAGTACTGTTTTTTTTTTAAAACTTGGTGTGATCATTGAGGTTGATAAGATAGATTTCAAATGATTTCATAGTTGTTCAATTTCTTATGAACAGTTTGATTTTAGTTATTTGCCTTCGTGGCAGTGAAACCTGTCACCTGAACTTATTAAACCATCTGCATTATCATTCCAAAGAATTTCAAATGTTCCTGCAGGTTGTTTTTTGTGTCATATGATTGAAGCTATTTGTAAGAAAGAATTTATTTAAAGATTAAAATGAATTCTTTTGAAATAATTTTTTGATATTTTAATTCTGATATTAACAGATAAACCAGGTAGACCCAAAGGACCATTAGATGTAGTTGATATTTATGCAGAAAGATGTGCTTTAATGTGGGATAAACCTACAAATGATGGTGGATCTCCAATTACTGGTTATGTAGTAGAAAAATTAGACACAGCTACTGATAAATGGGTAAAAGTTTGTGAAACTGATGCTGAAGATTTGGAGGTAGATGTTAGTGATCTTGAAACTGGACATAAGTATGCTTTCAGAGTGTCAGCTGTGAATGAATTTGGTGTTGGTTTACCATTAGAAACGGATGGTGAAATATTGGCCAAAGATCCATGGGGTAAGTTTAAAGTGCTGTTATGGCTTTGGATAAATTGCTTACTTATGTGGACGTTTAACATAAGGTGTTCTATATACCAACATGCATTCAACATGTCATGTCACTTGACATGTGGCAATTAGTTTTAAGAAATATAAGATTTATTATTATCATACATGGCAGTTTGCTTTAACCATTTATCTGAAATTTAATATTTTAGTTGTTTAATTTCCAAAACTAGTAGTGTTGAAACAGTTATTGATTTTTAAATGCCCACATGGAAATTTGAAATAGATAATGGAAATATGGACGTATATTGCCATCACCCGTGTCCATTGGTCAGTCCGTCGCCCCGTCTGTCAGTTCACATTTCTTGTAGGCGTGATAGAGGCTACAGTTTTTATCTGATCTTGATGAAACTTGGTATCCATGTATATATTAATGAGATCTTGGTCATGTTCAAAATTGGTGATAATTGAACGACTGGGTTTCAGAGTTATTGCCCTTGATTTAGTAAAAACGCATCAAATTTGGCTTGTAGGCACAATAGAGACTACAGTTTTTATCCAACCTAGATGAAACTAGGTATGCATGTATATGTTGAAGATATCTCACTCGAGTTCGTAATTGGTAACAATCGGATGAAGGGTTTCAGAGTTAGAGACTACAGTTTTTATCCAATCTTGATGAAACTAATGCATTGATAAGATCTCAGTCATGGTTGAAATTGGTAATAATTGGATGAACAGTTTCAGAGTTATTACCCTTTTGTGTACAGCGATGAGACAATGTTCATGTTTGAATTTCATGATAACTTGATGAACTGTTTCAGGTTTTTGCCTTGACTTATAGATGACTTTAAGATTAGTTGAAAATTCGTTATTAACCCACTTAAGATTTTCTTATGATTTCTGACAGCTGGTAGTGGGCGTATGTTACCTTGCTTGGCAAGCTATCTTTTTTTGTAAATTATACAAATTATATACTTATATATAAAAAAAATTAATGACTTTGTTGCATACTTAATTTACAGTGTTTCAATATTTAACAAGCATTTAGTAAAAATTAATATTAACATATATATGTACTATATTTTTAGATCCATCTGACGCTCCTGGTACTCCAAATATATTAGATTATGATAAAGATTATGTTGAAGTTGGCTGGGAAGCTCCTAAAGATGATGGAGGAGCACCCATTCAGTCATATAATATTGAATATAGAGAGAAAGGAACAGATACATGGAAGAAGGTACTGATTACTTTTGCAAGATTAATATTAAAACAAAGGCTGCACATTAATTGTTAAACTTGCCACAAGAATTTTTGTAATTGCAGCATGATGGTGTTTTTATATGCAAAAATTTTGTGTATAGGTTTATATCTTGGACAAGTTTGAATTGACAAATATGAAGCCTTCAACCCTTAGATTATGTTAAAAGTGGCTTATGTCCACAAGATCTTGGATTTGGGTGTTATTCAACAAATATTAATAAGTGTGATCCCTTGACTGAAGATACATTCATAGTAGCTTGTGAACATAAAAGGGTTGCCCCTTTTATGTTCACAAGTGTTTGTCAAAATGTTATGAAATTTGTTGTATAAGTGTATATCCACAAGATCTAGGGTAAATATTTAAGGAGTTTCAACCCTTGATATATTGAAAATACATTAAAAGTGGCTTGTTGGGAATAGAGACATTAACAGATTTTGTAAAAGATGAAGTGTGTATATGTTCACAAGCTTGAATTTGGGTTTGATTCGACAAATATTAACAGAGTTTCAATCCTTGTTATTTGAATATACATTAGATAAAGATAAAAAGTCAATATCTCTCTTCTGCTTCCACTTTTAATTCAACGAGGCCTATACTAAATATATATTAAAAGAGGCAACAGGTTTTGTCAGAATTTTATGAAATTTGATATGTATGTGATTTTATATACATGTATTATATTTGAGTATGACTTGACAGCCGCGCTCCCCCTAAAATGTAATCCTCAACTCAAACCCAACACCTCCATAAGCGAAGTCAGACAGAACTGGCAATGTCCCAAAAGGGGAGAATTCCCTATATGAGGTCATTACAGTGGAAAATATTGAGTATGAATTGTTGCCCCTGAAATTGAAACGCTTTCACTTTTTAGCTCGCAAACACTTCTTGCACAATTCTTGACGGATATTGAAGGAAATGGTATGGGTGTTTGAAAGTTCACTCAGTATTGATGCCAGTGGGCGTATATTACCTTCCCTGGCAAGCTTTTTTCATCATATGTATGGAATTTCAGGGAACTGAAGTACCTGGAACAGAAGAGAAGGGAACTGTGAGTGGTTTAGTAGAAGGAAAGGAGTACGAATTTCGTGTTGCTGCTAAAAACAAAGCAGGATTATCACCATTTAGTGAAGTTTCTGGACCTGTTGTTACTAAAAATAGAAAAGGTATGATTTTTTTTTGTTTACAAATATATTGGAGACGACAACAATTTTTTTTATATATATATATCGAAACAAGCCAGAAATCTGACCGAAATCATACTAAAATCCACAGTCAAAAAACCAGCAGTCTTGTTAAAAGCAGAATCTCCAAAAAGTAGACCCAAAGAATATTGAATATTATTGTTAATGTGACAGAGGCGCCATTCTGTTGATCATACCTTTGTCTCAGAAACAGGCAAGCCAATGTATAGTGTTCACAGTCCAACATTGAAATTTAAGCCTTCAAGCCATGTGTGTCCGGAATTATATGCATTTGAGAGTTAAAAAGACGAGTTGTCTTTTCTTGAGACACTGCCATTTAAAAAACATCTAAAGAAATAGGAAAAGAAATTCCAAGTTTGAGATATTTTTGAAGGAATTATATGACCTTCATACATTCCTAGTACTTCTGAATACTATTTTCATCAAATCAACCCCCCAGAATAACACATCTCAAATTGTACTTCTGTAAAGGATTTTAGATTCACACCACATGAAAAAAAGAAAATCAAACGGAGGACGAACATGACTATCTTTTTAGGGCTGCAACGATTCATAAAGTTGCTATTTGATACACTATATGATACTCATCCAACAATATGATTTATTACAGAAGGAAAGAGAAAAAATAGTAGAAATTTGTAAAATTACCAACAAGTTTGTCACTATTAGGCACTTGAGAACATTTAGAAGTAAGGAATTGTGAAAAAAATCTCAATTTTTATTTCTCAAGTCAGAAATGGATTTTTGCAAATTTTAAGGTGAAAATCGTACTTGGAAAATGAAAACTTGACACAATTTCTCATACACACATCGATTCTGTGTCATTAAAGGGGACTAAGAATTAATCGTGCCAATACATAATAATTATTTTTATCCAACACAATGCATCGATAAGAATGAAAGAATCGTGGTGTGTTCATCGGTGAATAGTTGCAACCCTACTATCTTTACAAAATTCAAGTTAAATATGGAGTACCTCTATGGCTTATCTAAGATAATGAAATGGTCAGCAAATGTGTTATTAGAAACCACACATCCAATTAAGTTTTCTAAAGTTTATTATAACGTACAATAAAAACCCTGAAATATTCAAAGAAGAATATTACACAGTGACAAAATAATACAAAATATCTATTTACAAACAATATCAGTAAATATATGAAAATAACTCTGACATAGAAATATATTATTGAAAGAATGATATATTGTACATATAATTATTTATAAAGGATTGACCTGCAGCGGGTAACATGTAAATGCAAATATACAATGGCCTAACTTAGATGAAATATTTAAATAAAGGATTACCCTAGAAGGAGGAGTTTTTACACACTGCTTAACTTCTTAAGCGAAAGGCTTAAGAACTTACTAATTAATAATATATTTAACTGAAACTAGCCTAGAAAGAAATAGAATGTTATGTAATGGTTGAAATGAAATGTATATACCGTTAATTGGAATGCTAGAACTGATAAACTATTGACTACTTTATGCAAATGTACATGACTGCCAACAAAACTACTGAGTGCCAAAACGACTTTTGAACAGTAAAACTATAATATACAGATAAAACCAAGGAAAAGAACTATGTATAAACTTACATTATGAGATCATAAGCAATTAATTCAATCATCACATGTAAGTTATCTTTCGTTCAGTCATACCTGAATACCTCAAAAATCCCCTTCATAGGGATCGGTTAGTGACTATACAACGTTGTCATTTGTAGCAGCAGTAGACTTATTATTATGGCTCATCTCGTACAAAACTTGATCCAACTATTGTAGATTTATCAATACCATAGATAGAATTTGGGAATACTTCCACTTCAACAGCAAAATAAATATGATTGCTTACTATGTTGGACTGGTATTTATATTGTTATGTGACATGGTGGATAATGTAGGAGCAACAGGTCATGAACTGTGACCCTATTTTGTTTTTACTTTGAAGAACGCTAAAGTAGACCTTCATTATAATATTGCTGTTTATACATGTCATGTGAAAGCCGAAGACTTTACAGAAAATAATTGGGGAATTCCTACTAATAGAAAAACTCTGGGATCCTTGGCATAAATAACTGACAGTAAATTTTTGAGAAATGAATAAATTAAAAGTTTATGAACGACAAATGCATCATGAAGATATTTAATATGAGAAAATTTGTATTCAAGTCACTTGGTATGATTTTTTGCCATGAATAGAGTTCCAAAGGCACCATAACACTTTCTCAAAATATCCACTTTGCTCTGAAAATGTCTTCTTCCATTTTTATTCATGCTTAAAATTTGTCCTTCTTTTTAATGCTCATGTTAAATGCAGGAAATATTCTTTTTTTCTTTCACCTTTTAGAATTGCATTTTGGGCATCCATACAGTCTTTTGTATGCCATGTACTTATTGTCATAATAAAGTATCTTATGTTACACTACATACTGCAACTGAGTTAGCTTCCTTGTGGGTTTAATTCACGCTTTGTGTCTCTATCTTATTTATTTGTTATCATTCCAGTAAAACCCAGAATTGATGAAAGAACATTGCCACAGAATATTAAAATTAAAGTTGGTCAAGCTCTGAATATGCCTGTTGATTTTGTTGGTGAACCTTTCCCAGTTGCCAAATGGGAACTAAAACCTATGGTAATCTACAATTTCTCTTTTTTAATATCAAAATCTCAATTGTTTATCTGTCTATTATCTATTTAATTCTTGATATATTCTAACCATATTTCATTGCTGATTTGTTTTTGATAGCAAACTAAAGAAGCCCTTTGATTCTGCAATGATTTCTGCAATAAATGTATTGGGTTGTGTTTTACCTCTTATACCATATCTATGCATTATATATGAAGTTTGCAAAATTTTTTTTTTTTGAGTAAGAATTCTTCATTGTCAAAGCACACAGAATTTTGTTTTCTGGGAAGGGAGAGTTTTAAAGGTTTTTTTTTCGCAGTCCCGTTTTAATAGAATTATTTTTAACTAATCAAAGTGAATCATCTAAAACGTGTCTCTTGATAACAATGACTAATTGTGATAAAGCAAGATTCTAGAGCTAAATTGACAACCTCTTTTGGCTTCGATATCCAACATTATAAAGAAACATGTTGTGCTTGACACACCATGCATGATTGGTTATGATTAAGAGGACTGCGAAAAAAACTTGTTAGATTACAATGGAGACGAAAAATATCAACAACAACAAAAAAAAGAAATTATTAATTACATTGTACTATACCAAAATATATTATGAAAGTTGTCTCAGTCCAAAAACAATATAGTTGAGAGGATTTGTAAATTGTTTTATGTGTGATGTTTTTCGGATATGCCATTGTAATTGCCTTTTCTATTCACATTGTGTAAAATATAAATAGTATGTATTTGTTTACAGGATGATGTAAGTACACGTGATTTGTGTGTTGCTGTATAGTTAAGTTATATACAGAAGTTACCTATCCTGTCAATGTTACCTGTGTTAAATGGATGTTTATTATGAGTACTGTGAAATAAGAAATTAATGTGAGCAAGAAAATTTGTGCACATGCTAGCAATAATTCATTTATGATATTTCCTGAGTAAGCCTTTAGATGCTACTGTAATCTTCCCTCTTGTCAATGTTATCAATGGTTGATAAATAAAACTAAGCCCATCTCACAATAATTTCTCATTGTCCAAGTCAATTATCTCTTTTGTTAAGAGATTGTCTCTGCATATGTTATGTCATGACATTTTGTTCTTTTTATCAAACAAAATATGTTATGTTTATGTAAGGTTATATTTACTATGCCTTTATTTTAATATGGAGGTGTATTGTCACCCCTGTCCGTCCATCTACTATTGATTGTTAATGTAATATAGATTTGATGCATACATATTTTTGAGGTAATAGAGGAGTAGATGTTTACATTTTCAGAAAAACGAAATTTGAGTAATTGATCTTGACTTGTTACAGGAACATTCCGCTTTTTTTGTAGGTCGAAATATTTTTTTGTTCAAACTTGTGAAAACTATACATCAAAATCTAGAGAAATGTGTCCTATAATGTATCTGAAAGTTTTAACTAAAAAATCCAGCTGTATTTTAATGCCAAAACTATTTGAAAAGTTAACATAAACTTTTAATGTGCATTATGCTTTTAAGAAGCTGTTAAAAATGTACTATACTGATTTAATTAAACCTCAGACTGATTGTAGGTAAATATGTCTCCTACTTATTCTTAAGGTTTCAACTATTATATACATAGATATAAATAGCATACTTTCGGAATATTTTCAGGTAAAATATATGACGTTTTTGATGATGAAAGGTTTTACAAAAAAAATGGAATGCCCCTTTATCATACCTTAGTCTCAAACATAATTTTTTTTAAGCTGAAGCAATCAGTTATAGTGTTCAAAGCTCACAGCAAAATTTCAGCCAACAAATCCATGTGTGTGAATTATCCACGTTTGAAAGTTAAAAAGACTCTATTCTTGAGAAACTGCCATATATAGAAAGACATCTATAGAAATGGGAAAACTCAAATCAACTCCCCTTTTTAACCTATTAAGTTAAAAAGTTGGTTTGTGAACTTGTCACAGGCTTGATTCAGATGAAACTTGCTAAGAGCTAATGCTTAATGGTAGAATGCTGATCTGATACCCTTAACTGGCTATAATAAGAAATAGAATTAAGTTTTGTTGAAACTTTTTAGGTTTGTTTTTTTTTGATAAGGTTGAGGTTTTTTTTTTTAAAAGAATGCTTTGAAATTTGTACCATAACCATGTGGACTGCTCAAATTTATGAAATATGAAAGAAATAAAAAAAAAATCAAATAATTTAAAATACCACATTTAGGAAGGAAACTTAGTAAGTAATTGAATGTATTTTGTATTTTTTCTAATGTTTTAATTAACATTATTTAATTTAGCTTAACATTTCTAATATAGCTATAACTGTTAATATTAGTTTTCATTACTGTTCTCCAATATCATGGATAATCACAGTAAATATTTTTACAATAACATAAAATCATAGATAATTTTAAAAAAAGTTTCTAAAAAGGGTAATAAAATGATGTTAATTGAAACCATTTTGGAAGATTAATGCTTTTGTTGGATCTACATGAAATAAGTGTTTTCTCAAAATGAAATTTTCAAATTAAAATGGTTTCCGTGCGCAATATTTTATTAGTTATTTTTAACACTAATATGAATCTAGTACTATTTTGAACTGCGATCACCATTGGACCATCTGATCTGATCCTTGTGTTTATAGATTAAACATTATAATGTGGACATAGTATTTTTCCCCTTTTCACAATTAGTTGAAGAGAACATTGATAGATGGAGACTACATATTTAATTGGATCTTCTTGAAACCATGACATCTAAGTTGAAATCTGAAGGCTACAAGTTTGATTAGATTTTTAGATAATATATGTGTATATGTTTGATCAGATCAATTATAAAGAAAAGTTGTACATGTATTGTTTACTCATATTGGTAAGTTCAAGATAGTGCAGATATAGAGAGGAGTTAAATGCCTGCCATGCTTTTTTGTGTCAAACCCCTGTGTCATTAAAATGTGTCTTTTTATGTGTGTCATTTATGTGTGTCATTTGTGTGAATTACTAAATACTACATTTGAAAATAAGTATTTCATGTTTTTAGTTGAGTATGTCCAACCATCCATCTGTTCGTTCATTTGGCTTTTGCTCATTCTAAAGGCTACTATTTTTTTTATGGATAAGGTATGCTCAGTCTACAGAATACAATTAATGATGGATGTTCATATTAATTTTGGTGAAATAAGAAAAAAACTGGTATCCAGCCTTATGGACTCGCACCACTAATTTAATTGACATCTCTTTCCGTGTTAAATCTTGAAATTCAACCCTCTATTATTTTTTCAAATATCTTGTTAATACTTTCCAAAATGTTTCATGAAAGCCTGACCAATATTTGTTGTCTTATCAAAAATTCAAAATATGATGACCATGTGGTGTTTAACAAATTGAATGGACAGTTTATTTTGGCGATTGATGACCCACACGCTTAAAAAACCTTGAAGAATTTGATGCATTTTTACACAGATTCGCCCTTCGCAGAGTTTATTTGACATGAAACTTTTTTCATTCTCTGTTTGACCTCCTCAGGTAAGGTTTTAATGAGCTGTACAGAATTAACATTTTACATGTGATGTGAATTTTATCTGCTAATCAACATTGATTAAAAATATATATATTGATGTAAATTGTTTCTTTATTCGTTTATTCGTTTATTCGTTTTTGTATTGTGTGTTGCACATATAAATTTAACTTTACTGCCAACTTCATACTTTACATGAAGCATTAAAAAAAACTAATGATTTTAACATATCTACAGCAAGTGTTTAGTTAAAAGAAAATTAAATTGTAGAAGTGACTTAAAAGATTTGAACACAACACAGTCTAATGTATATAATTATTATATGTTGAGAACCTGTGTGTTTCTCTGTCTATCAAATGTGTATTTAAATTGTGATAACTTATTTTTATCTTGTTTGTAATATTTAAATGTATTTATGGATGATAGTTTTAAAATCAGCTATGATATTGTTTTACTTTATTTCAGAAAAAGGATTATGAGACCGTTATAGCAAATGATGAAAATTTATCAATTAAAACTGGTCCAAAATCATCAGTCTTGAAAAATACATCAGCTGTTCGTAAGGATACTGGTGAATATATGATAACAATTGAAAATCGTCATGGAAAAGATTCAGCTGTAATTAGCGTTGTTGTATTAGGTAGGATTATTTACGGCTATAAACACTCGTATCTACATGAACACCATAATTTTTAGAACAGCATATTCTGAAAATTGATATTCAAGTGATTTTTATACACCTACATGAACTGTGTCTGTCAATCCACAATTGCTCGTAATCACTCTAGAAGGCACAATTCTTTATAGATTGTTGAAACTTGTGTGAGTGTTTGTAATCACCCAAGGATGAACCCTATTGAAAATCGAAAAATATTTGATATGAGTTATTGCCCTTGTTCTTGAAAACACTTTCAATTTTTAGCTTGTAAACTCTTTAAAAGGCATCATTCTTGACAGATTATGACGAAACTTGTGAGTGTCCAGTGATGGACCCTATTGAAATTAAAAAAAAAATCGCAAAAATATTTTATATGAGTTATTTACCTGGTTCTTTAAAACATGTTTAATTTTTAGCTCATAAACACTAGAAGGCTCAATTCTTTACAGATTTTGACAAAACTCTTGGTGAAATTGTTAATTATCACCCATAGATGAACCCCATTGAAAATCAAATAATATTTAATACTTGTATTTGATAGCGTTCATGATAGTACATTCAATTTTTAGGCTTGATTTTTGTCTTGTTGGACTAAATAAACTTAGTAATATTGCTCAGTATCACCCCAAAAATTTTAAATGAAGTGTATGAGTAAAGGTTGAATATTTAAACAAGTGGTTATAGTTAATTACTGCAACACCCACATTATAATGTAAATCAAATCTAATTAAACTACTCTGTCATATATAAAACCATTTATGTTCCAACGTTTCCCTCTAAAACAATACAGATTTTGAGTTATTGCCCTTGACTTAAGAAAAATGCATATAAATTTGTTTGTGAATACAATAGAGACTAAAGCTTTCATCCGATTTGAATGAAATGATGAGATCTTGAACAACTTCAAATTTGAAGATATTTCCATAAACTGTTTTTGAATTGTTGCCCCTCTCTTAGTAACAACTTGTTAAAATTTGTTTGTGAACACTGCAGTTTTCATCTGATTTTAATGGAATTTGTGTGATCATCTATGTACAATGATGGGTGAAATTTGAAATTGAAATATATTTTAATTTGTGAAAGTGGTTATATGTTTTTGATATTTAGGACTACTGCATTCTTTTACATTTTACAGGACCTCCCGGCAAACCAGGTGGACCTATAAAATTATCTGGTCTATGTAAAGATAGTGTAAATTTAAGTTGGCTACCACCAGTTGATGATGGTGGTGCTGGAATCGAGTAAGTACACATTTTCACCTTGACTACTCACTACGATGTTTGATACTTGTTCCTTTGGGATTAGATTGAATTGAAACTGAGGACAATACATTTTTATATTCATAAATTGTCAAGTGAGTGACTCTAACCTTTTACATTAAAATTGTTTTAATGAGATCATGGATGAGTTTTAAGTGTTAAAGACCAATAGGATGATATTAAGAAAGCTAATTCATTGAATGCTTGCTTAAATAAGTATGCACTGATTTTCTCCATTGTAAAGAATAGCAAACCTAAAATACAAGTGTACTTTAATCATCGTAATTTTTTTGTATCAAAACTTTTTTGGTTACAGAATTTAACATTGTTCTGATCTGATCTCATTGAAACTTCATTGAAACTTCATTGAAACTTCATTTAAAATATCTAAATAAGATTATGGAAGGATTTGGAATTCTTTATTATAGCTCCTATCGTGTTGAAAAATATGATATGAAAAAAGGTGTTTGGGAGAAAGTTGCAAATGTTCACGGAAACAAGTGTACAGTTCCTAAGTTACAAGAAAACCATGAGTACAAATTTCGAGTTATTGCTGAATCACCTAATGGGGACAGTGAGCCTTTAGAAACTCCTGATGCAGTTCTGGCTAAAAAACCTTTTGGTAAGCCTTTTAATTTATTTTTGTGAAAGTGAGATATTCAAATTATTTATATTTATGTGAATCAAAGGAAAAAATTAACATGCATATGTCAAAGTAAATGAAACTATACAACTTTAGATCACTATTGGTGCATCGCTAAAGGTGGCTTTTGAGGCAACGATCTTTCATGTATTAAAAACTGATAATTAAAAATAAAATAAAAGAATCACAAGATGTTTTTTTTTAAAAATATAATAATAGTAAAATCAGCTTTTTTCTAACAGATATATTGGGTATGAAAGTAAATTTGCATTAGCTAATGTTTGCTGTAAACTATTATCATGAACAATAAACATTGATTTGTATGATTATATAGATGAACCACACCCACCTGGAGTACCTACTGCTACAGAACAAGCCCGAGATCACATAAGTTTAACTTGGGATCCACCAGAGAATGATGGTGGTTCACCTGTTATAGGATATGATGTTGAAAGAAAAGATCCCAAAACAAATAGATGGGTACCAATAACCAAAGTACCAGTTGAGGTATATCTTTATATTTTTATACAACCATTTTATAATGTGATGATTCCGAAAAGAAAAAGCAGAATTAATAAGACAAACGTCTGGCTGAAACTGAAAGCAAATTTTAATTGCAATTTAATGCTTGTGGATTATATCTTAAAGGAAACATAATGGGATTAGTTAATTTGTCTGATAACAAAATCTCCAATAGCATCAGATAAAATTTTCAAGTGCACTCCATCTTGCACTAAAACTTCATGTCTGGACCTACAGATAAGAGGATCATAAAATTAGATAAGTTACCAATAACAAAAGTGTAATAATAAATGGATGATCTTGTAGCCCCTCATTTAAAGGGGTTAATTCGGCATACAAAAACATTGATATTCTTATGGTTAGCTAATAGTTCAATCAATAGATTCATTAGTTCTGCATACACTCTTGAAAAGTAGCAGATTTGTTGCTGAAACTATTTCACAAAGCACAATGTTTTGACAGATTCTCTGTTTGTATCAAAAATTGTTCTAAGTTGTCTAACAGCCTAAACAATGAAAGAGACTTCACAAGAGAACTTCAATCGCTTGGCTGACAAAAGCCCCTACGCAATTTTTCAATAGGACTAAATCCCCTACGGACAAAACCCCCTTATAAAATTAAGATGGTAGGACAAAAGCCCCTATTTATGATTTTTTATTATGAATAAAAAGAAAATATGCATTAGGAAAAAAGTTATTAAAGTCTTGAATATATAGATAAAATCATTTTGAGTATTATAAAGTAAAGTATAAAGTAAAACCACCATTCGATGGGAATGTTCCCAAAGAAGGGCTTTGAGTTGTAAAGATACCATTACAACTGACTTGCAAATTGTGGAATGTGGAAGATTTCTTGAAAGGTGTAGCAAGAAATATAAGATTGTTGTGATTGTCTGATGAGAAATTAAATGTGCTATCATGTTTCCTTATTGACATATAAATGTGCCCCAACTTTCAAATAGTTTACCTTTTTTATGACTCAATGTGCTTCATTAATTTTGTTTTACAATGTTAAGTTTGTTTGATATATATTAAAAGTTTTAAATAATTTGATTTTTTTGTAGATGCTTTTGTCCTAGGTAATAGGGGGTTTTGTCTGTAGGGGATTTTGTCCTAGTGCAAAATTGTGTTGGGGCGTTTGTCCGTAGGGGCTTTTGAACGTCTACCGGATCAATCAGGATGGATTTTTCAACAGAACGTTATCAAAATTAATATATTGAGTAGATTTATTAATTCTTAATATTTCCTTTCATTTTGTTAAGCTGAAGTTCCAAAACTGAAACACAGACCATCAAAATGTTTTACCAAATTGTCTTTAAGGATGAATAGCAAATTATTCATCTAGAATGTCAACTTCAAAGGATGACAGTCTAGTAATTTCAATGTGAAACCTCATAGGCTTGATACAAGTAAAAATGGCGTTGCGCTTGGAATACACACATATTGCATCACTCCCGCTCAAATAGGTCATGTGACTGGTTTAAATGGCTGCGGCCAGGTGTTTGATGCTATTTTCTTAGTTATTATTTATTAAAGAACCTCCCAATAATTTTCTGGTATATTGTACTAAATATATTTTATCAAAATTATTTTTGGGTATTATGAGAATTGCTTTGCTTTAATATCAAAATATATTTTTAAGGGAAATGAGTTTACTGATGAGAAGGTACAAGCAGAAAAAGAATATGAATATCGAGTGATAGCTATTAATGAAGCAGGTCCCTCTGATCCTAGTCTGTCCTCTAAGCCTATTATAGCAAAGCCATTAAAAGGTTAGTTTAGATATTTCCATGGTTATATTCACTACTTACTGTATGTATATTGATTTAAACAATAGTTATTCAAATTTTATTAATAATACATACCGATAAACATTGTTTCAGAAACAATTCAAAGCATATATTAATTCATTTAACTATTAAATACGATTACTAACTAGACAAATATAAATTAGAATTTGGTACATTTATATGATGTATTCAATGTTGTAGATATATTATAGTTATCATCTTGTATATTTTGTTAAAATTGTGTAAATCTTTTTCTCCACATTGTTTGTCAAAATAACTAGCAGATTGTGACACGATATAGCAGCAAGCCATTAATGATCAGTTCACCTAACTATGGATTGACATTTATTGAACTTGATCATATGATGGAAACAAAACAGCTGAGGGACTTGCAAACCACATATAACTATCTACAATTTATTAAGGAAATGGCAAGAAATGCTTGTGTACATGGACATTATATTCCTTGTTCAGAAGAGTATTCTACAATAGCTTTAAGCCATACGTCTCGTCAAATTTCTCAATAGAGAAAAAAATAGATATTGTATGACATTTGTAAAAATCATTTGCATGATTTTCTTTTTCTTCCTTATTAGAATCACCAAAGCTAGATTTATCATCTTTATTTGGTGCTAAAGAAATTAGAGTTAGAGCTGGAGAGCCTATTGATCTGAAATTGGGAATTGATGGTGCCCCTACTCCTACTGTAGAATGGAAACAAAATGACCAACCACTTACTCCTGGGCGGGTAAGAGCAAACTGAATTTTATAGGATCGAACTTTATGATGATTTATTATTGATAGTTTGATACTAAAGTATAATCAAAAAAGATTAATTAGGGAGCGTATACCCTTTAACTCCTCTTGAGACTCCAGCATCTGGATTGAGACCCGATGAGCATTGCTGGTGGGACAGTTGGCAACAGAAATGGAGAGCTAAGTCTCAGGGAATGGATCACAGAGATCATTGTTGTCTAATGCATAAGAAACTATAAGACAAGGCTATGCAGCTCAGTTTCACTCCTGCTACAGATGTAAACAGGCCTTTTGAAAGGTCTTATTTTGAAGTGAAAATTAAGCCCTGTAGATGCTTCTCTGGTTCTCCTTTATTTAGGGCATCAAGCAAAGCCTTTGGAAAAATGTATTGTGTGATAATACTCAGTGATTGATTGTATTGTTGATACTGGTGATCAATTTTGAATTTTAAGATTTTTCACTGACTAGCTGCTATCTATATAAAAAAAAGTACAGTCATGACCATTCCTTCTAAACAAGTCATCCTATTGCGATGCATTAACTTGAAATAAACTTTCTATTGTTACAGCAAACTACACATATCTGTTGTTTTATATAGTAGATTGCTGTGACAATCACTTTCTGTTAATTACTCTCATAGCCACAGGTCTCTACCCAATTATTTTCTCATCACGTTTTTAAATTGATTTGAATCTAGGTACAAACAACAAGTGATGAAAAACAAGCCAAATTTCATATACCAAGATCTCAAAGGAGTGACACAGGAAAATATAAAGTGAAAGTTTCAAATGAAATGGGTGAAGAGGAGGCAGATATTAATATAGTAGTTTTAGGTGAATAGTCTTACTTATTCCAGTTTTATAAAAAAAATATTAATATGATATGTAATAATAAAAAAGCATTTGCATCAAGAATTTTTCATTTTACGTTGGAATTAGGAAAATGTGACCAAAGAATCTTAAAACAAAAGTCAAATCAGACTTTGATGGCATTAAACATCATCTGTATTGTAGATAAACCTGGAGCACCAGCTGGACCATTAGATGTAAGTGATATAACAGCTGAAACTTGCAAATTGAAGTGGAATCCACCTGAAGACAATGGTGGAGGAGAAATTACAGGTGAGTAGATTAAGCTGTTATAATTGACAACTGTAAAATAATAAGAGCCTTTCAAATTACAGAAGTTGATAATATACATAGTAAAACTGCTTCCTCTAAAAAGCATCAACTCCCCAATCCATTTTAATTTTATTCTTCTAATGTTATCAATATATTTAACCCATTGAAAGAAATCTTTATGAAAGTGCACACCCCCGAAACCACAAGCTAATTTATTTAGCTGTTGAAACCCTAAAAGGTAAATCAGTGACTAAATTCATTATCTCCAGACAATTCTTTCTTTATTTTTGTTTTAAGAAGGAGTATAATCAAGGAAATATAGTTTATCATACTTGATTCGTTTCACATTTTTATGTATGATATTTTGACAGTACTTGTAAAACTGAGTCATCGGTTGCCGTTTTTTCCAAATATGTTCCTAATGAGTACCCACCAAAAAAGTGAAATTTCATGCACAACGTAGATTGAATGTATTGTAGTTCATGCAGAAACTGAGTTAGGGTTCTGAATTTCTGAAACAGGACAGTAAAAGTCCATATCATAGTGGGCTAGCACTTTTTCTTAGGATCACAAGATGACCAAAAGTGAATATCCTCAATTATTGGCATATTATGTTGGTCATTGATTATATTGCAGTATTAACACTTTTGTTAACTATTTATTTCAATTTAAAGAAATGTCGGCCATTTCTATGGTAGCAGGCATGTCATTTCTGGGTCAAAATATTTTGTATTTCTTTCTTTGACATGTTCTTTCATGAATAAAGAACTCGAAAATTCAGACTTTGTGTGTTTTGAGGATAAAAAAAAAATGCTTAATTACTAAAGAGAAAAATGCAAAATATTCAAATTTTATTAAGTGTAGTTTGGATCAAAATACAGTTATACATTATTAGAAAGAGGTGGGATTGAAGAAGAATTTTTGATGCACATTAATTAAGTCATATGATAGAGCTCTGTAAATGCATACCTTAATATTAAAAGCCTAGAAAACATACAAAAAGCATTGGCAACAAATATGAAGATATTATAGGATAAATCTCATCAAGGGCAATAAGCTTCCTAATTTGAGAACCTTCATAAACATTATAAATCAAGGTTATCTTGAGATCTGCTTCATGTCTGTACCATTGGTATTAAAAACATTAAAAAAAAAATACAGCTAAAAATAGTGCAGCCAATATGTCCAAAACTCACATTTTTGAATTGCATATATATATCTGATACCTTCTTCATATCCCCTGCATCTATACTTGATTCTTGTAAATATTCATGAAGTTACAGAAACACAACAAGAAACCTATTCAATCTATTTAATCTTCTCAAATATTTTGATTGGCAAGGCTTGTCAATACTGAACAGTATTATTATTGTATGAGTTGCAGATGTGCAAGTGGAAAACAATTCTTTTTATTCAGTGCTTAACTATGATTTGTATTTCATAGATACTTAAGAAAAAGCATGATGTTCTATATTATAGCAATGGGTGCTCAGCAACAACAGTTGAAACGTAAAACATCAGCAATCAACCTGTCCATTTCTGCAAATTTTTAACATACATGTTCATATATATATATATATATATAGTTAAATGAGATCAATAACGCTGATAAAGATATTTAATTTTTACTGCCAACATGTTTCAATTTCATATTTTCAAGGCATGGTAAGGCATAGCTTGTTTCAATTTCATATTTTCAAGGCATGGTAACAATACAATAAACAACAATATGATGTCATGATATTGTCATGGTTACTTAATTAATAATACATCTAGAAATTTGTGAAATCTGAACTAAAAATGATATCCCAATTTGATAGTTTCATAGGATATATTGCTGAGAACTCAATATATTCATTTTTAAGGATATATTGTTGAGAAACAAGAAGAAGGTTCCAATATATGGGAGAAGGTGCCAGGTATGGTAACTGGAACATCACATAATGTCAGAGGGTTGAAAGATGGTAAACATTATACATTTAGAGTTAAAGCTGAGAATATATATGGCACTGGGGAACCTCTTGTAGGTGATAAGATGCTTGCTAAGAATCCATTTGGTAAGTTTTCAAATACTGATAAATAATTTAGCTACTTTCAGACAATCAGGACAGCTTGGAAATAGGAAGTTGACAATTAAAATATTTTAAAGTAGAGCCTACCTTTGACAATTGGTTATCTACTAGCTTAAAGATGGTTATCCTTATTTTTTAGTGATAAATTAAGCAAACTATTTTATTAATTGTTGTTTCTAATGTATTTTCATCATATCATTATGCTCTTATTTCATATGATTAAGAGTTTTAACCAATCATACTCAGTCTGGATAAACATAAAAATACTTTTTGACCTTTCTTGATCAGTTATTCATTGGCATTCGGCTGTTAATTTTCTTAAGCTAATTATGAATTAATTATGGATATGTGAGACAAACTGGTTTAAATGTTATATACTCCTCTTTTTTTTAGATGTTCCTGATGCTCCAAGAGACTTAATTATAGAGAAATATGATAAATATTCCTGTAATTTAAAATGGAAAGAACCAACCTCAGATGGTGGAAATCCAATTAAAGGTATGTAAAAATGTTGAATAAATTATATTATGATTTAAATGGAATATATTGAAACATATTCAACAAAAGAAATTACATGTGTTTGTATGCTGTTGTTCAGCTAGTTTTCAGCTCCCTTAGTCATTACATCTTGTATTTAGTATATTTTTCAGTGGTTAATAGCTATTACCTATCTGTACCCTATTCAATAGTAACAATTACTATATCAGCATATGTTTTGCTTTTAAAGGACATATTTTTTATTTGTATTTCTTCCACGCTACATGATTCATTGCTTATTATAATTTCTCTTAGGATATCAAATAGATAAAAAAGTAGATGGAAGAGATTGGCAGAAAGTAAATATTTATCCATGTAAAGATTTAGCATTCACTGTTCCAAATCTTAATGAGGGTACAGAAGTTGAATTTCGAGTCATGGCAATAAATGATGGTGGAGTGGGGAAACCAAGTAAAACTACACCCAAACATACAGTTAGAGACCCAATTTGTAAGTCATTACTATTTGCTCAGAGATTACATATTTGATTTGATTAAGAAGAGACGTGGTATTCATATCATTCTGTAAATTACTACTAAATAGTAAATACCCCTGTAGTTATAGCTTAGATGTTTAAAAATGCTTCGGTCTAGCTGCAAATAAATAGAAGCAACAGTATATGTCAAATATTTATACAAGTTGGTATAATAGGTTTATATGAATTTGTGTATGATTCAAAAATATTAAAGATATTGTTGCAGAGATTATCCAGATATTGAATACCCATTCGACATTTATTTTAATTTAGTTTTAAGTCAAACAAATATTTAAACCTGAGTGACCTTTGAACATGTTTGGATGAAACTGTTTATTATTTATATATATGAATATCACAATATTGTCAGAAATGTTGCACTCCACAATTGAAAAAGGTGCCAAAAATAGGACTGGCACCAATGTGGAGATGATGGTTTTTAAGTTTTCACTGTTTTCATTGTTGAAATATTTGATGAGTACTATGGATATGTACCATCTCGTGCTCACTTTTTTTATGTTTTCGTTTTTACTATGTCTGATTGTGCTACAAAGATGATTATTTTTTTTCATGACTGAACTGTTTTTTTTACCAATATAAAGCATTGAAAATTAATTGGATGGGTACCATCTAATACTCACTATTGCTCAATCTACAGACTACAGTTTGTGTTAGTTGTTTTGTGTTATATTCATCATAAGACATGGATTATGTCTATAGCATTCACTAAGAGAAAAAGAGAGGACCTAAAGGGTATTATCTAATGCTCACTCTGAAGATAACAATTTTTATGGATTGGTTTGTTTCTTTGGTTTTTGTGTTGATGGAGAGCTCAGGATGATGCTTATTGAATGGATGATAATTGCTCTGATTTACAATGTGGTAACCACATGTTGATGTGTTCTTGGCTATCTTCATTCAACTTGGTAAAATTTATTTGTTTCATCAGAACAGTAAGTTACAGAGGACATATTTGGACGTCTTTTACTATTCTTTTATTTGTTCTATCAACTATTAACAACTGATACTCTTTTTAATGTTTTAGTCGCTGTTGGATCACCTGGTACGCCAAATGTAGACAAAATAACAAAGAATAGTGTTGATCTAACATGGACCAAGCCATCAAATGATGGTGGTTCGAAAATAACTGGGTATGTGGTTGAAAAGAAGAAGAAAGGAGGAGATTGGATGGATGCTATTTCGGTGCCTGCTAATAATTTAAGTGCCACGATACCTAATTTAATGGAAGGAGAAGAGTATGAATTTCGAGTTAAAGGTGTAAATGCTATAGGTCCAGGTGATGCTAGCAGACCAACAAATTTGGTTAAAGCGGAAGATCAGCCATGTATGTCATGTTATATATTTTATTATCTTTATAGCTACATTTATTTAATTGTTTTATATGCAACGATATAACTAACAACATTACGCACCGATAATGCAGTCAATGATGCTTCATTTATTTTCTGTTTCACTACTTTGTTTTTCTACTCTTTATAAGGTAAACCTAAACTAGATATGTCAGCTGTGCGTGGTATAACAGTTAAGGCCGGCACACCATTCCAGATAAAAGTACCTTTTACTGCAACGCCTAAGCCTAGATCAGTGTGGCAGTTAGAAGATAGCGAGGTGGAAGATTCCCCTCGAGTAACAAACACTGTAAGTTGTTTCTTCTCTAAAAATTATATTTGTTTGTGTGTCAAAATTGCTAACTAGGACCCTGTTTCTCAAAATATCTTACAATCAATTGTAGGTTATAAATGCTGATTTGATCGTAAAAGGTATTTCTCAAAAAATTGTAAAATAAAAATTCTGGTCTAAACTTACATGTGGTCAAATCTGTCGTAAATAACAGCTGGTAGAACAGTTTTTGTTTTTACAATTAATAATTTATTAGTGTGAAAGAAAAGATAATAAGACATAAGATTTGATCCCTTTGTGTACCAACCACCTTCTTGATTTGCCTTTGTCTCAGTTGAAAGTCATCATTTTTTTGCTTCGACAATGACGTCAAAACAGCTATAACATCATCATTGAGTTTCATTGACTGAGAATCAAAATTTTCGAGTACTTTTAATTGCAATTGCAAATGGTCTTAAGTAATAGGGTCAACTTGCCAGATATGCTACACTATTTTGTAATTGAGCAGAACATATTAAGTTAAAGTTACTTATATTTCTGTAGTTTTATTCTAAAAATTAGCTGATAATGATGAAGGAAGATTTCCATTTCACAAGCTTTGCCTTCCATAGACATCTTGTCATCTGCTACTAAGTCGGTATTGCTCATGGTCAGTCAACCATCTCGGTTGTACGAAAATTTTTATCTTAAGATTATTCATGACATTTGCAATTTCTTTGAGAAACGAGCGTAATCGTAAATTTAAGACAGTTGTAATTTTAGCCGTAAGTCGTATGATTTTTTGAGAAACAGGGCCCAGGAATTTACATTATTTATCTTCATCTTAAACTAGAAATATCTAAACAAAATCAAAATACACAACAACAAACAAGACTGTTAATAATATTGAATTGAAATTATTTTGATTATGCGAGTAGACAAGATAAGTAATGATATGTAGTCTGAACCAGGAACTGAATAATTGTGTTGCCTCAGGTAGTGCAATTTGATTTATCGGGATCTTATTGTTGTAGGGTTAGACGTAGATGATATAATAAGCTACGCTGGGTTCGAACTTTATTAAACATCAAATGTAATTACAAAGCCCCTGAATAATTCTTAAAAATAAAATTTATCTACCTTATACCACTTTAATCGTACTTGTTTAATATAAATAATGAAATATTAAATATGCAGTAACAATATACAAAATACATACATGATGACCTTGACCCTTTTCATTTAATGTTAAAACTTCACGTGTAGGCTTCGACATTTTGAAAAAGAATGGCTCTTGCTTAGCTGATCGCGTAATGAAGGTGGTCGCTTATCAGTCATTAATTACATTGAAAACTCGTAGGGGGGATTTTATTGTGGTCGCATATTGAAGGTGATTGCTTAATAAAGGTGGTTGCGTGAGCAGGATATACTGTAATATATGAAATAAAACATACCTTTAATAAAGACTGATCTAATTTCTAACTATATCCATAATCAATAAGCAATCCATGAAATATAAATGGCAAAACTGAATCTTTGAAATAGAAATTCCCTCAAAAACCATATGAGATCTAGAAGCTCTGAAGTAGTCCTTTCACTTTGAAAACTTAAGGCTTAATGAATAAAATGATAGGAAAAGTTATAATGCTTATGGTGTTGAGATCACATTTGTGAGTAGAGCAAAAGCTCACCAATGTATAAGGTATAGAAGAAAAATAGATTAGGGTGAACAGATTTGAGTTGATTGTTAATATTTTTGACTATGTGTTCAGTGTACTTTTTTAAACATTAAAGCAATGCTGAAACTAAACTTATAAACAAATAGACATTTTAAATGTTACATTATCATGCTTGTCTATGTCTTTTAATTCGGGCGATAGCATATTGTGGAGGCAGTGGTAATCTCGTTACAAAACAACAAATTTATCCTACACGTTTTCACTTGCTGTTGTCATCTTTAAATGAGAAAGTTGCAAAGTTTATGTCCTTCTAGTCTTCCAGTCCTTTTCTTTCTGTGTGAGGCCACCTAAATTTTACACTGCTGTTATCAGAGGAAGACTTTTAATAGCTTGAAAATACAAATTTAAAAGTCATTGTCACATTTCTATTGTTATTCTGTATGTTATTCTGTATATTCTTCAGTTTATGAAAATTGATAATGATTATGATAATAATATGGACATTTATCTGTTTAGATTACAGATGATGTTGCACTTTATGCTGTAGCCAAATCTCAGAGAAGTGATTCAGGAAAATATAAGCTCACTTTGACAAACCCATCTGGATCAGAATCTGGCTATTGTAGAGTTAATGTTTTAGGTATGTCTAATCTTTCTTTTGCATTTTTGATCTAAATAGCTTAGTACAGCTAGGTTATTATTACAGCATTAGTGTATAATATATCTTAACTGCTTGACATATAGATTATCTCATAGACATATAAAAGAAATTAATCATATATCTAAAATAATCCATGATATTCATTATTCATACTTTTTATAGATAAACCAGGAATTCCCACTGGACCCATCACAACTGCCGACATGGAAGGAGAATCTTTAACATTGAATTGGAATCCTCCAGAAGATGATGGGGGAGAAAAAATATCAAATTACATTGTTGAAAAGCGAAAAGTAGGTAGTGGTAGATGGCAAAAAGTCAGTAGTTTCTTAACAACACCTACTTGTAACGTAAGAAACTTAGAACCAGGAACCAAATATGATTTCCGAATATTTGCTGAGAACCCTCATGGTGTTAGTGATGCTTTAGAGACCAAAGAAGCAATTCTTGCGAAACTGCCATATGGTTTGTATTAATTTTTTACACAACAAAATACAATTTAAAAACACTTTATGTAAGGTGGAATGGCTTTTTATTCAATGTTCTTCATTGCTATTTCTTATTTCTTAATTTTCAATCCTTATCTCTTAATTTACATGCTTAATTCAACATTTGTCATTGAAAATTGACATATGTATAAGAATCATAATTTTATTGAAAATGAACATTTTTCGATAAGCGATTGTCGATTGACTGTGAGGCAACGGTAACGGTAACGGTAACGGTAACGGTAATTATATCAGTTGACAAACTACATATTTTCTTTTTCTTTTTGGTCATTAAGCTTGATACATTATAAACCATATTATATATAAAAAAGATATGTAATAAGTGTAATTTGAATTTTTAGACCCACCAGGGAGTCCTTCTACACCAAAGTGTGTCTCTACAACAGAAGATTCAATTACATTGAACTGGAATCCTCCTCGTAATGACGGAGGTGCACCAATATATGGTTATATGGTAGAAAAAAGAGAAAAGGGCTCTGAAAACTGGACAAAGTAAGGACTTTTTAATGGCATCCTTGCATTACATCTGTTCGGTATTTCTGAAAAGCTGAAAGCCTGTTCCCCAATACTGTAAATAAATTTAATAATACAGTTATCATATATATCAATAGATTTAAACTACAAATGCATTATGTATATCTTTAAAATGAGAAAATTAGTATTTTAGTCACTAAAGACTGTATATTGTTTCTAACAGTTGCCAGTGGGGTGTTACCTTACTTGGCAAGCTATCTTTCTTCAAGATAGAGTCTAGACCTAGCGTTGCAATATTTAGAAAAAAGGTAATTTAAACAAAACATTTCGATATGGCCACATTATAATGTGGTCGTATATTGTCAACACCCCTGTCCGTCCGTCCGTCCACAATTGCTTGTGAACCCAATAGAGACAACAGTTTTTATACGCCCACATGGAAATGTGGACGTATATTGCCGTCGCCCCTGTCCGTTGGTCCGTTTACATTTCTTGTGGGCGCGATAAAGGCTACAGTTTTTATCCGATCTTGATAAAACTTGGTATGCATATATATTTTGATGAGATCTCGGTCAAGTTCGAAATTGGTAATAATCGGATGAACTGTTTCAGAGTTATTGTCCTTGACTAAGTAAAAACATGTAAAATTTGCCAATTTGTAGGCACAATTGAGACAACAGTTTTCATTATGTATATCTTAATGAGATCTCGATCAATTTCAAAATTGGTAATAATCGGATGAACGGTTTCAAAGTTATTGCCCTTGGCTTAGTAAAAATGTTTCAAATTTGCCTTGTAGGCACGATAGAGTCTACAGTTTTTATCTGATCTTGATGAAACTTGGTATGCATGTATATATTGATGAGATCTCAGTCAAATTCGTAATTGGTAATAATCGGATTAACGGTTTCAAAGTTATTGCCCTTGGCTTAGTAAAAATGTTTCAAATTTGCCTTGTAGGCACGATAGAGTCTACAGTTTTTATCTGATCTTGATGAAACTTGGTATGCATGTATATATTGATGGGATCTCAGTCAAATTCACAATTGGTAATAATTGGAGGAACGGTTTCAGAGTTATTGCCCTTTACTTATCCATTCTTGATGAAAGTTATGTTTTTGCCTTGACTGATACACGATTTTAAGATTAATTGAAATTTCATTATTAAGCCACTAAAGATTTTGTTATCATTTCTGATAGCTGGTAGTTGGCATATGTTACCTTGCCTGGCAAGCTATCTTTATCAGATTTCAATGAAATTTGTTGTTTCATTTATATTGATGAGATCTTGGTCAAGTACAAAGTTGATGATCTTTCGATGAAGGATTTTTGAGTTATTGCCCTTGACTTAAGAAAAACGCATCAAAATTTGTTTGTGAACACAATAGATACTACAGTATTTATCCAATCTAAATGAAATTTGGTGCGATCATTTATAATGATGAGATCTTGGACAAGTTCCAATATGACAATTTTCAATCAACGGAATTTGAGTTATTGCCCTTGACTTAGAAAAAAAAGCATCAAAATTTGTTGGCTTGTTAACGCGTTAGAGGTAACAGTTTATGTCAGAATTTTATCAAATTTGTGTGTTTGATAAAATCAACAATATCTTGCGCAAATTAGATTTTTGGTATGATTTGACACAAATCGTTGACCGCCCTTGATATACTGAAAATGTATCAGGAAAGTGGGCGTATCTTGCTAAGATTAGGGAAATAAAAATTGGCAGTCATAAAACAATTCATTCAAGTGCTTGATCGATACATGGAAATGTGTAATAAATAATAAAACTTGACATCAAATACCTTTCTTTATTACCCAAGGTTTCATCAAAAAAGTTTGATTTCATCAGGGTAGGAACAAATTATATATATGTTTTAGATTAATTAATTGGAAATAAGGAGGTATATTGCCATTGTCCCTATCCGTCCAGTGTCCTCAATACAGACTGCAGTTTTCATCTGATCTTCCTGGTATGAATGTATATATTGATGAGATGTCCGTAAAGTTGGAATTTGGTATAATTGAATAAAAGTTTTCAGCGTAGTGTGCTTGACTTAGTAAAAACAGGTCAAATTTGGCTTGTAGGCACAATAGAGACTACAGTCTTCATCCGATCTTGATGAAACTTGGTATGCATATTGATGAGATCTCAGTCAGATTTGAATTTTTTTAATAATCAGATGAACGGATTGGAGTTATTGCCTTTCACTGAGTAAAAAAGTGTTAAATTTGGCTTGTAGGCGTTTTGTGCTTGACTTCTTCATTTGACACCTCAAATTTGTTGTGTGGGCACAATAGAGGCTACAGTTTTTATCTCATCTTAATGAAACTTGGTATGCATGTATATATTGATAAGATCTTTGTCGAGTTGTAACTTGGTAATAATTGGTTAAACAGTTTTGGAGTTATGGCCCTTGAACCTTGTGTGAAAATAACTAGATTTTGGTTTGGTTTTTGAGTTTTTACCCTTGGCTTGAAAATATGATAGAGGCAACAATTATACAATCTTTTTCTTAACTTGGTATGGCTACATGTATTGATGGCAAGCTATCTTATTTTAATCAGTTTTAGAAATAAAATTGAAGTTGTCAGTGTTTGTATTTAAAGTTGTCACAATATAATACGTAGGTGACTGCTTGAAACCTTGCATATGCCATATTTGGTCATTTTGACTTTTTTATACTCTTCGAAAGCTTGTAAAATCGTGGATCTTGTGATCAAAGCCTCTTATTCATAGCTTGATTGTAAACAACTCAAAAACCACCAATTAAGTAACACACTTATAAACAGATTTAAAAATATTATATTATATGAAGTTCAATGTTCCTTTTTCTGCAGTTGAAAACGAAAAACTTTGTATACTTTACTATTATACAAATTATTGGTTGAATAGGTTGAGTACTCAAACTGTTCAAAGAATGAAAACCACATATAGCGGTAAAAAATAAAAATTAGAAAAATAAAAAAGATTTGAACAAAATATGTGTAATTTTGCGCCATATATCATTTTACGAGGTTTCAAGCGGTCACCCACAATATGTCATGATAAGTTGACTGGATATTTTAACTTGAGGTTACAGTTTTTATCTGATCTTGATGAAACTTGGTAAGCATGTATATATTAATTAGATCTCGGTCAAGTTTTAATTTGGTCGTAATCAGATTAATGGTTTCAGAGTTATTGCCCTTGACTTAGTATAAACGTGTCAAATTTGGCTTGTAGGCACAATAGAGTATGCAGTTTTTATCTTATTTGGATGAAACTTGGTATGCATGTATATATTGATGAGATCTCAGTCAAGTTTGAAATTGGAAAATATTGGATGAATGGTTTTGGAGTTATTGCCCTTTACTTTGTAAGAAATGCATCAAATTTGGCTTGTAGACACAATAGAGTGATAACAGTTTTTATCTGATCTTGATGAAACTTGGTATGCATGTAGACACTGATGAGGTCAAGTTCAAATTGGTAATTATCAGATGAACAGGTTCAGACTTATTGCTGTTGTGTGTTCGTTTATGAGACCTTGTTCATGTCTTAATTTGATGATAATTTAATGAACTGTTTTTGACTTAAAAATATTTTTAGAATTTTTTGAAAATTCATTATTTAACCACTTTATAAAGACTAAGTTATAATTTCTAACAGCTGGTAGTAGTCATGTGCTACCTTGCTTGGCAAGCTTTCTTTTGCTGATTCCTTACACTTTATATAGATTGCATAAATTCATTTCGTTGTGTTAATACATGAGTTGAAACTAAGTCAATTTTTAACAATTCATTTTCCATTCATTAGTTTATGAATGAGTTTTTTTTTTTTAGAGCACACACAATGGAGATCCCTGACAATGAGTTAACAGTTAAAGGTTTAATGGAGGGTAAAGAATATGAATTTAGAGTTTGTGCTGTTAATGCAGCAGGTTCTGGCGACTATAGCACAACATCAGACATGATTAAAGCACAACCACCACCAAGTAAGAATAGAATATTTATTAGAGAAAGACATTGATTTTTAAAAGCTTTCTATCTCAATATATTTGTATTACTCGGCAAATTCTTTCATGTTTCAAGGAAAATGATGTGTTGTCACTAATTTTGTTACAGATTCCTGTTTTTACAGTTATATTTTGATTTATTTTTAAGTGCAACCAAAAATTTCTAAAGATTTGATGAGTGGAAGAGATATTATAGCAAAAGTTGGACAGCCATTCAAGATATCAGTACCCTATAAAGGAAATCCTATTCCTACAGTTACTTGGACTATGGTATGTTGCATATCACTTTATATCAAAGTAATAGATGATTCAAATTTTCACACATTAAAACATGGCTGGTATTTCATTAGCCCACCATTTTATTCCAAAACAAAATGTAGTTTTCAAAAATACTATAAACGATCACAAATCAAAGTGAATGCATTTCACTTATTGGCTGATTAAAATTAAAAAATGTTAAAAGGCTAATTTGACACTCAATCTAAGATAGATTAGTGACTTTGCCTTATCAAGGTTTTGAAATCGATAGATCTTTTACAATTACATTGTAGCTCAGCCCTCGAGGCTCTACCAAATTGCTTTTATTTAATGTACAAATACTTTTCTATGGGCATCAGAAGAAGATCTTCTATAGAATGATTAGGTAAATTTTAATGGTTTGTGATTAGTCTACCTTTATACACCCACATGAAATGAAGAGCAAATTTTGCGTCATCCATATCCGTTGGTCTGAGCATCCATCTGTCTATCCACAATTAAACGTAAACATTATAAAAGGCACAATTCTGGACATTCACAAAACCTTGTGAAATTGTTTATTGTTAGGGATGAAACCTATGAAAAACCAGAAAAATCAAAAGAATTATATATTAGTAATTGTCATTGTGCTTTAAAACACATTAAACTTTTAGATTATGCTGCCAGTGGACATAATACCTTGTCTGGCAAGCTGTTTATTTTACAGGGTACACTAACTAAGGGATATTTCTACTGCTTGAAGCATGACTACAGTAAGCAAACCTTCCAAGTTTCCAGCATTTCGAGAGATTGTCATGCTCTTTGATAGTGTAACGTGCCACTCTGCCTCAATATAGAAATATAGGCAGGTGGAAATGGTAACGTTATCTTTTGTTCTGTTCTGCTTTAACGAGAGCAATTGGCAGCTCAAAAGTTGATTTTACCCAAAGACTCGAATGCACAAAATGGGGCGATGTTGTTCCATTGCTAAGAATACATGGGAACCAATATCTCAATTTACTCAATAAAACAAACAAGTGTTTCAACAACTTTATTTATACAAATCAACTATAGGTATTCACATACAATAAACATATAGCATATCCTTTATGAATAATGATGATAAAATAAATGGGCACTGATACGAGACACAACTGAAATTTGGACCCTAAACTGGATTCACAAAAGGGACAACACGATCCTCAGAGCACAGTTCTAAACACTATTTGCACAAAATGGTATCCATATTCATGTAATAAAGGAATGCACTAAAACCAAAATATATTTGGGGCGGCACAACGTGGAGAATATCACACAAGCACTAAGTTATACTGGAACAACATAAAATCATAAAGTCACAAAGGGACTTTGGGGTAGAGCTCATTGAGAAAGATTTCTAACCTTCTAACAACACACTATCTTTCTCTACAAATTATAACACTAGATGAGATACCACTGGTCACAAAGGACCTCCAGGGTAGAGCTTAACGTTCACTTCATTGAAGAACATCTGGTCTGCATGCCCTTATACACAAACCATACTCTAACATAATCTCATGAGAAATAATAGCCGGGCTAGCTCAGGGGGGGAAACTAACTCAGATGATATCAAAACTATCTTTATCAGTTCATAAACTTTAATAAAAACCCTGTAATGATAATATTAAACAATTAGATATATATACAACACAAATATACAATACTATATCTTACAATTATCACAGTAATATTATCACAGTAAAGCTTAATATAAATCTATGCACATAAAATATCTATTTACACTTACACTATTACTATGTTAACTAATATATGCCATGGAGGGAAAACTTATGAAATGGACTAATGAAATATATAATATAATGTAAAATAAAACTAACCCTTAAGATGGGGTTTTAAGTTAATATTGACATTTACAGTATATAACTAAACTAATCTAAACTCGTACCAAAAACTGTGAACTAATTATAATTAAAGATAATTATAATACAAATAGTTATAGATAATATAAGTTTAATATTGAAAAAGAAGGTTTATAATTCCACAAAGCACATAAATTAAAGATGGCTGCCATTACTAACATTTAAACTACCCTGGTTACAATTGCACATCTCTCATACAAAATATAGTTTCCCAGAAAGACAATTACCCTAGAAAATACCCAAAACACACATACCTGTGAAGTTATTTAAAGAAAATAACTAAATGGTGAAACAGGATAAAGTTGAAAGTAGGAAATATTTCATAAAAGATTGAAACACACTTCCTTCAACTTCAAGGACTTAGATAAAAGTAAAGTTTCTGACTGGATAGGTGATGAAACTCACTGAAAGCTCACTAAGCTGGCCAATCCAAAAGGTGGCAAGGTCAGGTGAGATCAGTTAAGTTAAGAAACTACGAGAGGGCAATAATTAAGACTTTAGTATTAGGCCAGTGTAAGGTAGTTATGTGCTCATTGAAACAGTAGTGGTGCATTAAGATAAAACAACAATTAAATAAAACAACCAGGTTTTTATAAAAATGCACCCTGCCACATGTAGAAATTATTTATATTAAAGGATTGAATAAGGAATATGGGTATGAATGATTGAATTATGATTATGGACATTACATTATGATATATGAAAAGATAAAATATACATATCTGCAACAAAAGGAACAATATTAATTTTGGCTGTCACTCCACACCAGCAAGGTCCATCAAACCTTCCGCAATGTTTTACCATGAATAAGTCATAGAATCTTCATGATTTTGGAAATAAAAGGGCCTTTTTTGTCACTAGGTGGAATGTGGAACTTGCCAGTGATTGACTTGCTCACAGTAACTCTAGTAAGAATTTGCTGTTCAAAGTTCAGTACAAAACCAAATGGCAGACACACTCTTGGAGAAGGTGACTTGATACATGATTTGTCAGTTGTAAAATTGTAGGCCTAATGCTCAGATAAAACTTGAAAAGTGTCAGTTTTGTTTTTTATTTTCATACGACCTCATGAAATGTGGAGCGTATATTGCCCTCAACTCGTTCAATTTTGAGCCTGTAAACACTCTAGAAGGCCCAATTCTGGACAGATTTTGATTTGGTAATTGTTACTGTACTGCTAAATATTTCTATTTAAAGTCAAAGTGGCAAGTGCGCATATATTACCTTGCCGGGCAAACTATTCTATTCAAACTTTATAGAACGGAAACATTGACGCTAGTCTCATAGTTAAAACAATTTGCCCTTCACCTGAAGATTGTTGTAAAAACATGAAAGTACTTGTGAATTTTAAATAATATATGCATTATCCCACAGTATTGGACCTTTTTTTATTGATATTCATATATATAAACAAATGTTCAATGTGGTTCTCAGACAGTTCATATGATACTACATTGTTTACATTTATAGGGTGGTAGTAACATAAGAGAATCTGATAGAATAGTTTTTACAAATAAGCCAGATGAAATTTTATTTGAATGTAAAGCAGCAGAACGGGGTGATCAAGGAAAATACAACTTACTTTTACAAAACGAAAAAGGATTGGACAGCTGCACTGTTAATGTAGTAGTGGTTGGTAAGTACATCTTTGTCTGGGTCATTGTAACTATTTGTTAAATGTTGTTTTGATATCCAGCAAAAACAGTTTTTTAAAAAATTGCGTGGATGAAAAAGCTACAGAAGTTTAGTTCTGGCGATATCGAAATAGATTTTAATTTTGAAACTTTGTTACCTTGTCTGGCAAGCTGTCTGAGTTATTGACTTGACTTAGTAAAATCGGGGTCAAAATCTAAGATTTTTTTATATAAGGTTGAACGGATGAGTTGTTGCCCTTGTCAAAGTGCATAAAATTTTGTGATTATATATATTGATGATATATTAGAACATTTTGCATTTGACTAACAGTTTTTTGCTTATTGCCTTGACTTAAAACATGTCAAATTTGTTCATGCGCTCAATAGAGTCCATTTGTCATTCTATTTAAAACTTTGTGTGATCATTGGAATTAGTCTTTAGTAAGGAGTTGATTACCTTTCTGAGTATTGAATAGTAATTTGACAGATTAATCATTATTATTTTTTATATTGTTTTGATAAACAACACCAGATCTATCTAGGTTATGACCTTTAAAGCTAAATAGTTCATGCTGTTGATGGATGATGTTTCCATGTTGATATTGTTTTGCAAAGATGAGGTGAAGAAAAGGAAGTAGATTTTTTTACGGATTGTGCACTTTCTTTTTGGTATATTATGTTATTTATTTTATTTATTTCTCTTGATAGATGCACCTTCTAAACCAGAGGGACCAATTGATGTTAGTAAGGTAACACCAGATTCTTGTTTCCTGTCCTGGAATCCACCAAAGGTATATATTAGTTCTATACTATTAAATATTCTTGTAATACCTTACCTTGTAAAAACTCTTAACATAGATATGACCAAATGTTTGATTGATGACTGAATTTAAGGAGATGTTTATTTTGTCTTAATATACATTTTTTACATGTGCCTCGTAAAAATATTTTCTTTATTTAAGAAATAAACATAGGATCAGGGCACAATCTACTGGGCAACGTGGTTCAAAATGTCGCCTTATATTTTATTTGTTTCGATTTCAAGTGGCCTCAATTCAGAAATTCAGCCCCGAAAGGCAAAATTCATGATTGACTGCTATTTACTTTGGCTATTAATAAGTTTGTCGACGGTTATCAAGTCTCTAATAGTACGCAAAGGCTGTATACAAATTATTTTTGTTAGATGATCACGTCAATTTTTCTCTCTATGTGGACGTATATTGTCGGCACCCCCAACCGTCCGTCCATCAACAATTGCTTAACGCTCTAAAAACTAGATTTTTTGATGGAATCAAATGAAATTCGGTATGTGTATACATATTCAATAAAAAAAGATCAAGTTCGAATTTGAGCTATATTTGACCGTTAGGAGCAGAGTTATTGCCCTTGCCCAAAAATCTTGAATATGCTATCACTCTCTTAGTTTTCAACTGATTTTGATGAAACCTAAAATGGATGTTTCATTTTTACCATCCGCATGCCGTGGTGGGCGTATATGGCTGTGGTCCACTATCTTTACCAATGAAATCCCTCTCCAGCATTTGTTTTCTTACTTTAAATTACCGAAACTTTTATTGACTACCAACTACTTATTCATTGAAAAAAATCATTTCATGGCCATATTATTTCTTTTTATCAATTCCCATAGGTCGAAATGAATTATGTTTTGTGTGTTTCCAATGGAAATCGCTTATTTACCCATATTTAGTTTTGATAAAATAAATAAACACAGATTAAAAGCTTTTTGTGTTCTGGATATTACAAGATGGCCTCCAAAGATACTAAACAAAGGATTGAGAAAGAGTGTTGTTTGAAAATGAATATTATAAATTTCTTCATGGATTTTGACATATCTTAATGATTGCCTGTTTGTAATCACCCAAGAATAAAGCCTATAGAAAATCAGAACAATCAAAAAACATTGATCATGAGTTATTGCTTTTATTCTTGTTGAAAAACGTGTTCAATTTTTAGCTTGTAAACTCTCTAGACGGCACAATTCTTGACCGATTGACAAAACTTGATGTGGGTGTTTAAAATCACTGCAGGATGAATCCTACTAAAAATCAGAAAAATGGAAAATATTTGAAACAAATTATTGCCATTGTTCTTGAAATTTCAATTCTTCTTTCACTCTAAAAGGCCCAATTCTTAACAGTTTTTGACGAAACATGTTGTGAGTGTGATCACCAGAGGATGAATCCTAATGAAATTGAGAAAAATGGAAAAAAATTAGAATGAGTTATTACCATTGTTCTCGAAAAGTTTTAGCTTGTAAACACTCAAGAAGGCGCAATTCTTGACAGATTTTGACGAAACTTAGTGTGAGAGTTTGTAATCACCAAAGTCAAATCAAGAGATGAAAATAAAAACAAAAGAAAAGGTGGTCACAGTATGATTGCTTGTGCAGTGAAGTATTAATCTGTGACTATAAATAAACTAATCACTGGATTGCTTTAGTATAAGACAAATGAAATTCAAATATTATTTATGCCACCTGAAATTTTGCATCAGAAAAATCAAAGAATATTTAGTATGAGTTATTGCCCATATTCATGAAAACACATTCAATTTTAAGCTCATTACCACTATTGAAGGTACAATTCTTGACAGATTTTGAAGAATCTTGGTATGTGTAATCTTCCAAGAATAAACCCTAATGAAAATCAGATAAATTGAAAAATATTTAATATGAGTTATGGCCCTTGTTCTAGAAAACGCTTTCATTTTTAGCTTGTTAACACAATAGAAGGCAGTATTCTTGGATTTTGATGGAACTTTGTGGAATTGTTTATCACGCATGGATGAACTCTAATGAAAATCAAAAAATTGTTGACCTTGTTCTTTAAAACTCTTTCAAATTTTAGCTCTTAAACACTGAAAGGCATAGCTCTTGTCTGATTTTGACAAAACTTGCTAATATTGCTTAGTATTACCTAAAAAAGTTCAAAAGAAGTGTATGACTGAAGGTTGAATATTTCATACTGGTGATAGTTACTGTACTGCTAAATATTTTTATTCAAAATCAAAACTACCAGTTAACCATTAGTCAAGGTAATTGAATAAATTTTCATAAAACCAATGATGTATGTAGCTTATTTATAAAATATACGCTTCCATCTTCTTGTGTATGTATTTAACCATCATATTGTAACAATCTGTGTTTAGGACGTACATAGTAATCCAGTAAGTAATTATCGAGTAGAAAAACAAGATATACGTACTGGTAAATGGGAAAATTGCAGCAAATTTGTCCGTGGAACAAATTATGAAATTATGGGTCTTCAAGAAGGTCATCAATATCATTTCCGTGTTTGTGCAGAGAATGAACATGGTGTTAGTGAACCTTTAGAAACAGTAACTGCTACAACTGCAGAAAGTCCATTTCGTAAGTTTGATTATTGCATTTGATATATTATCCAGTTTCTGGGCAAATCAGAAGGGGTCTCTGTTTCAAACAAAAATATGGTTTGTGAAAAGTTCATTTGATGCTAGCGATGTATTGCCAATATTTTGTTTTGGATTACAGGGATTGTTAGTACTTGGGTTCTCTTTTCTAATTCTTCATTATATACAAGAAAACAAAATCTAGTGCCGGTATTTACTCTCAAAAAGGTCCAAATGTTGAAATATTGATTGTTAGGGTAAGGAGGGAGACAGATCAAGCCCAGAGATGAAAATAAAAACCAAAAGAAAAGGTGGTCACAGTATGATTGCTTGTGCAGTGAAGTATTAATCTGTGACTAAAAATAAACTAATCACTGGATTGCTTTAGTATAAGACAAATGAAATACAAATATTATTTATGCCACCTAAAATTTTACATCATAGTTGAAATGCCAAATAAGTCGATATGAAAAATTATGTTATCTATGCATTTAGGCGCCCCTGATGCTCCATCTGATGCTGAAATTATTGATGTTGATGAATCAGCTGTAACATTAACATGGAAGCGTCCTAAGAATGATGGTGGTAAAAAGATTCAAGGCTATATTATTGAGTATAAAGATCCAGATGCATCAAGATGGAAAACATTTAATGAATTTCCAATATCAGAAACAACAACTAATGGTAAATAAATTTTTGCACACCTGGTGTATCAAGTGGATGAATCACACGTTTCTTTAAACAAACGATCCAAACTTGTCTCAAAATGTAGACAATAGATCAAATACTACTGTGAAACTCAGAGTAACAATATGTTTTCATATTAATATTTCTTTATATATCATATTGAAATGAAACCAACAGTTATTATTTTTAATTTCTACAAGGAATCACAGAACTATGAATATTGCTTGTAAATATGATAGAGATCGCAACAGTTTTGATGCCCAGCAGGTTAAGTTCATTACTGCTCTTCATCTAGAAAAAAAAAACGCAATAGAATTTACAGTTTTTAACCAAAAACAATATCTTCGTATGCATATCAATTTTCATAAAATAATATCAAGGTTAAATTTTAGTGCTTTCCAAATATTAGCTCTCTGCAATCCCAGATATTGAAAATGTTATTGCTCTTTCAGTTTTTCATCTGATTTTTTCACAAAATTTGTTTTCTGGTCCATATTCAAAAAATTAACATAGATACTGTAACAAATTTGAATATTAACCCAAGTGGTAACCTCACATGATTTAAAAAAGAGCAATAGCTATAATAATTTTCAAGCGATGGCATAAAACTTTGGATGTAAGTATATGATTATGAATAAATGAAGATCAAATTAAGACTGGAGTAGTTTGTGACAATTGGAATTCTAACCCCAAGATCCTGAATAAAGAAAATGAAATAGTTTTCACTGAATTTTTATAAAAGTTTTGTGTTTCAAAAACTGAATACAGAAAAGGCAATAGTTTTCACTGAATTTTATAAAAGTTTCATGTTGCACAAATTGAATGCTGAAGTGGGTGAATTTGGACAAAATTAATGATTAATTTGTTATTTAATAGGTTCTTTGAAATGGCACCTAACATAAAGAAAAAAAATCTAGTTGTTAAAGATGGGTTTCCTTATTTTTTTAGTGTCAAATTAACTATTTGATTAATTAGTGTTTCTAATGAATTATCATGTATTATTAATCATATCATTTTCATATTGCATATAATTAAGAGTTTTAATTAATTATAAAAGCCCATGTATGTACAGTCTGGGTAAACATAAAAAAGACTTTTTAACCTTTCTTGATTGGTCACTCATTGGAATTCTGCTGGTAATTTTTTAAATAATTATGAATAAATTTTTGACATGCGAGACAAAATGGTATTTTTCCAAGTCATTAGAACACCTCTTCTTTCTATTCATGAGTATTAGCATTTTCTAATGAAAATAAGGGAACCCATAAATACAAGACTAGAATTCTAATAAACACAATTAGAGTCCAATTTTTTAGTCATCTGGAAAAACTTGTTGAAAGATGAAGTACAAATAAACACTAATGCTCTTGAAATAAACTTCTCTGTCAAACAGTTTTGTTTATTAAACATTTAAATAAAAACATTTTCTCTGGTGAGAGGGTTGAATTTTAAAATCAATTCAACATATTAATTGGTAAGATTTTTTCAGTTGATAAGTTGACTTATAAGAATTTCAAGGAGCAGCTAGAAATGTCGGCTTTAAAAGATAAAGACTTTTTAACATTTATTTTTTTATTGAAGTTGATGGTTTGAATAAAGATAAGCAGTATGAATTTCGTATCAAAGCCAAAAATATGGCTGGTATAGGTGTGCCCTGTGCGTCTACAGGACCTATTCAACTGAAAGCTAAATTTAGTAAGTATTCAAGTTCAGAATATAATAACTTGGTTTTAGAATTGTATTTAAAATATTTTAATTTTAAAATTGTATTTTTAGCCCAGTCCCATTCATCAAATAATAGTCATGATTCCATTAGTAATATTTACCTTGAAGGCTATCTAAAACTTTTACTCAACATTGATCAAATACCTGGAGATATTGCTATGTTATCATATCTTAATAAGCTGGAAATAGTAATCTTAAGAATAATATAAATTTTAATAATGTTTTCTAGATAAACCTTCAGCACCTGGTGTGCCATCACCTTTGAATGTTGGTAGAACGTATGTTGCATTAAGATGGGATCCCCCAAGATCTGATGGTGGAACTAAACTTAAAGGTTTTTTTTTATTCTGTATTTAATGAAACTGAAAATATTGGTAATGACTTAAATTATATATCTAAGTACAGATTATATTGGATTATTTTTGAGTGATTCAGTTCCACAGTTGAGTATTGGTTTATTCTAGGTTATAATGTGGAAAAGAAAGAAAAGGGAAGTGATAAATGGTTTCGTGCCAATGAATTTCCAGTTATTGATAATGAATTTACAGTCACAAATCTACCAGAAAATGCTGAATATGAATTTCGAGTATGCGGGGTCAATGCTGTTGGTAATGGAGAACCAAGTTTACCTTGTGCACCTATTAAAATTAGAGAGAAAATTGGTGAGGAAAATTATTTAGAATTAAAGGAAAACTGCTACAATTACATATTTTTTTTTTACAAATCAATGCAGAGCAGATTAATATGAACAGGAAATTTTATTAAAACAAAAATTTATTTGTTCTTCTTAATACTTGATATTCACTTGATACTAATTATCAATATTCAATCTAAACAAGGAACCAATTGGAGTGACAAAGTGTGGGAGAAGTCTTGATTCATTGTATAATAAAAACTCTTAAGTTTCTAAATGTTTTGACTGCCTTCTTTATTGGAATTAAATTACAACATTAAAACAAGCATTACAGCGCATGGAAACAAAACGTTAAAAAGTAACTGACGTTCATTTGCTGCACTTGTTCTTCCCTTCATAATCTTTTTGTTTTACTTGCGTTCCTGGATGGTGTTAAGTCTGTCGGGTTCTAAAGTTTTTAATTTCTTAATCCAAAGGGCTTCTTTAGTTTTTCAGTAAATACTCTTTCTATTGCAAAAACTGTAACATTTTTGGCATATGGTCAGACTTTTCAGACTGTAGAGTTTCAGAAAATCCTGATTTGAAAATTTTGTCGCTAACTTTGCTAAAATTCTAACTTCCAATTTTTATTTGATTTTTTCCATATTTTTGGAGGATTATATATCATGAACATAGATATTTTTGCCGACTCTTTTGCAAGTTACAACAATTCAAACAGAATTGAAATGTGCAAATTCACAGCTTTAAAACAATATATATATCAATATGTATAAATAAAATTTACCAAAATTTTTTGAATAAAATTATAGAGTTAAGAAGATTGAGTAACAGGTCATGAAGTCAAATGGTGTTAATTTCATACCTTTTTTGGTCAGAGAGGATAACTTAAACCTCACTGACAAAACTTTGTGTGAGTGTTTGTAATCAGCCAAGGAAAAACCGTATTGAAAATTTAGAAAAATTGAAAAATATATAGTCAGAGCTATTGCCCTCGTTCAATTTTTTAGCTCGAAAACACTCCAGAAGACAGATTTTGATGATACTTGGTATGAGTGATCGTAATCACCAAAGGATGAACCCTATCGAAAATCAGAAGAATTGAAAATTATTTAGTAGGAGTTATTGCCCTTGTTCTTGAAAACTTATTCAATGTTTTTTGACCCAAAATTCTTGAGAGATTTTGACGAAACACTAAGAGGCATGATTCTTGCTGGATTTTGACAAAACTTGGTTTTATTATTCAGTACCGCGCTGGAGGTTGAATATTTCCCATCTATAGTTTTCACGGGCTAGAACACATTTTCTATAACAGGGGCAATAACTCATACTCAATATTATTCAGTATCGCCCCAAAGTGTATGACTGAAGATGTATAACAAGAAAGAAGTGGAGGTGTCCAGGTTTAGATTTGTCATTGATCCCAGTGGAAAGTTGGACTGGTGTGTCTCCCTTTGGATAGATAGGTTCACTTCTTTAGCATTAGCTTTGGCAGACTTGGTTGGTCTCTTTGTCTTTTAGCCGATGGGTTTTCTTCCACCACGGTGGTTATAAATTCCAAGTTTTAAAAGGGGATCATGACTGCCCGAGGGGTCACGAAATCTGCCATAACTGGGTTGTTGGCAGAGGTAAAATATAATATAAGAGATAGAGATTGGCTGTGCGACCAGTTATCCCTGATTATCAGTGAATAGTTTCGTTCGTGTTTGAACTCTTCAGACTGATTAGTGTATGACTGAAGGTTGAATATTTCATACTAGTGATTGTTACTGTACTGCCAAATATTTTTATTCGAAATCAAAGCTGCCAGTAGGCATATACTACCTTGCCTGGCAAGCTATCTTTTGTATATGATAATGGGAATAAACTTTTGGTCTGGTTTGATTTATTGTTGTACAAATCTTGCAATATATTATTCAACAAATGGAGATATATTTTGTTCAGGATAAATCACACTTTGGCAGGATTTGTAAGCAAATTGTAGTGCAGGTTATTTCTAAACAATATAGGTTAGCAGAATTTTTTATTATGCTGTCACATATGAAGAATATTGTTATAGATCATGAAGCAGTTTATTTAACGACTAGCCTTGTTTTGCAAATTAGACAATGTATTTTTGTTTTCAGTTGGGACTGAACCAGATTTTACCAAGAAATTGCAGAACACCAAAGCTGCAATTGGTGGGGAAACTTCATTTAATGTAGAATTTGATGGTAAGCCGCCCCCAACTGTATCATGGTAAGAATATTACTTATTATTCTGTGAAAATTTATTATTGGTCTGGTCATAAAGGGAAGATTTTGCTGTATGCAATACTTGTAGACACACATTTAATGTAAAATGAGTTTAAGAAAACCACTCTTCAATATATTTAGTGTGATATCCATTATGAAGATAGAGGGGTTTAAGTAATGAATTAAAATATTTAGTATTAGTTATTAGTTATTGCCCTTGTTCATGAAAACTCGTTTTTTTTAGCTCGTAAAAACTCTAGAAAGCACAATTCTTGACAGATTTTGACGAAACTTGGTGTGAGAGATTGTTATCACCCAAGAATGAACCTATTGAAAATCTTGAAAAAGCATTAAATATTTTGCCTGTAAACGCTCTTGGAGGAAAATCCAAAATTCCAAAAAAATGTTTTATAGGAGTTATTAACCGTGTTTTTAGAAACGCTGTCAATTTTTAGTTGTGTTAGTTAGTTAGAAATGTAGACGTATATTGCCGTTGCCCGTCCGCTTGTCCGTCCACATTTCTCGCGAGCACCATAGAGACTACAGTTTTCATTCGATTTGAATGAAATTTGGTGTGATGAGTTATTTTCATATGTTCATATTCATCTTAGTCAAGTTCGAATGATTTTTCGATGAACTGTTTTTGAATTATTGCCTTTGACTTAGTAAAAACCTTGTCCAAATTTGTTTGTGAGTACAATAGAGACTACAGTTTTCATTCGATTTGAATGATATTAGATGTGATGATTTATATTCATGAGATCTTGGTTAAATTTGAATTTGACGATTTTTCAATGAACGGTTTTTGAATTATTATCCTTGACTTAATAAAACACATCGTGAGCGCAATGAAGACTTCAGTTTATATTTGATATATTTATGAAATTTGGTGTGATGATTTATATTCATTAGATCTTGGTCAAGTTGGAATACCTGAAGAATTTTTAATTTTTGATGAGCAGTTTTTGCCCTTGACGAAGTAAAAACCTGAAAAAATTTGTTTGGCAACAGAGAGTACAGTTTTCATCTGACTTTAATGAAATTTGGAGTGATGATTTATTTTCACGACATCTCACGTTTTTTTGCCCTTGACTTAGGAAAAACATGTTAAAATGAACACAAGAGAGACTACAGTTTTCAATTGATTTTAATGAATCTTGGTGTGATCACATATAATGATAAGATTTAAATTTGACGATTATTCAATGAACGTTTTTTGCCCTATTGTCTTTTTATGATAAAATTTGGTGTGATAATTTTAATTGATGAGAAGGTAGTGTAGTTCTTGTACAACGATTTTTCAATGAAGGACTTTTGGGTTATTGCTATTGATTTAAAAAAAAATTTGGAAATATATAATTAATACAATGTATTGTGAGGATCTTTAAAATGATAAAATTCATATTTAAATCACTAAATACTGTTCTTATTTCTTACAGCTTGTAGTGGGCGTATGTTGCCTTGCCTGGCAAGCTATCTTATTTAATGAAATATGTTGAAGATCTTTAGATGAAGGATTTTTTAATTATTGCCCTTGACTTAGGAAAAACGTATCAAAATTTGTATGTGAATGCAAAAGAGACTACAGTATTTATCCGATTTAAAGGAAATTTGGAAATTTTTCCAAATACAATTTTTGAATCAACGGAATTTGTGTTATTTCCCTTGACTTAGAAAAAAATTTGTTGGCTTGTGAACGCAATAGAGGTGACAGGTAATGTCAGAATTTTATTAAATTTTGTGTGTTTGTTTAAATGAACAATATCTTGCACAAATTAGATTTTTGGTTCGACTAGACTCAAATGAGTGACCTCCCTTAATATACTGAAAATGTATCAGGAAAGTGAGCGTATCTTGCTAGGCAACCACTTGTTAATCAACCCTTTTAACACTAATTCAGTTTGATAAAGTACATGCATAGATGTAAAAAGCAGAATAAATTTTGATTTTGAAAATTTCATTTACTGCCCCTTTTATGAAAATATTTTTAACAAGTATACATTCTGGCCGTAGACATATATTATTGTCCCATTTGTTTGTTTGTTTGTCTGGCTATCTGCCCGTCAAAATTATTTGTTGACACAAATATTGCTATTGTACAAATCCTGTAATATATAACTTGTAAATTGACAAAATATTAATATACTCAAAGTTTTTAACTTCAAACATATTTATGAGGAATTTGTATTTTTAACTTCAAACATATTTATGAGAAATTTGTATTTTTAACTTCAAACATATTTATGAGAAATATTTATTTTAAGTAAATAGATATTCTTTTCAGCTGAGAGTGGGTATAATTCACTTTGTCTTGCAGATTATCTTCCTAACTTAATCTTGGACCTTATTTTTATAATATGTTGTAATCACTTTTTAAAGGTATAAAAATGGTATTGAAGTTGGAAACTCTGGCAGATACAGAATCAAAACAGATGATGACAAATCAACATTTATTATCAATGATGTTTATGACTCTGATAAAGGAGAAGTGAAATGTGTTTTGACAAATCAAGTCGGGACAAGTCAATGCCATTGCAATTTTGATGTCCGAGGTAAATTGATTCTGATACGTGAAATTTAATTTTTGGTATTGTCCTAATTATCACTGATCAATGTTTAAAAAATGTTTAAAGACTCTAAAGATGGATTCCCTTATTTTCATGTATGAAAATGAAAATGCTAATACATTTCTAATGACTTGGAAAAATACCAGTTTGTCTCACATGTCCATAATTAATTCATGATTAGCTAAATTGCAAGAGAATTACCAGCAGAATTCCAATGAGTGGGCGATCAAGAAAGGTCAAAAAGTAACTTTTATATGCCTACATGAAATGGGGGGCATATATTGACGTCACCCATGTCCGTCCGTCCGTCCACAATTGCTCCTAAACACTCTACAAGACACAATTCTTGACGGATTTTGACAAAACTTGGTATGAGTGTGAGTGTTCGTAATCAAAATTTTTTAGTATGAGTTATTGCCCTTGTTCTTGAAAACGCATTCAATTTTTAGCTTGTAAAAACACTCTAGAAGGGACAATTCTTGACGGATTTTGACGAAACTTGGCATGAGTGTTTGTTATCACCCAAGGATAAACCTTATTGAAAATCAGAAAAATCGAAAAATATTTAGTATGAATTATTGCCCTTGCTCTTGAAAACAAGTTCAATTTTTAGCTCGTAATCTTTCTAGAAGGCACAATACTTGACGGATTTTGATGAAACTTGGTATGAGTGTTCGTAATCAAAAATTTTTAGTATGAGTTACTGCCCTTGTTCTTGAAAACGTTTTCAAATTTAGCTCTTAAACACTAAAAGGCATGATTGTTGCTGGATTTTGACAAAACTTGCTTTTATTATTTAGTCCCGCGCTGAAGATTCAATATTTGCCTTCTAAAGTTTTCATGAGCTAAAAATTGAACACGTTTTCATTATCGCCCTAAGGAGTTCAAAAGAAGTGTATGACTGAAGGTTGAATATTTTATACTGGTGATTGTGGGCGTATATTACCTTGCCTGGCAAGCTATCTTTTGTTTATCCAGACTGTACATACATATATACTAATATTTTCAATGATGCCGGAGCGTGAAATATCAAGTTTTTCACCCTACAAATTCTTGTGCTATAAAAGGTTTCTTGACGATATTTTCATCATTTGGGCTGAATCATTAGACAACTTTTGGCTATATTTTGAAATTCTAAACAACCACCACCCTTCAGTTAAATTGGCAGCTAATACTTAAAAAACAAGTATGGACATATACTAATTTCTCACTACTTACAAAATAAGAAGACCGGCAAAACTTTCCTTATGAGCAACCTACTTACTTGCATTAACCAAAATTTAATAGACCTTCTTTTCTTGCAAAAGGTGCGATATTCAATATGTTGGCGAAACTCAAAATGCATTGCGAAACCGTTTAAATGGCAAACATACTGACATTGTACATGGCAAAGATAGACCTATTGCACTAGAGGGCTAAATATTCAACAGATTTTGACGAAACTTGGAGTCAGTGTTTGTAATCATCCAACAATGAACCCTACTGAAAATCAAATAAAATTTTTTTATATGAGTGAATGACTTCTTTCTTGAAAACAATTTCAATTATATAGCTTGTAAACACTTACAAGCACGATTCTAGCCGAACTTTGACAAAACTTTGTAATACTGTTCAGTTTCATTATTTCAATGTATGACGTTGAATATTTCATACTGGTGATTGTTACTGTACTGCCAAATATTTTTTGTCTAAATTCAAACCTAAACTAAACTAAATTTTCTTGGCTGCTTGTCTAATTAATCTGATAATTTTGGTGCAAATCACAAATGTTAATAAAATAATACAGTCAATATAATTGTATTATTTCTGGTTTAATAAATATATATCAACAAATCTTATTCTAATCAGTAGCCATTGTTATGACAAAAAAATGAAGATGAAAAAATCCTGTGTGATAGTGATTGTTTGTCTGCCATCTTTAATTTTTATTGAAACATTATACAGAAATAACGACTTAACTGATTTTGATTTTGGTGTCCAATAACAGAACATGAAAATAATATTAAGAATTGGAAAGCTTTTTATATTTTTTGCAATTTCTAGTTTCTTTCACAATTGAAGATGCATGTCAACTACCAGTTTTCAAATCGTCCGACAATCAGTTAGATTTGAAAATTTGGACTGCTGTAACACGTGACCTAATTTACCCAGAGGGTTTATTTTTTGTTCGTCAACATGGAAATGTGGTGATATGATTTATATTCACATTATAGGATACAAGTTGTGACACAATATTTTCAATTTTGATGAGAATAATTATATCAAGGTTAGAGTGATCCGTGTCAATTTAGGTGTAGATTCCATTTTTTGAGTGCTGGACTGTAATCTGGTCAATCAGGTGTTTAAGATTCTGTTTTAATTCTAATCTAGTCAATCATATGATTTTGGTTTATAACTTTATTGTTTTATCTTTATATTTAGCTCCACCAAGAGTTGATAAAGACATAAGAGATCAACAATGTGAAGCTGGTGATCAGTTTAAGATTAAGATACCATTTAATGGTACTGGACCATTCAACTTTAAATTATTTAAAAATGGAAAAGAAGTCCCAGAAAGTGATAAAGTCAAATTGTCTCCATTTGATGATTTCGTCACCTTATCAATCAAAGGTACATGTAACTTTGCAATGATATAAAAAGTATTTTAAAAAGTGTCAGTATAAAAATTGTAAACTATGCCAATATAATGGTTAAAAATTTATTCAAATAGGACAGAAGCAGCCTTGAATTACTTAGACGTAGATTAACAGTAGCATGGGAACAACGAGGTCAATAGGCTGAAGCCTCAACTCATTTTTATATGTTTTATATTTTACCTTACCTGGCAAGCTATCATAAATTGAATTAACTAATTAGGGAAGGCTATTTTGTTTCCAGATAAAAATAACTAGTTACTAACATTTATGATTATTGCCTGCTTAAACTTTTCTCTTCATTAATTTGCGAGCCCCCATTAGGTCCTATCTGCTTATGTGGGACTCTGTCTAATTATAAACTTGGACAATACCTACCAAATAGTATAAAATTTGTGAATAGTGAAACTGTATTTTTTTTATATTTTAATTAAATGTTATAAATGCTAAACTGTGCCTCTTTAAACAGTGTATCATCACAATCAAAGTTACAATTTTTTTGTAAATCTTGTGTGGTATGCAATATGAATATATTTTATTGTAATCATTTAGATACTGATATGGAGGAAAGTGGTAATTATAGATTGGAGATTAGTAATGACAGTGGAAGTTCTTCGTGTCAATTTAAACTTAAAGTTGTTAGTAAGTAAAATATGAAATGTTTGTATTGTGAGACAAAATTTTGTGTCATTTTGTCTAAAAATATCTTTGGGTTAATAGAATTATAAGGTTTGAGAATTTTTTCTTAAAGTAAACTCTCTCCTTAACCAAAAAGTACCCCAATTTGGCCTGAAAACTCATCCCTGCAGAAGCAGAATAACAATTTTTTCAGTGGTTCATCAACCATGCAGAGTAACCTAAGTCCATCATATTGGACTTAACAAATCCCTTTTCATGCAGAGTTTATATTGTTGTCACACTTTTATACTCGCACATGAAATAGGGGAGGCATAAATTGGCATCACCCATGTCCGTCTGTCTGTCTGTCCGTCCACAATTGCTTGTAAAAACTCGAGAAGGCACAATTCTTTGATTTTGATGAAACTTAGTGTGAGTGTTTGTCATCATCCAAGAATGAACCCCTAGCTCGGAAACACCCCAAAAGGCACAATTCTTGACTGATTTTGATGTAACTAGATGTGAGCATTTGCAATCAACCAAGGATGAACCCTATTGTAAATAAGGAAAATTGAAAAATATTTAGTATCAGTTATTGCCCTTGTTCTTGAAAACGTGTTCAATTTTTAGGGGGCACAATTTTTAGTGGATTTTGGCGAAACTTGGTGAAATTGTTTTTTATCACCCATGCAGAAACCCTACTGAATATCAAAAATTTTGAACTATTATTTATGAGTTATTAAAGGCATTCAATTTTTAGCTTAAAAACACTTGAAGGATCGAATCTTGCCAGATTGTGACAAAACATAATATTGTTCAGTATCAGCCATAAAAGTTCAAAGGAAGTGTATGACTGAAGGTTGAATATTTCATACTGGTGATTGTTACTGTACTGCTAAATATTTTTATTTAAAATCAAATCTGCTAGTGGGTGTAGATTACCTTGCCTGGCAAGCTATCTTTTTATGTTCGTTTTATGCTCTGTCTATTTATATTTATTTTGTGCTCACTCAATAAGCCACACTATTTTATGGTTTCTTTCTATTTTTGGTTACCAATTCAAAATGATTTTCTTGATTATTGGGCAAACATAGGATAGGTACTATCATGTGCTAATTTCAGTTTGAGTCTGATTGTTGTTAAATTATTTTTCTGGATTTTAAACAAATTCAAAGATAATATTGATCGATTTTATGACGATCAGACAAATTTTTATTGATTTTCGGCATGGGACATAGTGCAAAAATGATGCATATGAAGGGTACCAACTTGCATCTGTTGTTCACTGTATGGACCATAGTTTTTGTCTTACTTTTTTTTGTGGGTGTTAATATTAAAAGGAAGGTGCCTATTGAGTTTTTTGATGGTAGTTGACAATTCTACAAACTTTGAGACATATCAAGTTTATGTGTTTATTGTAAGGCATGGATGATGCCTATAAATTTTTGCTCTGATTTACTGTGGCAGCTCAGGAATCTTCTCGAGCAATGCATTTTACAAAATGTTTTGTTGTATGTAGGTTGATATTAAACTAATTGTGATCTGTATAAAATTTGGTGTTGATCAGAAAATTCCTCACTTTGTTACATCATTTCATCACCAAACTGAAATTGTTAGGTCTTTGGTACATGGTACTGGCTACCTTGATACAATATTTTAAATTTTGATTTGTACCTGTCAATTTTGTTGCTGTCTTGTAAGCTATGCATTCCTACCAATTTGAAACTGGTTAACATCATGATCATGTTATTATTATTACACACATTTGCATTTGTCCTTTAATAATTCAACATTGCACATGCCAATATAATCAACAATAACACTTATAGTTTACAATAATTAAATATTTTCACTGTTAAAATAAATTTATGTCCTATCATTTAGGTCCTCCAAGTAAACCAGGTGGACCACTACAAGTTTCAGATATAACTAAACACACTTGTCGTTTGTCATGGAAAATACCTCGTGATGATGGTGGCAGTAAAATACAAGGCTACTGTGTGGAAAGACAAGAAGTTGGCAAACCATATTGGGTTACTGTTTCTTCATTATGTAAAGTAAGTTTATTTTAAGATTCACTACATTATAATTCAAGCTGAAAATAGAAGAACATTGTTCTGCAAAAATGGTAATCACATTTACATGTATATATAAATGTGTTAACCATTTTTGCAGAACAATGTCCTTTTAAATATTTTTAATTTAAAATATATATATAAAGAAGTACTTAAATCGTTCATTCATACATAAAAATGTACCATCACAGATTAGGATTGTGGTTGGTGAAACCAGAATCTTTCCTACTTGATCTTCATTTTTTATACGCCCACATCTCTCTATGTGGACGTATATTGTTGGCACCCCTGTCGGTCCGTCCATCAGTCAACATTTGCTTGTAAATGCTCTAAAAACTAGATTTTTTGATGGAATCAAATGAAATTCGGTATGTGTATACATATTCATAAAATGAAGATCAAGTTGGAATTTGAGCTATTTTCGACCGTTAGAAGCAGAGTTAATGCCCTTGTCCCATAATCTTGAAAATGCTATTACTCTCTCATTTTTTCAACCGATTTTGATGAAACTTGAAATGAATGTTATTGGACCTAAATCGAAAGGTTTGAGAAAGTTTAGTTTACTTCTGATTAAATTTAAGGCTTTTTCAAGATTTAGGCCTCTTACGTCAGTTTTGAGGAGTTATCGTCCTTTAACCTCTATACAATAAGTGCTTTATCAACATCAATTGCTCTTAAACACTCTGTCCGTCTGTCGGTCCGTCGGTCCGTCAACATTTGCTTGTAAACGCTCTAAAAACTAGATTTTTTGATGTGTATACATATTCATAAAACGAAGATCAAGTTTGAATTTGAGCTATTTTCGACCGTTAGAAGCAGAGTTATTGCCCTTGCCCCAAAATATTGAATAAGCTATTACTCTCTTAGTTTTCAACCGATTTTGATGAAACTTAAAATGGATCTTTCGTTTTTACCATCCGCATGCCGTGAAGGGCATATGTGGCTGTGGTCCACTATCTTTGCTTATGCCTAGGCCTACTAACGAAAATTTATGAAAATAGGTTGAACCAAAGAGGCTACTGCATTTTTACTATTCATTATCTCAGGGGTTAACAAAGGGGTAAAAATTAGAAATTGTCACAAACTGTCCAAATTAATTGTTTGAATTTTAAATATGAAGGAAAAGATAGACTTTAATGGGTGCCAACAATATATTTTCACATATTCTATTATACACAATTATCACAGAACAATTTGAACGCAATGCACAGATTAACAATGAAAATAATGCAGGTCAAGTAACAAAATAACATTGCATTCTTTGAAGTTGGTGCCTTAGTACTTAAAATTTATTCATACATTTGTTTTGTATAATTACATGACTTTAATTAAATAGTTGTCATAAGATCTGTCGGGTTAACGTAGATCTTATATATTTTGCTCAAAGACATTTTACAGAAATTGCAAAGAGGCTGAGCTCAAATGAAAATGACCATTACAGGAAAGTGGCATGGAAAGTTGTTAAGAAATATTTGTGTATGAAAAATTGAGTGATAGAAAAAATCTTTCACTTTTGCTGCTGTCATATGAAATTTATTAGATTGTTAAACCTAAGCCATATTCATAGCATAGACTCAATTTTTAAATGTCATATGCCATAAGATCCTTTTTATATGCCCACATGAAATGGGGCCTTGAATAATAAAACTTCTGTCAAAATAAACCATTTATTCCTCCCAACATTTTGTGTGTCTAAAAACACACATCCTCAGGGAGTCAAAAACCAACAAAATTAAAAAAGCAAATGACTGTTACTATAATGATGTCATAAAAATTATGACGTCTTGGTTACTTAAACAATTATCTGAAGTCATCATAGAATGGCATAAAATGATAAAATATTATGTCATTAAAAAAGAAAAAATATAAAGTCATTAAAATGGAAATAATATGTAAGCAAAGAGTGGGGGTAAGAGATACAATAGATATTGCTTTGAAAAGTTTTTCATCGGATCATCGTATTCATTTAATCTTCTTGGCCAAACTGTCTCAAGTTTATGAATCCAAATGGATTCATCCAGATCTAATTTTTATACGCCCACATGGAAATGTGGACGTATATTGCCGTTGACCCTGTCCGTCGGTCCGTCAACATTTCTTGTGAACACAATAGAGACTACAGTTTTCAACTGATTTTAATGAAATTTGGTGTGACCATTTATATTGATGAGATCTTGGTCAAGTTCGAATTTGACAATCTTTCGAAGAACAGTTTTTGAGTTATTGCCCTTGACTTAGGAAAAACGTGTCAAAATTTGTTTGTGAACACAATAGAGACGACAGTTTTCAACTGATTTTAATGAAATTTGGTGTGATCATTTATATTCATGAGATCTTGGTCAAGTTTAAATTTTATGATTTTTTGCGATGAACGGTTTTTTGAGTTATTGCCCTTGACTTAGGAAAAACATGTCAAAGTTTGTTTGTAAAGACAATAGAGACTAAAGTTGTCAACTGATATTTGTGAAATTTGGTGTGATCATTTATATTGATGAGATCTTAGACAAGTTCGAATTTGATGATATTTCGATGAAAGGCTTGACTTATGGAAAAACACGTCAAAATTTGTTTGTGAACACATCAGAGACTACAATTTTCAATTGATTTTAATGAAACATGGTTTGATCATGTATATTGATGAGAGAATTTGATGTATGTGGGTTATTGATATTGATTTTTGAAAATTTTTTGGAATTACTCAGCATAAATAACTGTCAGTTAATATATATATCATTGAATTCAAACTATTAAAATTTCTTTAATATGAGAAAATTCATACTTTAATCACTAATGACTGTTTTATCATTTCTGATAGCTGCCAGTGGGGGTATGTTACCTTGTCTGGCTAGCTATCTTCTTTTATCTTCATTATAAACGTTTAACAAAGAAAGAAGTGGGGTGTCCAAGTTTAGATTTGTCATTGATCCCATTGGAAACTTTGCAATCTGATAATCCAATGGAGTTAAATGGAGGGCCTATTGGCTGTAGACTGTGTTAGGTCCGGGTTTGTGCCGAGTCGGTTGATTATTACAGTGGTGTAACCTATTTTCGTGGATATAAGGATTCAACACCGAATTCCGCTAGTTGATCACGTGACTTCATTCGTTGGACTACATTCTAGCAGACGGCACTTGGAATTCCGATTACCGCTTGGGATTATAAGGAAATTCGGCCGATAAAAAATGGTGACGTTTATTAATAAGTGAAATCTGCCATTTTGTATTTGTCAAAGTATACATTAATACATTTTACCATGCTTGAAACTACTGGATTCATTCTACTAGCTGATATTGTAGAGAAAACCCATGTTTATCAAAACAAACTAATGCGGAGGTCGAGCAAGGTCGCTCAAGGTCGCTCACGTAAATTATTAATCCTTTCCGGAAATCCACGAATAATAGGTTTCCACGAAATTAGGTTACTTGACTGTAAGTACCTAGTCAAAATTTCGACTGGAATGTCTCGAAATGGATCACCCATTTCCGTCAGTCCATCTATCAGTCAGTCCACAATTGCATGTAAACACTCTAGAAGGAACAATTCTAGGCTGATTTTGACAAAACTTTGTGTTTGTGTTTATAATCACCAAGCGATGAACCCTATCAAAAATGAGAAAGATCAAATAATATTTAGAATGAGTTATTGCCCTTGTTCAGTTTTTAGCTTGACTCACTATGGAAGGCACAATTTTCGACAGATTTTGACAAAACTTGATATGGGTGTTTGTTATCAACCAAGGAAGAACCTTATTGAAAATCAAAATTGAAAGACTCAAAAAATATATAGTTATTGCCCTTGTTTTTGAAAACATGCTCTTGAAGGCACAATTCTTGACAGACTTTGACAAAACTTGGTGTGAGAGTTACTTATCACCCAAGGATGAACCCAATTAGAAAACACAATTCTTGACAAAATTTTGTGAAATTGTTTATTATCACCCATGAATGAACCCTATTGAAAATCAAAAAATGTTTTATTGGTGTTATTGAACTTGTTCTTGAAAACATCAATTTTAAGCTTGTAAACATTAAAAGGCACAATTTTTGCAGGATTTTGACAAGACTTGGTAATTTTATTCAGTATGGCTCAAAAAGTTCAAAAGAAGTGTATGATTAAAGGTTGAATATTTTATACTGGTAATTGTTACTGTATTGCCAAATATTTTTTATTTAAAATCAAAGCTGTCAGTAGACGTATATTACCTTGCCTGGCAAGCTGTCTTTTATATAATTAAATCAAGTTTATTTTTTTAATTTAATTAGGACACAGCAATGGATGTACAAGGATTATATGAAAATTCTCAGTACCTATTTAGGGTTTCTGCAGTTAACATTCATGGAAATTCAGAACCCTTGGAAGCTGAATCAGCGATAGTTGCTAAAATGCCATTTGGTAGGTGTAACATTTTTGTAGAATAGAATTTATTTAATCTTTATTTAAAAGTAGATTTTGAAAATTAAATTTAAATATTCATGACATGACATGACATTGCATCCAATAGCGGGACTACCTGTTCCTCAGACTTGATATACAGATGAGATATGGGCACTCTAACAGATAGACATAACATGTTACTTATTATGGGAGTAGCACTTTCAGCTTACTAGTTTTGAGAAGTTTGTGTCCACAGAGTACTAATGATAATAATAACTTTATTTCATAGAATCTCATTATGAGACAGAAATACTTTACAATATATCTGTGCCCTCTAACTCAAAGCAAACTTAACTCTAAGATTAGACTTACGATGATTTGTAACTCGAAACTGTCCTTACTGAGATCATGATCTTAAATACTAGTTTTTTGCTCTTAACTTCAAAGAAGCCATGACAGGTTATACTGATGAGAAACACAACAGAGCAATGGCAACGTGTTAGAAAAGTGAGGTTTCCCGCCTCTTTTTTAAATCTTAAGATTGTCGTAAGTTTATCTTAGCTAAGTGTGCATTAGTAGTGTTTTGAGTTATTGGAGTAGCTGAGCTAAGATATGAGCGTAAGTGTATCTTAAGATGTATTGTGCTAAGATGTCTACGAGTTAAAGGGCCCAGGCGATCACTTTTCTAGGTTGTATTGAATAAATTTCAAATTTGTTCAACAATAAACAGTTAAATAAATGAACCATAATTACTGAAATATATACAACATATTTGGCAAATATATGTATTGGTCAAATTACATATTATCAAATTTTTAACAATTATGTCAATAAATATACATAATTTCTTATGTTCTGAACCTTTGCTTAGGAATAAAAGCTGCATCTTAAAGGTAGATGTAAACTTTCCATAGTGAGGTTTTAAATAGTAACTTCTTTCCAAGTTAAAATGGACAATTGAATACATAATGAAATTATCTATATTTTGAACTACCTACAAGAACTAAACTAGTGTCCAAAAGAAACTATACCACCTGTTTGCAACGACATAAAAGAAAAACTAAACAATGCAGAAGTTTAGGATTGGTGTTATGCTTTTGAGAAATCCTTTCACAACATCTGTACAAAAATTTCATTTCAATAAAATCTGTACAACCAATATGACAAGCCTTTAAAGATGGGTGGGGTCGAAAAAAGAACATTTCGTTAGAGCACTGATCACAGAAACAACGGGAAATGTCACACCACACGTCACAAAGTCAAGTCAGTAGCGGGTATGTCCACCGTGAGCATCAATGCATGCCAGAACACGCCTACGGACTGATGCTGTCAAACGTCTGATGACGTTGGAGTGATTCGTTGCCATTCCTCGAGGAGACATCTTTCCAAGTCCTGGACGTTGACTGGAGGCACACGGCGACGTCGGATTTGCCGATCGAGGTGGTCCCATAAGTGCTCGATGGGATTCATGTCCGGTGAACATGCGGACCATGGCAAAACCGTACTTTGGCGTTGGCAAGGAAGTTCTGTGTCAATCTTGCTGTGTGTGGCCTTGCATTGTCATGTTGGAAAAGGAGTCCACGAGGCTGTTGCTGAATAAAGGGCACCACAACAGGCCGTAGGATGTCATCAATATAACGCTGTGCATTCAGGTTTCCACGAATTACGACAAGCCTCGTTTTGACGTCACCACATATGCCACCCCAAACCATTAACCCTCCGCCTCCAAACGACCGGACCTGTTGGATACAGTTAAGCGCCAAACGTTCACCAAATCGTCGGTATACAATCTGCCGTCCATCGTTTTTGAAGATGAGGAATCTGCTCTCATCAGAGAACATAACACGTGCCCAGTCCCGCCGTTGCCAAAGTCGAACTCGCCTGGTCTAGATCAGTCTGTTGTTCCGGTGTCGAGGCGTCAGGAGCGGTCCGCGGTAGGGATGACGTGGCCGGATACCATACTGCCGTAGTCTCCTGTAGACGGTCTGTCGACTGATCCTGTGTCCCAGTGCTGTAGCCGCCGTGGACGTCGCTGTTACGGTGCGGTTCCTCAGGTGTAATACCCGGATGTAACGATCTTCACGGGGCGTGGTTACTCGTGGTCTTCCACTCCTGGGCCTGTCTGACGTCTGACCTGTCTGACGTAACCGCTGCATCAACCTGGTGATAGTGATGCGTGCGCAGTCCAACCTTCTGGCGACATTGACGTGTGTCACTCCTTTCGATGGCTGTCAAACGTGGCATATCTTGTGTTCTTTTTGTTGCTGTGATATCAACGTGTCTGATCAGCCGTTTTATACAGTTTTTATGCACGTGCAGAACATGCTAGAGAGGGAAATGTCACTTTCACGAAATTTACGTTTTTCCCCGGAAGTGATGACGTGTTCCCGGTATTTTTATCGACTATGCTGTGTTTGGGATGTGCAATACAAATTGGCATGTTTTCATATTAGACAATTCACTTAGTAAAAAACAATTTTGAAAATAAGTTGGTATCGTATCTTTTGGACACTAGTTTACATTTTGCTTGTAACATGACCTAAAAGGACAAATTCTATCTTCTCCATTTATATTTCTAAATATACTCGAATCAATTGGGCAGATGAGTGACCATTCAAGAGGTTAAAAAGTCTTTTTTTATTTATCCAGACTGTACATACATGGACATTTATGATTGGTTAAAACTCTTAATTATATGAAAAAAGAACATAATGATATGATTAAGAATTCATGATTATTCATTAGAAACACCAATTAATCAAATGGTTTGGAAAACCATCTTGAATGGTGGGAAGATAAACAAATCAAACAAGACTGAAAAATAATCTGTTTGTTTTTATGTGTTTACTCTTATCTATTAAGATTCACCTGGTAGTCCTGGAGTTCCTGAAGTTACTGAAGTTGGCGGTGACTTTGTTAGTTTGACTTGGTCTAAACCTGCATCAGATGGTGGAGGACGTATTACTGGATATTGGATAGAGAAAAGAGAACAGGGAACAGACAACTGGTCTCGATGTAATGTTCAACCTTGTATAACTAATATGTATAATATTCCTAATTTGATAGAAGATAGAAAATATGAATTCCGAATATTTGCTGAGAATGAAGCTGGCATGAGTAAACCATCCATGGCTTGCAATGCTGTCAAAATAAAAGATCCTAAAGGTTAGTACTAATAGTATTTTTTCTTATATTTGTGTGCTCACATTATTCTCAATAGAAGTAGATTATAATGATGTCTTAATGAGTTTCTGTTTCCATGTTGTAAGTGTATATATACTGGATTAATGAGATCTATTTTATTTGTATTATATATCTAAAAGAAAAAAACACAAAAAAAATTCTTAACCATATAAACTAATTTAGACCTAAGACTCTATAAAAGTAAGATCCAACAATAAAACTAATACCCAAATAGAAAACTAAGACTCATGGAACTATAAAACTAAGAGCGAACTGTTGGCCGGCACCGTTTACACAGCACTGTTTTCACTGAGCCAAAGTCAAAAGTAGACCTGCTCTCCAGTCAGAGGAGGCGAAAAAAACACAAAAATACAAAATGACGCCTGCTATAAACAAAGCTATTGTTGAATTTTTGTTGAATTTGTCTCGTTTAAAACGCAAACAAATCTTGTGATTATGACGGGCACCTTCCAATTGAACTTGGACGATCTTGTCACCCAAAATAGTCATCAGAGCTTCGGTCTCTTCATCACTCCATGTAGCTCCCCGTTAGGCAAACATTTTAACAGTAAGTCGATCCTTTTTTGTCAAAGTTTAGCCTAGTTTGTTGAATGAAAGTAACAGGGTCAAGGTCATTATTGCGCATGCGCATAAGCCCCCGTCTAAGTGGGCCAAGTTGGCCCGGCCCAGTGGCGCGTTTACACATCACTAATATATTTATGACATTTTGGATGAACATGTTTTAGGAACCATCCAGGATGTAGACCTTATACTAGAAGACCACTGTGTAAAGCATGTAAAACCATGTAAACTACAAATGTCATCAAAAACAAAGAATCTAAAACCTTTATCATTAAAGACATAGTTTCGTGTGATTCCAGTTTTGTGATTTATTGTTTGACCTGTTCCTGCTGTCATATGCAATATGTTGGACAAACTACCACCATTTGAAATGGGGGCGCATATTGGCGTCACCCATGTCCATGTGTCAGTCCGTCCACAATTGCTCATAATTGTCCATGTTCTTGAAAGTGCTTTCAAGTTTTAGCCTCTAATCACCATAGAAGGCAAAATTTACAGATTTTGACAAAACTTGGTAATAGTATTCAGTATCGACGCAAAAAAGTTCAAAAGAAGTGTATGACTGAAGGTAGAATATTTCATACTGGTGATTGTTACTGTACTGCCAAACATTTTTATTCAAAATCAAAGCTGCCAGTGGGTGTATATTACCTTGCCTGGCAATCTATCTTTATGTAAATGAAGAACCCAAAGCTGCTGAATATTTACTCATTGTATCTATATATTTTGTAGCTGCAGTAACACCAGAATTTGTGTCAACACTACGAATGGTCCAGGCAGTTGAAGGTAAAACTGCCAGATTTGAATGTGATGTTAAAGGATCACCTAAGCCTGAGATACAATGGTATGTAAACATCCAATTTATCCTTCGACAATTGTATGCATGCACCAATTTGAACAGTTCTGAACTTGGTTTGATGTGACATCATCTTACATTATGTGACAAAATGTTATGGATGAAAATTAGCAATTCAAAATACATTTTCATGATCTTGTTTAAAATGTGTTAAAAAATCTTTAAAGGAATTGATTCTCATGATTCTCAAAATTGAATGATCATCATTCGATAAAATATATTTAGTAAAATCTACTAGAAATGTGTTATACGATGTCATAAGTATTTTTAAGCCTATTAATTAACAAAATAGCATCAAACAACTGGCTGCAGTCATGTGGACCATGTGACCTATTTGAGTAAAAATGACGCAAAATGCGAGCCTTTCTCAAAGGCTATCGTAAGTGTCACAAATAATCTTACAATAAAAATTGTTGTACAATCGAGATGTGAAACTAAGCATGCACAATCATACATGTGTAATTTACCCATGTTGTCATGTTGTCGGGTTTCTACCGATTTTTTGTTTTTCTCCCGACCAAATTTTTCATTGGACCTACCGTTTTCAATGTCCAAATTCTCTACTATAAATCAACAAATTATCTATCATTACTTCCATCTTGATTGCCAGTTATGCGCGTTAATACGCAACTGGATGTCTAATTCTTATGTAAATTCAAACTTTGTTTCATAAAATCTTTTTGTAATTTTACTGTAGCCTGTAAACATTCATTATATTGCCTACATAACGGGCTTACTTATTACAAGTCTTTCCATATCTGAAGAGTGTCAAAATGGAAGCGGTTAATGCAGTTCAATACTTCGTGAGAGTGTTGCAGGAAAATTATTTTATGATTGGAATGGAGATATTTTAGATATCATGAATTACCCCTTTGGTAAAAGTAATGTTGCCAGTACATATTATTTACTGAATATTACTTTCAGAACATACATGATGTAGGCCTACCGGAACCATTTAATTTAGAGGGCTGGGATCATGCTTGCTTTCTTGTTTTCAAACATCATTTCAACTTGACATTATTTTGATTCAATCAATACTGAAGAATGACAATATTATTTTTTTTGGGCCCCTAAATTTGAAATATCAGGCACTATTTCTAGATTTATTTTGCCTGAGTAGGCCTATCCCTAATTATGGGTTTGTTAATTTTTACTGTGTCATGTAGGCCTATGATCAATTTAATTAAAGACGAGGAAATCGTATTTTTCGAAAAATCAAATAGATGTTTTCGTCAGAGGTTAGCCTACTGAAAATATCTTTGGTAAAAGGAAAATCTTCATCCTTATTAACATTGAACAATAAAGCTAAATTTTAGAATAAAGTAGCTCTGCTCATTTAGAAAAAAGTGAAACGTAGTTTGTAGGCCTATTTTGACAAGACTTTTTTCCAATGTATGATTTCGTCTGGCGAGGCAAAATTGTCTCAAGACTTCAAAGCGTTCTGAAATTTATATTTCCACAATGAAACTCAATGATGATGTTATTGGTGTGAAAAAAAAAAGGTGTCTTTCAACTAAGACTTTTCTGCACCATGTTGGCTAATGAAAACGCCATGCAAGGTGCAATGAGGGAAATTTTGCCAGGATTTTAGCCTGTGGCATTAGCCTGCTTTTTTTTTGATTTCCAACTGTCAAGGGAATGCACACAGCCTGTAGCACACAGGGCCTCGGTTTATTGTCCCATACAAACAACTATAGTTTCTTATTCCATGTCAGCCCCTCTTACCTGCATCACTGACAGGGGGAGACCAGGTTGAAAAGTCCAAAGCAATTATGCCAATAAGGGTCTAAGCCACTGCAGCTCCCAAGCTAGTAATCCTATGATAACGAATGTATATTTTCTTGGAAAAGATAAAAGGTTATGATAGACTTTAGGCTTAGTTAGATGGGCTTTCTTCGCAAGTTTGTTGGTATTTCGAACTTTGTCGATTATTTCTAAGTTAATTCGAATATATGCTTTTAAATACTAAGCCTACTGATAGTCTTATAATTACTTTGAGCTGATGATTCATAAATTTTTGTAAGTTTATATTTAAAAGAAAAAAAAAAAGACACTCCCAAAAATTTCAACCAAAAAGCAAAAGGTTTGTCGGAAATTCAGTGAAGATTTTCCTCTGTAAAAACATATTTTAAAGTCAAAATGTATGCTCGTTATATTTTAACATCATAATCAGTTAGTCTAGATATACATTGTCAATTTCATCAGCCTCTCTGAATCAAGTGAAGTTTCCACATCTGGTTATTTCTTCCTATAATGATGTGTCAGACAAATACTCCGCCATGTTGTTTGGTTTAGGCTAACAGCTGATTGAGAGTCCCTGTACACTTGACACTTGACGTCACTTATTTGTCGGCTTTAAAAATGCTATAGAATCAATGTTTACCATGAAATGTCTCTGACTTTTATAGGGTAGTGTCTGAACATAATGAATTTACAAATAATATAGCTTTTATTGCCTAACTTATGACCAGAGCCTCCCTTTAACAGTACAGAACAGAACAACAATAATCAAAATCCTTAGTAAAATAAGTATGAATAAATATGTAATCCTGTTCATGGGTTTATGTTAGCTTCTTATTTTTTTCTGTGTGAAAGCAGCCAATGTTGAAATTGAAAAATTAACATTACTTAGGCATGGGCATAGCTGTAATATTCTAATTGATAAGTTTCAAAACCAATTAAATAGTTCTGCTACCCAAGAAATGTCTTAAGATAGATATCCTTGTAAAAATAAATAAATGACTATTTTTCAAATTCTTTTATGCAAATTTCAGCTAGTAATGGAGCCGACTATGTGCTATATTTTGATTGCTTGATTTATATTACATAGCTCAAATCAAATTGCTTTCTCCATGAAAAGATATTTGATTTATCTGTTACACCCGAAAATGAAATATTGTGATATCATTACAATATTATGTTCATATAATTTAGGTATAAAGGTTCTAGAGAACTATATGATACAGATAAATTTGAAATCTTAACAGAAGGTGATAAGCAAATATTACTTATACATAATATATACGGTGAAGATGCTGATGAATATTCTTGTCGAGCTTCAAATAAAGGTGGAAGTAAAACAAGTAGAGCTGAACTTTCCATAAGATGTAAGTACAACAAATTTCTAGATCAGTAATACTTGGCCTGATGGAAACAAAATAATCCCATATAAGAGGTTTTTTTTTATGAAAACCAATAATGAAAAAAATAATCTAATGATCTCACAAGTTCATCTAGTTCGAAACATTTGCCTCTATTCCAGCGTCTGATGGATATTTTGACAGATGTTGGCTTGATTAGAGTCAGAAAAAATAGGCTCTGTTACATTGGAAGATGCGTTTTTTCTAACATATTATTAAATTAACTTTTAGATGTCTGTAAATTAGTTTTGGACACTAAAACTTTAGTTTTGTTAGTAGCACATGACTCTGTCACCTTTGAACTTTTGGCTGCGAGTGCAGTTTTAGATTGCCAATACAAGATTAGTTTTAGATTGCCAATACAAGATCAGTTTGGTCAAAAAAATTTGGATGGAACGGGAGATGTGACATAGATGTTGTAGGGAAAAAATGATGGTATGACTGAACTACAAAAATATTCATCTTTCAAAATATATCTTGGTTTTGCAGATCAGAGGTATCTAAATGGGTTTAAGACCCCTGTACCTGCAGAGATACGAAAAGTTCCCATTTAACAGGGCCTTTTTTTTTGGAATAGGGACAGAATTTATGCGTTAAATGCTGAGGCTCTTCTGGTAAATTCCAGAGGCATCTTAGGTCAGTTTTGGTGGTGGACTGACATTATCTATCTGTTTAAATGCAGAAACAATTTTGATAAGATGCGGAGGTGACCTGAGTTGAATTGTATATGCTGCTGAAAGCTTACCTATTGTAATAAATTGTCTTTCAGCACCACCAAAAATAAATGTACCACCAAGATTTAGAGATGTTTGTACTTTTGAAAAAGGGGAAAATGTTACAATTAAGATTCCTTTTACTGGTAATCCTAAACCTAGTGTTAAATGGATTAGAGATGGTGATGAATTAAGAGGTGCACATTATGATAGTGAAGTAACAGAGAGACATGCTATCTTAACTATTAAACAGGCATCTAAAGATGATGATGGTCCATATAGATTACAATTAGAGAATGATTTAGGTACAGATTCTACAGTCATTAAGATACAAGTTAATGGTAGGTTCTTTGCTTAACAATAGATGTTTTACATACAATCCTGATCAAGTCAGTTTGTTCCAATAAAAGGGCATGAGGTGTATGTGCAGGACATATGAAAGTGTCGGTACATCAATAGTCTACTTTTAACATCCTGTTTGAATTCAAACCTCTCTGTTACCGTATTACCTAGTCCATGAAATGGGGGGCGTATATTGCCGTTACCCACGTCCCTCCGTCCGCAATTGCTCATAAACACTCTATAAGAGGCAATTCTTGACGGATTTTGACAAAACTTGGTGTGAGTGTTCGTAATCACCCAAGGATGAACCCTATTGAAAATCAGAAGAATCGAAAAATATTTAGTATGAGTTATTGCCCTTGTTCTTTAAAACGCGTTCAATTTTTAGCTCGTAAACACTCTAGAAAGCACAATTCTCGATGGATTTTGACGAAAATTGGTGCTAGTGTTTGTAATCACTCAAGGATGAACCCTGATGAAAATCAGAAGAATCGAAAAATATTTAGCATGAGTTATTGCTCTTGTTCTTTAAAACGCGTTCACTTTTTAGATTGTAAACACTCTAGAAGGCACAATTCTTGATGGATTTTGACGAAATTTGGTGTGAGTGTTCATAATCACCCAAAGATGAACCCTATTGAAAATCAGAAGAATAGAAAAATGTTTAGTATGAGTTATTGCCCTTGTTCTTGGGAACGCGTTCAATTTTTAGCTCGTAAACACTCTAGAAGGCACAATTCTCGATGGATTTTAACGAAACTTGGTGTGAGTGTTTATAATCACCCAAGTATGAACCCTAATGAAAATCCGAAAAATCGAAAAATATTAAGTATGAATTATTGCCCTTGATCTTGAAAACGCGTTCAATTTTTAGCCCATAAACAGTCCAGAAGGCACAGTTCTTGACGGATTTTGATGAAACTTGGTAATATTATTCAGTATCGCCTCAAAAAGTTCAAAAGAAGAGTATGTCTGAAGGTTGAATATATCATACTGGTAATTGTTACTGTACTGCCAAATGTTTTTATTTAAAATCAAAGCTGCCAGTGGGTGTATATTACCTTACCTGGCAAGCTATCTTCAATAAGGGGTTTTGTCCTGACTCAAGTCACATAAGGAGATGGTTGCTATTAAATTGCTTGAATTTGAGTTTTCCTAATTGAATGAAAGGCTAAAATTACATATGGGCAGAAGAAATTGATTGCATGTCAAAATGTTTGTGATGTCAATGATGTAGGTTTTATGTGCTTACATTAAAACAGCATCAAATCAGGCAGATTGGACAATGAAGGGGACATGAAAAGTAGTACAAATGATCCATTTTTATACGCCCACATGAAATGGGGGGGGGGGCGTATATTGCTGTCACCAATGTCACCAATTGCTCGTAAACACTCTACAAGACACAATTCTTGGTGGATTTTAACGAAACTTGGCATGAGTGTTTGTAATCACCCAAGGATGAACCCTATTGAAAATCTGAAGAATCGAAAAATATTTAATATGAGTTATTGCCCTTGTTCTTGAAAACGCGTTCAATTTTTAGCTCGTAAATACTCTAGAAGGCACAATTTTGGTGGATTTTGACGAAACTTGGTTTGAGTGTTCGTAATCACCCAAGGATGAACCCTATCGAAAATCAAAAAATATCTAGTATGAGTTATTGCCCTCGTTCTTGAAAACGCATTTGGTTTTTAGCTTGTAAACACTGTAGAAGGGACAATTTTTGATAGATTTTGACGAAAATTGGCATTAGTGTTTGTTATCACCCAAGGATAAAAATAATTAGTATGAGTTATAGCCCTTGCTATTGAAAACGCGTTCAATTTGAGCTTGTAAATACTCCAGAAGGCACAATTCTTGACGGATTTTGACTAAACTTGGTGTGATTGTTTGTAATCTCTCAAGGATAAACCCTATCAAAAATCAGAAAAATTGAAAAATATTTAGTATGAGTTATTTCCCTTGTTCTTGAAAACGCTTTCAATTTATAGCCTGTAGACAGTCCAGAAGGCCCATTTCTTGGCAGATTTTGATAATATTATTCAGTATGGCCTCAAAAAGTTCAAAAGAAGTGTATAACTGAAGGTTGAATATTTCATACTGGTAATTGTTACTGTACTGCCAAATAATTTTATTTAAAATCATAGCTGCCAGTGGGCGTATATTACCTTGCCTGGCAAGCTATCTTTTTTTATTGCATCATTAAATTAGATCGACCAGATCCACCAAGATTTCCAATTGTTGAGAATATTCGAGATGATTCTGTTGTGTTATCATGGAAAGCACCATTGAACGATGGCGGCAGTTTTATAACTGCTTATGCAATCGAGAAAAGAGAACTTCCATCTAACCATTGGTTAAGATGTGCATCTACAAGGTAATTATTATATTTCCACACTATGTATTCATAGTTTTGATCTGTTGGCATTTATCTTGTGTTCTCTCAAAAGTATACAATTCTTTCATACATGCTGAATTGTGTATTTTATTGAATTGTTTACTGTATTTGCAAAAATGTGCAAGTGTCAGACTTAGATACTTGAGCACATCAGGGGATGATTATAAATATTACAATAATAAAATATTTTCACTTTTAAAATACATAAATAAGTGCTCAATACGTAGATATCATTTTATTAGGATTTTTCAAAAATTTCGAAATTTTGAGTTTTTTGAAATTCATATAGATTGATATATTGATCACAATTAACAGGTTTACATTGTGCTTTCTTTAGCTTACTGACAAAATTAACAATGGAGTTAGTGTGGAGGAACATGATTAGAGAGAAGTGGAACAAAATTGAACAAACTGGACAGGCAATATCTTGTCATATGGAAAAAAGGAAAATGGTGGCTAAATTGAGCACTAAAGATGTGAAATATTATGATCATAGCTTTGAAAATTCTGAATTGAAAAGTGTTTTAACCATCCTAATTAACTTTTTATATGCTATATTAAATGTATATAGCTGTCACCTTTGTCCATCATAAACACTCAAGAAGGCACAATTATTGACAGATTTTGTCCAAACTTGGTGTGAGTGTTTGTAATCAGCCAAGAATGAACCCGAGTGAAAATCCGAAAAATCAAAAATATTTAATTATTATTAGTTATTAACCTTGTTATTGAAAACACTTTAAAAAGCACAATTCTTGCTTGGTTTTGACAAAATTTTAGTATAATGTTCATTCCATTTTTTTTTTATTTTGTAGATTTGCATTTCATAATGTTACTGGGCTCTCATCGAACAAAGAATATGAGTTCCGTGTGACTGCTGAAAATTTCTACGGTAAAAGTGAGCCATGTGAAGCTACTGGTACAATTAAAACAGAGGAAACTGACGATGTCAAAAGGAAAAGAGAAATGGAAGGTAACATATGTTTTAGCCTTAACTCTTTGCTTCCGGAATATCTCTTTTACAATTTAACCTATCTGAACGGAATATTTTTTTAGAAAATGTACATTGTTAACCTTTTACGAATGACCACTTGCTTAACTTTCACTTTCGACCTATTTTTCCAAATTCTTTAAATCATTTTCTTCATCATTATTTGACTCTGACAGCAAATGTACAGTTTGTACAACTATAAATCTTCATGGTCCTGTCCATGTGCGGTCTCAAAATGATCATAGCGCTAGTATGTCATAGGTTCTTATCTTCTAACATTAATTCTAGGATATCCTAGAATTCGAGAATATGTGGCCTGAAGTACTACAACCGCTTGTACTGCTGTGAAGTACCACAATACATGCGGAATTAGATGAAATTCGGTTAAGAAATAAGAAAGTTGGTAATGGGCAGCATTACACCGTTTATTCAACCACAGATCGTCCTTATATATGCACAACTGGACATGAAATCTTTTTTAAACTAAATGTCAAACTTACTAATTCTATCTATACTGATGTGAGGGTGTGACCTTATTAACTGAATTTAATATTATTCTCCAAAGTGAAACGAATGGAGTTTCGAAATATTCATGATACATAGACATGTTGCAATGCCAGAAAGCTCAGAATCTCTAGATTACAAAATCAAAAGAATTATTACTTAATATCTTTATTATGAACTGAGAATGGATCATATATAGACCCTATTAAAATCGGAGAGAGTTGTCTCACCCCAAAAGTAAAAAAATCATCCGATAGACAAGGTCACAAATTATCACCATGGTAAATATAAAGGTCATCAAAAGTCAAGCCTCCAAATATTGAAAAATAATATTTAGTCATACAAAAAATGCAAAACTGAAAATCAAAATTCTGCGTATAGTTTGACACCACAATTACGTAAATTGGATAAGAAATAGCTTTGAATAGCAATTTTCCCAAAATTAGGCAAACCAAAATGGCAGCCTATCTGTTACTTCCGGTACATATTTTTCTAGTTTAAAAGGTTTGTATTAACGATACAAATATTATACATATTTTATTTTAACATAACTTCATTTCACCGTAAGTCATACCATTGAAAGTACGAACAGCGAATCCGGAAGTGATGAAAAAAATTTTGAATGTGTGCTTTTATTGAACTATGCTGGCAGTCTACCCCATGTAAGTTCCAAGTCAATCCACCAAATAAAAACCGAAATAGTTTTTTTTTCGATTAATTATGACCAAAAAAAGTATGGAACGAATCTTCGAACATCAAAAATTTTTCAATTGCTTTCATTTGTCTTTTGTAACAAAGAAAACCCTATCAAAATTGGTTGAAAAACAGGCCCCCTATTGTCCCTTTTTCGTTTGTTGATAACTTTGCTTCATGTTGCTCAGGTTTTCGTTTTACATTTAAACCACAATTCTCTACAGATTAGAAAACCTGGTGAAATTGTTTTTGCTGTACCTGTTGCCGTTTCCGAGAAATAAGCTTGGGATGAAGAAAAAGAAACTGCAAAACTGTTTTTGTACTGTTTATTTAATAATTTATATTGCACCTATAAAGACATAATACAAATTAACATAACATATATACAAAAACGAACAATGAAACTTAAAAACTTATCGACCTAAAACAATATTACAATCAATAACACATCCTTAAGAATAATAATGTTTAAGTAATACAGTATGCACCCACATTATAATGTGGACGTCCGTCCGTATTCATCTGATTTGAATGAAATTTTGTGTGATCAGTTATATTGATGAGATCTTGGACAGGTTCAATAATCACGATTTTTCGATGAACGTTTTTTGAGTTATTGCCCTTGATTTAGCCAAAACACGTCAAAATTGGCTTGTGAACGCGATAGAGACTACAGTTTTCATCTGATTGAATGAAATTTGGTGTGATCATTTATATTGATGAGATCTTGGACTTGTTTGATATTCACGATTTTTCGATGAACGGTTTTTGAGTTATTGCCCTTGACTTATGAAAAACGCATCAAAATTTGGTTGTGAACACAATAGAGACTACAGTTTTCATCTGATTTAAATGAAATTTGTTATTATTTATAATGATAAATGAGATCTTGGACAAGTTTGAATTTGGCTATCTTTCGATAAATGGTTTTTGAGTTGTTGCCCTTGATTTATGAAAAATGCGTCAAAATTTGTTTGTGAACAGAATAGAGAGTACAGTTTTCATCCGATGTAAATGAAATTTGGTATGATCATTTATAATGATGAGTCAAAATTAAATTTGAGAATTTTTCGATCAATAGAATTTGACTTAGTAAAAACGCATCAAAATTTGTTGGCGATAGAGGTGACAGTTTATGTCAGAATTTTATTAAATAATGTGTGTTTGTTTAAATCAACAATATCTTGCACAAATTAGATTTTTGGTATGATTTGACACAGATTGGTGACCGCCCTTGATATACTGAAAATATATCAGGAAAGTGGGCGTATCTTGCTAGGCAACTACTTGTTAGTTGTTTATTAAAGATAGTAAGTTGTCCACATTTCTGAGATTTACCGGTTTTTGATTTAGGCTCAACTCTATCTAGCAAATAAGATTGATGGGAGTGTAGATTACGTTCAGGGCGATAAGGCTGAACACATTTATATTGTAAATTAAATCTTTACTTTTCAAAAAATTTAACAGACTTTACTAACATTCACACTAGAAGCATTTTGCTCCTCTCATAGTTGTGAAATTGAATAAATTGAATTTAATATTGTAGATGAATTTGGTAGACGTGTGCGTGGTAAATATGATGGTCCAAAGATAAATGACTATGACAAATTTTGTGAGTACTTTTTTAAACGTATTGTGAAGTCTTCTTCGTCTGTCCATCCACAATTTTTTAACAGGTTGCCTGTTATTATGTTTGGCATGCTAATGTCATGAACCCACATCAAAATTTGGTGGTTTATGGTAGTCACTTATGTGCGTTACTTGAGCCTGTGATTTATCAAAATTTATTTTGGGCACAATAGGAATCTTAGCTAATAACTTACCCAAAAATTGACAAACTTTGTTGATGTGATGAAGACTACAGTTTTCATAAAACTGGGTGTGATTGCTGACATTGTATGTATTCATTGTATGAAATTATTGTATGTAATTGTATGCAAGCTATCTTTTAGTTTTTATTGTAACTTGTTCAAAATATATTCTAAAACATTTGTTTTTAATTATCTCTTATATGTTGGTACGGTTGTTAGGGTTCAATGTAGATCGAAAAATTTGATTAGCAATTCATCACAATCAAATTTCATTTTTGGCTAATCAAGTTAAATTTTGATTTGCATTTTGTTCAAATTATGTAACAAAATATTCCAGTAATAAAATTCAAAATCGATCTTGCCACTAGTTTATAGTGATTAAAGAAACTGTCAGAATTTGTCTGTATATGCTATTTCTAACTTTGGTAGAAAAATATACAATTTCAATTTTGACTAATCATAGGAAATTTCAGATTGCAAAAGGAGTCATTTTTACTTGCAGACTGTGATGCAATACCACTTAATTTAACCCTGACTGATGTGTATTTTTGATTATCCATAATCTGACTTTACAATTTTAAGGATATTAAATCATTAAATAACTATCAATTTATTATTAGATGAAGATATTTGGAAGAAATATATTCCACAACCTGTAGATATAAAGACAGGAAGTGTTTATGATTATTATGATATACTTGAAGAATTGGGAAGGTAAAAAGGTTTTATCAATTATTCTCTTCAACAGTATGTGGGTCATCTGACATTTAGGGATGATCTCTCTTGAACCTCATCAAATTGAAAAGTTTTACGTTTTGGCAATATTTTAAACGCACAAAATGCAAAGATGTAACAATAAAAGTTCAGCAGAATGGTCTTGGTTTATACAGTAAAGAAATAAGTTTACACAAAGCAACATCTTAGGTTAACACAAAGCCATGGTCAAGGTTAACACAAAGCAATTGCTTTGGTTTACACAAGCTCATGGCTTGTTTGCATTCAATCGAGTACTGAATATGCTTAAACCTGACCGATGCTTCCAAAAGGACAAAAGGATGTTTGTAGAATCCAACATGTTTCTTGTTTTCATCAGAGAACTGGACTCAAAATCAAAGTTGAATAAGAAGGGTAGCAATCTGAGTCCATGTCAGTGATCAAAGTAGGCGTTAATCATATTTTGAATTCCTGATTAAGACTGAAACTCTTAAAGGGACAGATGCACCATTCTTTTTGACCAATAATACTTTAATCTCAGAAACGTGAATTTTTTAGCTAAGCCAATCAGTAAAAAGTCTTCACAGCTCACCATCGACATTGAGACTTTAAATCCATGTGTGTCCAGAATTTCCCTCGTTTGTATGTTAAAATGTTTTAACCAACTTAGTTTGCTTGCTTAAGGCTTATTTCAAGGCTTATACTTTCATTACCAACTGATATAATGAAAGGAAGCACTATTAATCTGATGTGCGAAATTCCTTATAAATGTGATAGTGGAAATGAAGAACTAGGGTTCTACAGATATCCAAGATTAAGAGATAAAGCTTTATCTCTTGGTTGGTGCAGAAAAATAGGACGTAAAACTCCATTCATTTCATTTCATTTTATCTTTTGGTAAAACAAATATATATATAGATAACTAGAAATATTAAAACGGAACCAAAAATAAACATGTTGTTGTTACTCAGAGTTTCATGCCAAGTGATCTTCAGGTAACTGACCTATTTCAACCAATGCTTAGTTTCTGGAAAAAAAATTAATATGTCATGAGCATCAAAATCTTGAGCAATTTAACTGAAAGTAGAGACAACATCCGCATGACTGTCACTGCACACAAAACGTAAAATAACTCGAAAGCTAACAGATCTGTGTGGAACACTTCTAGTTTGATTTGAATTTGAATATTCAACGATATTGCATTGAAACTCAGCTATTTACAATTAACAATTTGTTGTTTATTACCTGCAATATGGCTCACATGTACTGTAGCCCTGTTGTTTTAGAAGGATTTTTGACAGTGACTTTGAAGGACTTTGATGGAATATCATCAAAGTTGAGTTTAGGAATGATGCAATTTTGTTTATAAAACAAAAACCATGTGGTAAAAACAGCGGGAAAAGCTAAGTTAGCAGGATGAATAAGTGAATAAGTTTATGATGGTAAACTTTGATAGTTGCAAGCAACCTTAACAACTTGCCTACTTGTGGTATCACTACGCCAAGCCCCAAGTGCAATATTGAAAACCTATAGACACGTGTGTGGTTCGACTTTTATTACATACTATTTCGTTTACTGTTTTGATTGGAGTACTAACTATAAAGTATCACACCCATTGCAACAAATAATTCATAGTATTTCTAAATTTCGTTGTGGGATTCCCCCTGGAATGTGATGTTTACAATCATAAGATGACATCATTAGGGAGTTCCCTAAAGCCTACACTGGTCAACTTGAATACATTATTTGATTGTTTGTCAAAAAAGGTAATAACAGTATTGCTTGCGGTAATTGGAGCCCATTGGTGTTTGGACAGGTTTCAAAATATGGTTTAATGGTAATTTAGTGTCATTTGCGCTATTATAAGCTGACACTGAGCTTTGAATTCACTAAGCGAAGTTACTTAATCATTCGAGTAGAGTAGAAAAAAGTAGTTTGACCGTATTCAATGTACGTGTGATATGGATTCAATTATCTCTGTTGATTAGCGCATTAGAAGCTTCAGTTCTACCTTTTTCTTAAGGCAAATGATTATGAATTGCCATTAAACCATATTTTGAAACCTGTCCAAACACCCATTCACTATAATTTCCATTTCCCAAAATCCAATGTCTGCAAGCTGCATAAATAAGAAAAATGGCGCCTTAACTGGATCCGAAATGTAGTTTTCATGCTACATGTCATAAATACAGATTGAAAAAAGCTTTTGGCTCCTTGCTATAAATTTGCCAGTTAGCGTCAGTTACAAGAACTGACAAGCTATGTTTCTGTTATATATTTTTTGAGGTTTTAATTATGAATTTTATTTTATTCAGTGGTGCTTTTGGAGTCGTTCATCGTTGCATAGAGAAGGCTACAGGCCGAGTCTTTGTTGCTAAGTTCATTAACTCTCCATATCCCTGTGATAAACTGACAGTTAAAAATGAAATAAGTGTCATGAATCAACTTCATCATCCAAAACTGATAAATTTACATGATGCTTTTGATGATAAATATGAGATGGTTCTTATACTTGAATTGTAAGTTTTATATTAATATTTATTTGTATAAGCCTACATTTTATACGTGTCTGTCCGTAAACATTTTTATACTATGATGCTTTGACAAGATGAAAATAAGATGCTTAAGATGATAAAACTTCCATTTAAATATGTGTGTGTGTCTGAAGACTCACTTTCTCAGGGAGTGTGTGTAGGTTGTGGACTCTATGGTGAAGTGTATTTTTTGGCTTCTGAACACTACAGTTTTTATCTGATTTTAATGAAATATAATGTGATCATTTATATTGATGTGATCTTAGAAAAGTTCAATTGAAGATTAATGGTTTTTTATACGCCCACATGGAAAAGTGGAAGTATATTGCTGTCGCCCCTGTCTGTCGGTCGGTTGGTCAGCAACATTTCTTGTGAACACAATAGAGACTACAGTTTTTAATGAAATTTGGCGTGATCATTTATATTGATGAGATCTTGGTCAAGTTCGAATTTGACGATCTTTCAATTAACGGTTTTTGAGTTATTGCCCTTGACTTAGGAAAAACGTGTCAAAATTTGTTTGTGAACACAATAGAGACTACAGTTTTCAACTGATTTTAATGAAATTTGGTGTGATCATTTATATTGATGAGATCTTGGTCAAGTTTGAATTTGACGATCTTTCAATGAATGGGTTTTGAGTTATTCCCCTTGACTTAGGAAAAACACGTCAAAATTTGTTTTCAACTGATTTTAATGAAATTTGGTGTGATCCTTTATATTGATGAGATGAGATCTTGGTCAAGTTTGAATTTGACGATCTTTCGATGAACAGTTTTTGAGTAATTGCCCTTGACTTAGGGAACATGGATCAAAATTTGTTTGTGAACACAATAGAGACTACAGTTTTCAACTGATTTTAATGAAATTTGGTGTGATCATTCATATTGATGAGATATTGGTCAAGGTCGAATTTGATGATCTTTCGATGAACGGTTTTTGAGTCATTGCCCTTGATTTAGGAAACACGCATCAAAATTTTTTTGTGAACACAATAGAGCCTACAGTTTTCAACTGATTGTAATGAAATTTGGTGTGATCATTTATATTGATGAGATCTTGGACAAGTTCGAATTTGATATTTCAATGAACGGTCTTTGAGTTATTGCCCTTGACTTAGGAAAAACGCGTCAAAATTTGTTTGTGAACACATAAGAGACAGTTTTCAATTGATTTTAATGAAACATGGTGTGATCATATATATTGATGCGATAATTCGATGCGTTTTCATCTAATTTGAATGAAACTTGATGTTATTGAAATATCTTCAGTCTGTAGCATATATGAATACCGGTCACAAAATTTGATGATAAAGTCGTCGACAAAAGTCTTATGATCAAATTCCTATCCATAGATAAGGTCTTGTTGCCACTTTCGGAGCTGTTCACGGTTCTAATTGTATTTTGTATTTTGCTAGTCCCCATGTCCGTCCATTGGTCTGTCTACAATTGCTCGTAAACACTCTAGAAGGCACAATTCTGGACTGATTTTGACGAAATTGGGTATGATTGTTTGTAATCACCCAAGGATGAACCCTATGAAAATTGAATAGAAAATAAGAAAAATATTAAGTACGAGTTATTTCCCTTGTTCTTTAAATCCTTGTAAACACTCTAAAAGGTGCAATTCTTGACGGATTTTGTTGAAACTTAGTATGAGTGTTTGCTATCACCCAAATATGAACCCTAATGGAAATAAAAAATCGAAAAATAATTAGTATGAGTTATTGCCCTTGTTCTTTATAACGCATTCAGTTTTTAGCTTGTAAACACTCCAGAAAGCACAATTCTTGACAGATTTAGATGAAACGTGGTATGAGAGTTAGTAAGTACTCTAGGATGAATCCTATTGAAAAATCAAAAAATAATTAATATGAGTTATTGCCCTTGTTCTTTATAACGCATTCAGTTTTTAGCTTGTAAACACTCCAGAAAGCACAATTCTTGACAGATTTAGATGAAACGTGGTATGAGAGTTAGTAAGTACTCTAGGATGAATCCTATTGAAAAATCAAAAAATAATTAATATGAGTTATTGCCCTTGTTCTTAACAACATGTTCAAGTTTTAGTCTGTATACAATCTGAATATTTCATACTGGTAATTGTTACTGTAGTGCCAAATATTTTCATTTAAAATCAAAGCTGTCATTGGGCGTAAATTACCTTGCCTGGCAAGCTATCTTTAAAATTGCTACAAATTTAAGAGGAATTTTTGAGGATACGACAGAATATATGTATAAATATGTTTCAGTTTATCTGGTGGAGAATTATTTGATAGAATAGCAGCAGAAGATTACAAAATGTCTGAGGCTGAAGTTATTAATTACATGAGACAAGTGTGTGAAGGATTAAAGCATATGCATGAAAATAGCATAGTTCATTTAGATATAAAGGTATATATACATCTTTTCGGTTAAAATTGCTTCAAATAAAAAAATCAAAACTGAATGTTAAAACGTTAACTGCCGACCTACGAGATAACATGTAATTAATGGGATTGCATAGAAAGGCTTATAAATATTCATTTTAGTATAGACAGTATTTAAATGTTAGGACATAAAATAACTATCAACCTGGACCATAGTTTTGTCTTTTTTGACTGTGTGGTGATATATACTCAATATTACAGAAATAAACATAACAAATTTCATAATTACACATATAAATATTGAATAATCCAAAAACAATGTTTGAAATATAAGGAAAAAGAGAGGAGGATCATGCCAAATTGTTGATTTTTTCATCAGAAATTTACGGTGACTAAGTTTTTCCCAGATATACTGGAGATGATAAGGGGTGTGCATTATGCATGCTTGCACATTGTATTCAGAAATGTATTTCCTTTGAAATGAAATTTGGCATGATATGATACTCATATGTGTTTTTCATTTTTCTGTAAAAAGTAAAAAAAACTGACTTGGAGTATATTTTTGCAAAATGATGCAAAATAGATTGACATCAGTTTGTTTGCATTATAATTGTCTACAGATGTGCCAAGTTTGTTGGAGATTGATTAATTCATCTTTTTTAATCAGATATCCAAGATTTGAAATGTTAAGTTTTCATGACTTTGAAGTTCTGTCAAAAACATTAAAAAACCTGAAGGGCATAAAACCATCTTCAAGCTGAAGGGAAAGACACCAGGTCTTCATAAAATGCACAACCATTTTCAAGAAATCATTATTTTATATAATAATTCCATATTTTCATAATTTCATACAAAGTCCTAAGTGTCTTGGTAACCAAAGTTTGTTTTTATATTTTTAGCCAGAGAATGTTATGTGTGATACTAAAAGAGGCACAAATGTAAAAATAATTGATTTTGGTTTAGCAACCAAACTGAACCCAGATGAAATAGTTAAGGTAACCACTGCAACAGCAGAATTTGCTGCTCCAGAAATAGCAGAAAGAGAACCTGTAGGTTTTTACACTGACATGTGGGCTGTTGGTGTGCTTGCTTATGTTTTGTAAGTATTTATTTTCTTCTTTTAATTTAAGATCATAAATAGTCATATTTTGTAACTTTAAACCTGTGCTAAATTTAGGCTCTGCAGTAAAAATGAAAAAAAATCAAATGAAAAATTATTTAAAAAGAAAAAATGTAAATGTCTAAATTCTTTACCATAAATTAACAAAATATTTATATATTTACTTGTATCTTGATTGCCGGTAACACGCCTTAATCTCTTCATGTAATAATATTATCATTTTCTGATTAATTAATCCCCACAATTAAGATGGTAATTTGATACATTTTCACCCGATAATGTGTATTTTAAGCCCACGTGACACGCTTTTTAACAACATCCGGTAGATTCTACTTTCGCTTTTACAATAAATTTTACAGTAGCCCTACTTCTACTAAAAAACGAAATCTTGAAATCTTCATAGTATTTTAAAGTGTTAATCTGGGAGTCTATAACAGGCCTATATAACATAGACCTTGTTTCAGAAATCTTTTTTATTATCGGTAGATTATCATGCGCGACTGGATGTCTAATTCTTATGGAAACTCATATTTCGTTTGATAAAATCGTTTTGTAATTTTACTGTTGCCTGTATACATTCATTTATTGCCAGTCTTTCCATATCTGAAGAGTGTCAAAATGGAAGCAGAAAATTCGGTTCAATACTTCGTGAGGGTGTTGCAGGAAAATTATTTTAGATGTCATGAATTCCAAAAAAAAGTAACATTGCCAGTACATATTACTTACTACTAAATATTGCTTTCAGAACATACTGATTTTTATACGCCCACATGAAATGGGGGGCGTATATTGCCGTCACCCATGTCCGTCCGTCCGTCTGTCCGTCCGTCTGTGTCCACAATTGCTCGTAAACACTCTTGTAAGACACAATTCTTGACAGATTTTGACAAAACTTGGTATGAGTGTTTGTAATCACCCAAGGATGAACCCTATTGGAAATCAGAAGAATCGAAACATATTTAGTATGAGTTATTGCCCTTGTTCTTGAAAACGCGTTCAATTTTTAGCTTGTAAACACTCTAGAAGGGACAATTCTTAACAGATTTTGACAAAAGCTGGCATGAGTGTTTGATATCACTCAAGAATAAACCCTATTGAAAATCAGAAAAATCAAAAAATATTTAGTGGGAGTTATTGCCCTTGCTATTGAAAACTCGTTCAATTTTTAACTTGTAAACACTCTAGAAGACACAATTCTTGACGGGTTTGATGAAACTTGGTGTGAATGTTCGTAATCACCCAAGGATGAACCCTATTGAAAATCAGAAGGATTGAAAAACATTTAGTATGAGTTATTGCCCTTGTTCTTGAAAACGTTTTCAAATTTAGTTCTTTAACACTAAAAGGCATGATTCTTGCTGGATTTTGACAAAACTTGGTTTTATTATTCAGTCTCACGCTGAAGATTGAATATTCGCCTTCTAGAGTTTTCACGAGCTAAAAATTGAACACGTTTTCAAGAACAAGGGCAATAACTCGTACTCAATATTATTCAGTATCGCTCTAAAGAGTTCAGAAGAAGGTTGAATATTTCATACTGGTGATTGTTACTGTACTGCTAAATATTTTTATTAAAAAATCAAAAATGCCAGTGGTCGTATATTACCTTGCCTGGCAAGCTATCTTTTATTGCCTGGGCAGGCCTATCCCTAATTATAGATTGTTAATTTTAACTCTTATCATGTAGGCCTATGATCAATCTAATTAATTTACAAGGCATGAGGCTTATTTCAAAAAAAGAATCAATTTGGAGTTTAAAATTCACGAAAATACGCGCTTTGGAAAAATCTCCTGACTTTTCACCCAATCTCCATATTTTTCAAGGCAAATCTCCAGATTTTTTTCCCTTACCTGTACACATGTATGCAATGACACAATTAAAAAATCAAAATCAAAAAATCAAGAAACCCGGACAATTTGTCATGATTGCCACCATATTTGTGAAAAAAACAGAAAACAGTTATCCTACCACATGATTAGGTATTACTAAGGTTCCTATTTTCCTAAACTTGACAATTATTGTGGTATATTTATTTCACAAAAAAAGTTTGGCTTTACTATGTTCTGGGCAAATAAAAAAAAGTACTTAATTTGAAATTTCTTGTTGTCTTTTAAATTAATAGCAATTACCTAACACTTGAAGAAATTAGGCATTTTTATATGCCCACATGGAAATGTGTTCAATAAAATAGAAGACACACAAAGAAGAATCAAATTGCCTGCCACCATTTTGTGATTTGACCCTTCTCTTGTTATGTGCTTAATGGTGGCCCATGAGCGCCATAGCTGTTTTATTATTTTATTCATGAAAATACCTTTCTTTTGAATTTGAATTCATTTTTATTTCACTTTCATTTTGTTTTTAAATTCATTTTACTTTCATTTCGTTTTTTATTTTACTTTCGTTTTGTTTTTAAAATAATTTTACTTTCATTTTGTTTTTAAATTCGTTTTATTTTCATTTGGTTTTTTATTTTACTTTCATTTTGCTTTTAAATTCATTTTACTTTCATTTCGTTTTTACTTTTTAATTCACTTTCGTTTTGTTTTTAAAATCATTTTACTTTTTATTTCACTTTCGTTTTGTTTTTAAAATAATTTTACTTTTACTTTCATTTCACTTTTTATTTTACTTTCACTTTCGTTTTGTTTTTAAAATCATTTGACTTTTACATTCATTTTCGTTTTGAAAAAAAATTCTTCTTCATTTACTGCGCCATAGTGTCCAGATTATCCAGTCACACTTGTGTCTATCATCTAAGTGTTAGCAGGAGTTATTCCCCTTGAATGTGCTCTTGCGAGTAACCTCCCCTTTAACGGAAATAGCACCACATGTAGTGTCACAAGTTTATGTAGTTGATATTGAGGGTTACCGGTATTGGCAAAACCGTGGAATATTTAAAGGTACATACAAAGACTCTCGGAACATGTTGAGCTGTGGGTAGGCCTATAGTATCCCCAGATACACATTTTATTATAATTGTTTGTCGTCGAATCCAGACTTTTGCTGCCCGTCAATTAGAAATTCTTCTAAGGAGAGAATTAAACTCTACTTTTCTATGGGTGCTGGGGGTATTAATTTCCTAATATTCAGCATGCTTGCAAGGGAAATGGAGGCAGGGAAAGCTTGAGGTCGTGCCAACAGATGCTGATGGTGTAACTGATAAAATATTTGTGCCGACAGGTTTATTAGTAGAAATAGCACTACAAGAAGGCATATCCCTATTATGTTCATTTGTTGTGTTCATGTCAGTCTGAGAAGATTCAACGAATCTGATGTAAAGTAATTTAAATGATTTGATCTGATCAATATTTGAGAAAGATGGCCCTCGATCTCCTGCCATGATATCACATTTGTAAATAGATGGAATATCAAAATGTTTTTGACAAGCAGCCTTAATGCTATCTAATGATATCTCCCCGTTAAATTCCACCATTGTGAGGGGACCAAGAAGGCGATATTTTTGATATTTACCCTCAACATGTTCTGAGAGTCTTTGAACAGTTAAATATTCCAAGGTTTCGCCATCACTAGTACCCTTGCCCTTTGCTTTCTACGTTTTGCAATTTGGGCCTTAAAATCTGTCCATTTTCGTTTAGATATATTTGCTCGGGTTTAAGGCCTACCTGTGAGTTTGTGGTATTAATTATGGAGATTGAGATACTATTTTATCTCAAAATCAAACTAAAGAACTTGTAACAAAACACTACAAGTGGTGCTATTTCCGTTAAGGGGGAGGTTACTCGCAACAGCACATTGAAGGGAAATAACTCCTGCTCACACTTGTATGCAATAACGTCATTGCTTGGATGATAGAAAGTGTGACTGGATAATCTGGACACTATGGCGCAGTAAATGAAGAAGAATTTTTTTTTTAAACGAAAATGAAAGTAAAAGTAAAATGATTTTAAAAACAAAACGAAAGTGAAAGTAAAAGTAAAATAAAAAGTGAAACGAAAGTAAAAGTAAAATGATTTTAAAAACAGAACGAAAGTGAAATAAAAAGTAAAAAAGTAAATGAAAGTAAAATGAATTTAAAAACAAAATGAAAGTAAAATGAATTTAAAAACAAAATGAAAGTAAAATAAAAAACAAAATGAAAGTAAAACGAATTTAAAAACGAAATGAAAGTAAAACGAATTGAAAAACAAAATGAAAGTAAAATATAAAATGAAATGAAAGTAAAATAAAAGTAAAATAAAGAACGAAATGAAAGTAAAACGAATTTAAAAACGAAATGAAAGTAAAATGAATTGAAAAACAAAATGAAAGTAAAATAAAAAACGAAATGAAAGTAAAATAAAAATAAAAGTAAAATAAAAAACGAAATGAATTTAAAATCAAAATGAAAGTGAAATAAAAATGAATTCAAATTAAAAAGAATATTTTTTTCATAAATAAAATAATAAAACAGCTATGGTGCTCATGGGCCACCATAGTGGTTTCTAAGATCGTGACGTCATAAACCTCATGAGGTCATATTGTAATTTTAATTTTAACTGCCTTCCACCATTTATAGTTTGTTTCTTCCCCTCATGAAGTCAAAACTTTTTTGAAGAAACGTTGGGTATTAAAGGATGGTATTTGATGTCAAGTTTTATTATTTATTACACATTATAATGTGGTCATATATTGTCGACGCCACCGTCTGTCCGTCTTCCGTAATTGGCTTGTGAACGCAATAGAGACAACAGTTTTTATCTGAGATCACAATTCTTGGCAGATTTTGCAGAAGTTGGTATGATAGTAATCACCCAAGGATGAACCATATTGAAAATCAGAAAAATCGAAAAATATTTAGTTTGAGTTTTTTCACTTGTTCTTGAAATGCTCGTAACAACACTCTAGAAGGTCCAATTCTTGACCGGTTTTATGATTGTAATCACCCAAGGATGAACCCTATTGAAAATTATAAAATCGAAAAATTGTTAGCATGAGTTACTGCTGTTGTTCTTGAAAACGCGTAAACATTCAAGAAGGTTCAATTATTGACAGATTTTGATGAATGAGTGTTAGTAATCACCCAACGGATGAACCCTATCGAAAAATCAAAAAATCGAATATATTTAGTAGGAGTTATTGCCCATGTTGTTGAAAATGTGTTTAATTTTTAGCTCATAAACACTCTTCTCACAATTCTCGATGGATTTTGACAAAACTTAGGCGTAAGTGTTTTTTGTAATCACCAAAGGATAAACCCTATTGAAAATCAGAAGAATTGACAAAGTTATTGCGCTTGTTCTTGAAAACACATTCAATTTTTTAGCTCATAAACACTCTAGAAGGCATAAATTCTTGAGAGATTTCGGCGAAACTTGGTTTGAGTGTTTGTAAACACCCAAGAATGAACCCTATTGAAAATCAGAAGAATCAAAAATATTTAGTATGTGTTATTGCCCTTGTTCCTCGAAACTCGTTCAATTTCTAGCTTGTAAACATGCTATAAGGTACAAATTTTTCAAGAAACTTAGTGAAATTATTTTTTATCACCCATGGATGAGCCCAATTGAAAAACAAAAAAAAAAAAGCCAAATTTTTTATAGGACTTATTGACCTCGGTCTTGAAAACGCTTTCAAATTTTAGCTCTTAAACACTAGAAGGAACAATTCTGGCTGGATTTTGACAAAACTTTTTTATTCAGTATCGCCCTAAAAAGTTCAAAAGAAGTGTATGTCTGAGGGTTGAATATTTCATACTGGTAATTGTTACTGTACTGCCAAGTATTTTTGTTTAAAATCGAAAATGCTAGTTGGCAATTTAGACTTCAGTTTCACTTTGAAGGAAATTTGGTGTGATCCTTCATATTGATGAAATCCTCGGCAATTTCAGATTTCGCAATTTTTCAATGAATGTTTTTTTAGTTATTGCCCTTGACTTAGTCAAACGTGTCAAAATTTTGTTGCAAGCACCATAGAAACTGCAATTTTCATTCGATTTGAAACTTGGTGTGATGATTGGAATTGATAAGGTCATGAGTAAGTATTGAATAGAAACTAGAAAGATTACTAATAACCATTATGAATCTAGCAATTGACAAAGCTGATGTATGGGTGTGTGTTTACTTTGCCTGGCAAACTATCTTGCCTTAAACATTTATTGTACATTCAGATTAAGTGGTTTGTCTCCATTTGCTGGTGAAGATGATTTGGAAACTCTTCAGAATGTTAAACGAGCTGATTGGGAATTTGATGAAGACTCTTTTTCAAGTGTTTCTAATGAGGGAAAGGATTTTATTAGAGCTTTACTTCAAAAGACTCAAATGTAAGTTTATGAAGTTCTTGGATTGTTATTACATTCAATATTTTTGAAGCAACAAGCAAGTAATAAATCAACCCCTACGTCATCACATCTTCAACCACACCCACTGGATGATAAAGAAATACGACTGGGGTCAGTGAATAAATTTTTTTATTGTATACATGAAAGAATAAAAACGACCAAATCTTTCTTATACCAAGACATGAAATTACTTTAGAAATTGCATTGTTTGTCAATTGGGACCTCTTTCAAAATTTGGTAGGCTAGAAATATATATTATAGTGTGAATGATCAGAATGGAGATATTTAAGATATCATGAATTACACCTTTGGTAAAAGTAACATTGCCAGTACATATTATTTACTAAATATTGCTTTCAGAACATACTGAATTTTTAATATGGTATTACATGTATGATATAGGCCTACCGATACCATTTGATTTAGAAGGCTGCTTTCTTGTTTTCAAACATCATTTCACCTTGACATTCTTTTTGATTCAATCAATACAGAAGAATGACAATATTTTTGGGCCCGTAAATATTAAAAATCAGGCACTATTTCTAGATTTATTTTGCCTGGGTAGGCAATTTTTGTTAATTTTTACTGTCATGTAGGCCTATGATCAGTTTAATTAATTTACAAGGGTCTAATCTGCTTATTAATATGACAAGATCAAGATCAGTGTCATGGCCTGTAGATAAAATGGCTTGTGTCATTATTCGAGGTACTTGTGTCATTCTTTATAAGTTAACATTCTTTGTTTCATGATTTACCACAAGCTATCATTGTTACAATGTCCTGCAAAGCGTTCTCGTACTAATCTGTCTCTGGATAGGAAAAGAGCAAATTATTGGAGACTATGAAAAAGTGACGTGTCCAACGCAGAAACATTTAGCAATGAAATTCAACATGGCAGCAGTTGTAGCCACTTAAACCATTGGATTCTTTGACCCCTTAAATGTAAAATTAACTTCTGAGAACATGTTCATAGGTAACATATCAACAATTAAAGAGTTTTAATGAATTTCTAAATGGCGTCCCATACAGGTAGAATTTCAAGTGGCTCCATATCCAAAAATGTTCTCAACATATTGAAGTAACTGTATGCCAAATTTGGTGCTTGTATCACAAAATGCACAATGGGTCTGCTATATAGCCAGAAATCAATAAAAAGCGTATGTACAGTAACTCAAAATATGAACAATTAAATAATAATAATGTATAAAACTGAATTGTCTTTTATTATTGTCTTGTACTGAAAAGTGCTGTAGAATCTTATCTGGATCACTAAGCTATAAATAGTAACATGTAGCATGTTATATTCAATGTTAATAAATTTGAAAGAGGGGGGCCAAAACCGGGCCAGCCTAAATTATATAAATATTCTGTTTTCACTAATTAAATTTCTATTTCAGAAAGAGAATGACTGTTCATGAAGCACTAGAACATCCCTGGTTGAAGGTAATTTTATGGGTAATACTACACAATTTAAAAAAAAAATAAAAGAAGCACAGTTCTCTTCTATTTTCACATCAATCAAAACATCAATTTATGGAAACTAGGAAAGAAAACAATTACCATGACCGCTTATCAAAATGTTCAGGGGACTTAAATTATTAGAATATTAAATAACGGACACCCCTAAATGTCGCTATAGGATTAAATTATTAGAATGGATGTTGCAAGAATCCAATCTAAATGTCCTCATACTAGAAATGATATTTAGCATTCATTCCATTAAAAGAATTTCGATTATATGGCTTCATAGTTCTTATTTATATAGATATTGGTGCCCTAAATATCTACATGGAGATCATATAAAATCATATGAAATCATATATGAAATCTTTGTAAATTTTTATCTTACAAGACCTCTAAACCATTTAATGTTTTTTTTTTTACAGGGTGATTTAAGTGACAGAACAAGCAGGATACCATCCAGTAGATATGATAAAATAAGACAAAAAATCAAAGAAAAATATGTAAGTCTAGTTTGTGTACTTTTATTTATAATTGATATGATACATTGTATGAATATGTATGAAGAACAGGTCCAGGATCAATTTCAAATGTATGATTACCTACACAACGTTTCATTAATGTGGTGTTTTGTCAATTTAGTAGATTTTGGTATTGTAAGATATATACAATTAATCAATTGAGCCACAAATATTTATGATTTCTCAATAGTGGTTAGATATCAAGTATTAAATTATTATAATTTGACTATATTTAGACTTGTGTCACTTCCACAAGTAATTTTGTCTGTTGGAATATGCTACCTTTAATGATAAAGAGTCTTTACAAAAATGTATGGTTTGGCTCTTGATTTCCTTAATAAAGATTCATTGCAAGCACCATAACTTGATATAAAGGACGTACTACACAGATCTAGATTTGAGACACTGGTCATACATAACATTAAATATTTCTTATCTTAGAGAGGATTTGATCCTATCGATCCTTATCTGCTATAGGAGGACAACTCACTACTAACTGCACATTACATGGGTTGAAAGTAGGTCGTATTTCTATTTTAATTCGCATTCTTGTTTTTCATTTTTTTATCAATATTTATTTTCAGGCTGATTGGCCACAACCAATGCCAGCAATTGGTAGAATAGCTAATTTTAGTTCCCTTCGAAAACACAGACCAAAAGAATATCAAATATATGAAAGCTCGTTTGGTAAGTAAACTATATGCTACTTGCAAAGAAAGACAAATTAAAGATGTCTGATTTACCATTTTTATACGCTCACATGAAATGTGAAGTGTATATTGGCGCCATCCATGTCCATCGGTTGGTCCATCCACAATTGCTCGTTAACACTCTAGAAGGCATAAGTCTTGACAGATTTTAAAGAAATTTGGTGAAATTGATTATTATCACCCATGGATGAATCCTATTGAAAACCAAAAAATTGAAAAAGATATAATATTATGAGTTATTGCCCTTATATATAGCCTGTAAAAATTGTTAAAGACACAATAATTCTTGCTGGAATTTGACATTGTTCATCAGCCCAAAAGTTTGGAAGAAGTAACTGAAAGTTGCATATTTCATACTGGTGATTTTTTACTGTACTGCCAAATATTTTTGTTTAAAATTAAAGCTGCCAGTGGGTGAATACTATCTTGCCTGCATCTTATATTTTCATATCACACTCCATTTTATGTTCCCTTGATAGATACTTATACATATGTGATATGATACAAAAGTTGCCACTCATTCCGACAGACAAACTACTTAAGATGATGTCTATTGATCCTCAGGATGAAAAACCTCACTGTTTACTGGATTGATGATCTATCAGGTGAAATTATATTGAAATATAGACATAAATTGTTGATGATTCTGTCTTCTGTTTTTTGAACACATGAGATTGGAGGCGTATATTGGCGTAACCACTGTCAGTTTCTTGGTGGATTTGTCCACCTCTGCTTGTAAACACTGTGGAAGGCATAATTCTTGTCACATTTTAATGAAACTTGGTGTGAGTGTTTGAAATCAGCAAAGTATGAAACTAAATGAAAATCAGAAATATCGAAAAATATTTAGTATGAGTTATTGCCCTTTTCCTTGAAAATGTGTTCAATATTTAGCTTGTTAACTTTGCAGAGGGCACTATTCTGATATTGACAGATTTTTACCCAACTTGGTGTAAGTGTATGTAATCACCCAAGGATAAACACTCTTGAAAACCAAAATATCAAAATATTCGAAAAATATTTAGTATGAGTTAATCTCGAAAAGTTATATATAAAAATTAATATTTGGCTCATAAACACTCCAGAAGGCACAATTCTTGACATATTTTGATGAAACTTGGTGTGAGTGTTTGTAATCAGCAATGGATGAACCTATTGAAAATCAGAAGAATCTTTTGCATGTAAAAATTCCAGACGGCACAATTTTCAACGTAATTTGATGATATTTGGAGAAATTGTTTTATTATTACCAAAGGATGAACTCAAATTGAAAATAAACATCAAAAAAATATTTTATATTAGGCAATTTTTTAGTTTATCGAATAATTACCCTAAACCTACTAAAAACATAAAAATTTGTTTGTGAGCACAATAGAGACCACTTTTTTAATCTGATTTTAACCAAATTTGGTATTTATATTGATGAGATCGTGGGCAAGTTCGAATTTGACGATTTTTTTGTGGAACAGTTTTGAGTTTGTCTAAGTAAAAGATAGCTTTCCAGATACGCCGACTACCAGCTGTCAGAAATGATAAAAAAAGTCTGTAGTAGTTTAATATGTGAAACCAATCATCTGATTGTTACTAATTTCAAGCTTTACTGAGGTCTCATACCAAGTTTTATCAAAATCGCATAAAAAAATTGTAGTCTCTATCATGCATACAAACCAAATAAGACACATTGAATTAATTCAAGTGCCATAACTCCAAAACCATTTATCCAATTATTACCATTTTTGAACTTGAGATCTTATCAATATATACATGCAAACCAAGTTTTAACGAGATCAGAAAAAACTGCACCCTGTATCATGACTACAATTAATTAATTAATTAATTCGATTATGACTAAATTCAACCTTGACCTAGATCTCATCAATATATACATGCATACCAAGTGTCATCAAGATCGGATAAACTGTAGTTTATATCGTGCCTACAACATAAATTTTACACGTTTTTACTAAGTCAAGGGCAATAACTCTGAAAACTTTCATCCGATTATTACCAATTTCGAACTTGACCAAGATCTCATGCATATATACATGCATACTAAGTTTCATCAAGAATGGATAAAAATTGCATGCATACAAGCCAAATTTAACGCGTTTTTACTAAGTCAATAGCAATAACTCTGAAACCATTCTTCTGATTATTACCAATTTTGAACTTGGCCGAGATCTCAACAATATATACATGCATACTAAGGTTCATCAAGATCAGATGAAAATTGCAGCCTTTAACATGCATACAAGCCAAATTTAATGTGCTTTTAGTAAGTCAAGGGCAATTACTTTGAAGCCGCTCATCTGATTATCACCAATTTCCAACTTGACGAGATCTCAACAATATATACATTCATACTAAGTTTCATCTAGTTCATATGAAAATTGCAGCCTTTATCGTGCATACAAAATAAATTAATGTGTTTTTACTAAGTCAAGGGCAATAACTTGAAACCGTTCGTCCAATTATTACCAATTTCAAACTTGACCGAGATGTACATGCATACCAAATTTCATCAAGATCAGATTAAAGCTGTAGCCTCTATCGTGCATGCAAAAAATGTGGATGGACAGGGGCAACAGCAATATACGTCGGAAATGTGAACGTATGAGCACAATAGAAGCTTTCATCAGATCAAATGCATCAAAATCTGATTGTAAAGAGATTATCGATAACGTAAAATCTGACATTTTTTACTCCCACATGAAATGGGGGGATTATATTGTCGTCACCCTGTCCGTCTGTCCATCCGTCCACAATTGCTTGTAAACACTCTACAAGGCACAATTCTTGATTGATAGGCCAAGGACATACATATGTAATCTACCGCTTTTGAATGATGTCCATCGCTCTATCAAAGGGATACCTAGTTCTTAGGATTTTTTGTTTTTTTCTTGATCACATTTTCACAGGACCTACCGTTGAAAATAAAGACTAGAAAGCTGTATTACGTCATTGTGTTTTAACGTCATTGAAGCAAAGCATGGGACATTGGCGCCATATTGATTGTACGGCAAAAAGTTACAATTCAAACATTTCGGTTAACTCTCGAAAAAGTCTCCTGTTTCGGAACGTGTTGAAAAATACTTGCCGATCAAAAACTGTTGGCCTGTGGTAGCGGTGGTTGATCTGGATAATTTTGGACGCCCAAAGGAAGTTGTGGGCCCCAATTACTACGACAACATGTTTAATATCTACTTCGATCATAAAAATCCTCCTGAACATGCATCGCCATCGTCATTCAGTGAAGCAGTATTCACTCATACTGATAGATCTCTCGTTTTCGGCTCATCCCATATCCCTATGATCATGGTGAACGAATATTTTTCGTAATTTTACGCGTTTTCTTGACATTATTATCGCTCTCTTTGTTGAGTGCATTGACGGAACTTTGTCGCTCTTTACGGAGAGCAGGAAAATATCTATTATACTTGAACATCTAATTATTTGCAGATACTCGTTAGCTCTCATGGAAATGCAGTGTGCATAGATATGACGTTAAGCATCTGTTGCTGTACAAACAAGATGGTGTCATTACGCCCAGGGACATCAGCCTCATTCTGAAGTTAGCCCTCTAGTCTTTATTATTACCTCTATGTTGAAAACACGTTAAATCTTTAGCTCATAGAAACTTTAGAAGGCACAATTCTTGACGGACTTTGACTAAACTTGGCATCAGTGTTTGTTAATCACCCATGGATAAACCCTATTGAAAATCAGAAAAATCGAAAAAAATTTAGTATGAGTTATTGCCCTTGTTCTTGAAAACACGTTCAATTTTTAGCCTGTAAACATTCTTAAAGGAACAATTCTTGACGGATTTTGACAAAACTTGGCATCATGGTTAAACCCTATTGAAAATCAGAAAAATCAAAAACTATTTAGTACGAGTTATTGCCCTTGTTCTTGAAAACGCATCAATTTTTACCTCGTAAACACTCTAGAAGGCACAATTCTTTATGGATTTTGACAAAACTTGGCATGAGTGTTTGTTATCACCTAAGGATAAACCCTATTGATAATCAGAAAAGTCCAAAAATATGGAGTTATTGCTCTTGAAAACGCGTTCAATTTTTAGCTTGTAAACACTCTCGATGGCATAATTCTTGACATATTTTGACAAAACTTAGTGTGAGTGTTCGTTATCACATAAGGATGAACTCTATTGAAAATCAGAACAATCGAAAAATATTTAGAAGGAGTTACTGCCCCTGTTCTTGAGAATGCGTTTGTAAACACTCTAGAAGGCACAATTCATGACGGATTTTGACGAAACTGGGAATGAGTGTTTGTTATCACCAACGGATAAACCCAATTGAAAATCAGAAAAATCAAAAAAAAAATTTAGTATGAGTTATTGCCACTGTTCTTAAGAAAGCTTTCAATTTTTTATCTCGTAAACACTCTAGAAGGCACAACTCTTGACATATTTTGCCGAAAATTTGTGAAATTGTTAATTATCACCCATGGATGAACCCTATCCAAAATAAAAAAAATAAAAAAATGTTTCATAGGAGTTATTGCCCTTGTTTTTGAAAACGCATTCAAATTTAGCTCCTAAACACTAAAAGGCATGATTCTTGCCATATTTTGACAAACTTGGTTTAATTATCCAGTAATTGAATATTTGCCTTCTAGAGTTTTCATGAGCAAAAAATTGAACACGTTTTCAAGAACAAGGGCAATAACTCATACTCAATATTATTCAGTATCGCTGACAAGAAGTGTATGACTGAAGGTTGATTATTTCATACTAGTGATTTTTACTGTACTGCCAAATAATTTTATTCAAAATCAATCTGCCAGTGGGCGTATATTACCTTGCCTGGCAAGCTATCTTACTAAAAAACGAAACCTTTGTAAGTCTTCATAGTATTTTATACCGTCAAGCTGGGAGTTTATAACAGGCCTATATAAAATAGATGTCGTTTCAGCAATCTTTGTTATTATCAGTAGATTATCATGCGCAAA